TACTAAATTTGTAAATACAGTAGAGTCTCGCTAATACAACCTTCGCTCATCCGACGTTCTGTATTATCCAACGCAGTCTGTCTCCTGCCCGGATCCACAGCTGTTTCAATACATTGCAATGTTTTGATGCTAAATTTGTAAATACAGTAGAGTTTCGCTCATCCAACCTTTGCTCATCCAACATTCTGTATTATCCAATGCAGTCTGCCTCCTTCCCAGATCCACGGCTGTTTCAATACATTGCAATGTTTTGATGCTACATTTGTAAATACAGTAGAGTCTCGCTTATCCATCCTTTGATCATCCGACATTCTATATTATTGGGTTGTTGTTGGTTTTTTCGGGCTGTATGGCCATGGTCTAGAGGCATTCTCTCCTGACATTTCGCTTGCACTTTGGCAAGCATCCTCAGAGGTAGTGAGGTCTGTTGGAACTAGGCAAAAGGGTTTATTTATCTGTGGAATGACCAGGGTGAGACAAAGGACTCTTCTCTGCTAGAGCTAGGTGTGAATGTTTCAACTGACCACCTTGATTACCATACAATGGCCTGACTGTGCCTGGGGCAAACTTTTGTTGAGAGGTAATTAGATGTCCTTGTTTGTTTCCTCTCTGTTGTTGTGCTGTTCTGTATTATCCAATGCAGTCTGCTTCCTGCCCAGATCCACAGCTGTTTCAACACATTGCAATGTGCTGGTACTAAATTTGTAAATACAATAGAGTCTCGCTTCTCCAACCTTCACTAATCCGATATTCTGTATTATCCAACACAATCTGCCTCCCGCCCGGATCCACAGCTGTTTCAATACATTGCAATGTTTTGGTACTAAATTTGTAAATACAATAGAGTCTCGCTTCTCCAACCTTCACTCATCCAACGTTCTGTATTATCCAATGCAGTCTGCCTCCCACCCAGATCCACAGCTGTTTCAATACATTGCAATGTTTTGATGCTAAATTTGTAAATACAGTAGAGTCTCGCTTATCCAACCTTCACTAATCCGATATTCTGTATTATCCAACACAATCTGCCTCCCGCCTGGATCCACAGCTGTTTCAATACATTGCAATGTTTTGATGCTAAATTTGTAAATACAATAGAGTCTCACTTATCCAATCTTTGCTCACCCAACATTCTGTATTACCCAATGCAGTCTGCCTCCCGCCCGGATCCACAATACATTGTGATGTTTTGGTGCTAAATTAGTAAATACAGTAATTACTACATAATGTTACTGTGTTTTGAACTGCTTTTTATGTTTATTTGTTGTGAAACATGATGTTTTGATGCATAATGTAATTTAATATTCCATAGGCTTTTCCTTAATCCCTCCTTATTATCCAACATTGTCACTTATCCAACGTTCTGCCGGCCCGTTTACGTTGGATAAGCGAGACTCTACTGTATATGTGTGTTGCTTTTACATGTTTGTTCATATAGCATTGACTTGTTGCCACTTTGTAAGCCACTCTGAGCCTCCTTTGGGATATAAATGTAGTAAATAAATACATAAATTTATCTGAGGCTAAGAGTGTCACCTAGTGCCCAAGGTCTCCTAGTCTAAACCATGGTGGTGCTCAGCTTCCTCTATAAAGATCATTTATCTTACCTATTACTAATTAATCCGACTTTGTAATTAAAATCTTCTTTTTTGGACGAAAACAATTAATGGCTCCCAATCTGAGCCCATGAATTTCATTGGGGTTTTTTAGGCATGGAAGAGTCAGATGTGGTTTTGCTAGTTCCTTCTGAAATATGGCCTATAGCACCTGGTCATCCTTTGTCGTCTCCCATCCAAGCATTAACTAGGACTGACCCAGGTTCCGATCCCTTTAGGATAAACACTAAGCTGTGGTGGTTACTGGGTTGCTGTGAGTTTTCCGGGCTGTATGGCCATGTTCCAGAAGCATTCTCTCCTGACATTTTGCCCACATCTATGGGAGGCATCCTCAAAGGTTTAGGGGTCTGTTGGAAACTAAGTAAGTGAGGTTTATATATCAGTGGACTGTCCAGGGTGGGAGAAAGAACTCACGTCTGATAGAGGTATGCGTGAATGTTGCAATTGGCCACGTTGATTGACATTAAATGGCCTTGTAGCCTCAAAGCCTGACTTCTTCCTGCCTGGGAGAATCTTTTATTGAGAGGTGTTAGCTGGTCCTGATTTATTCTTATCTTGAATTGCCCTGCTTTTTAAGTCTTGCTCTTTGTTTACTGTTCTGATTTTAGAGTTTTTTTAATACTGGTAGCCAGATTTTGTTAATTTTCATGGTTTCCTCCTTTCTGTTGAAATTGTTCATATGCTTCTTGTGGATTTCAGTGGCTTCTCTGTGTAGTCTGACATGATTGTTGTTAGAGTGGTCCAGCATTTCCGTGTTCTCAAATAATATTCAGGTTGATTCATTAGGTGCTCTGCTATGACTGACTTCTCTGGTTGACTTAGTCGGCAGTATCTTTCATGTTCCTTGATTTGTTTTCAGGCACTACGTTTGGTGGTCCCTATGTAGACTCAGTCAGGGACAGCTAATACCTCCCAACAAAGGATTCCCCTAGGCAGCAACTAGCCAGGTCTTGAAACTGCAGCCCATTAAATTCTAATCAAGGTGGCAAATTGTAACATTCATGCGTACCTCTAGCAGACTTTAGTTCTTTCTCCCACCCTAGTCATTCCACAGAAATATAAACCTCACTTTCCCAGTTTCCAACAGACCTCACAACCTCTGAGGATGCCTGCCAAAGATGTGGGTGAAACATCAGGAGAGAATGCTTCTGGAACATGGCCATACAGCCCGGAAAACTCACAGTAACCCAGTCATTCTAGCCATGAAACATTCAACAACTCACTGTACTGATTAATTAGTCAAACCTGTCCAAAATTTGTAAATTTTGTTTATCTTCCTTTACAGCAGAGAGAATTATCTAGTGGGTCTACTTAACCATCGATTCTTCTAGAAGCCCCCCAAGTGATGCCCATAATCTCACATAGACTTATCCTGGATTCCTAAAAATAAAAATAGGCGGAGAGACAACAGGTTTCGGGACTGACCTCAGATTAAGCAAATCCAGGACGAAATAGCCACCAAAGAAGGAATGCAGTCAGGTTTTGGCCTCCGGTTTCACGCAGAGCTCGAGCAAATGCTCCATCGACGTATTAAAACTGAGGAAGATGATCCATGGGATCCCCCACCTGGGATAGGATTGCAGGAAGTCCCTCACATTGCCCAGGTGGGGAGTATCCAAGGATTCTTGCAAAAGCCACTTGTGGATCAGGAAAGCGAAGACCGGCTCCATCAGTACTGGGAAAACCAGTGGCAGGACTTTCTGACGACGCTGGAATGCCCTCGCTCGGAGTGGGAGCCACGGGTGCCCTGGGAAGACCCCACGCCATGGAACAATGCTAAAGCCTTCCTGGCCTCTTTCGAGCAAGTGGCCGAGGCCTGCCATTGGCCCCGAGAGGACTGGATGGTTTGTCTCCTGCCGGCCCTCCACGGGGAAGCTGAGCAGATATTTAGGAACCTAGATGCTCGAGACCGGGTTGATTACGATAAAGTGAAGGGTGCCATCTTGCGAGGGGATGCCATCGCCCGGGAAAGGCAGCGCCAGAACTTCCGGCGTTTCTGCTACCAGGAGGACCAGGGGCCCAGATTGGTTTGGAGCCAACTCCAGAAGTTCTGCCACCAGTGGCTGAAAGTGGAGAGGTGCACCAAGGAGCAGGTCCTGGAACTGATCATCCTGGAGCAGTTCCTGGCCATTTTGCCCCTGGAGATGCAGAACTGGGTCTGGGAACATGGACCGGAGACCTGCTCCCAGGCAGTGGCCTTGGCTGAGGATTTCCTCCTGAGGCAGCAAAGGGAGGACCAATGCGAAGAAGAGGTGAGAGCTGGAGGGCGGGATTGGACACATGCATAGAGAATGAAGCTACCAAGGGCTACTAAGCATCCCAAATACTCAGTAAGACCCCTGTCTCTGCAGGGGAGATCACAGAGGTTTTTTGGTAGCTGATTGCTTAGAGAGGCAATTGCTTCTGAGAATATGTCGTGTTGTTTACTTCTTCTCTTTCATGGTAATGCTTTGAATTCTAAAGCCAATCCTCTACATTTGCTAGGTTATGGGCCCAGGACGCCATGAAAGTTGAAAGATCACGAATAAACCTATTCTTCCAAATCTTTCTGAAGAAGTCTGTAGGACACCACAGAATCACAGCAGTGGACCTAGGCCCTTCTACACTGCCATATGATCCAGTTCAAAGCGGATCATTTGGATTTTAGATGGCAGTGTAGAAGGAGCCGTAGAGACTTCTAGAGATAACATTGTGATCAAATGCTCAAAAGTCAAACCCACCTAGATGGCGGATCAACTGTACACAAGGGTTATCCGGAAAGTAAGGTTACAATAAGGTTAAATACAAAGAATTTAAAGTAAGGTTACAAAAATTTAAAGTAAGGTTAAATGCCAAGAATGAATAAATTTTAATCAAACTTACATGCATTGTAGCATATATTATTTTTCCATATTATTTTTCCACATAATCACCATTCAATTCAATACATTTTGTCATCTGTGGGAAGAGTTTGGATGCCTGTGTCATAGAAGTTTCCTTCCCCTCCTTTTTCAGCCAGTTCGTCGCTTCGATTTTCACCTCGTCATCGTCGGAAAAGTGTTCTCCACCCAGGTGTTCCTTCAATTTAGTGAACAGACGATAGTCACTGGGTGCGAGATCAGGGCTGTGAGAGGGGTGGCTTAAAACATCCCAGCCAAATGAAGTCAACAACTCTTGTGTTGCATGAGCAGTGTGTGGACGCACATTGTCATGAAGAAGACAGAGTCCCGCCATCAGTATCCCACGACGTTTGTTTTGGATGGCTCTGCCAAGTTTCTTCATTTTCTCACATTATTTTCCATACCCATTTTGTCACACGCTGTCTTGACATTATGTCCTCTCCATAAACTGAAACGATTTCACAATGAATCACAGTGACATTCATGACCTTAGCATTTAGGTAGCGTATTTAGGTAGTGAACTTTGCACTTGGAGAGAAATTGAATGAGGACACTAATCTCTAACTTTTATCACAGTGCCAGGAGATGAGCTACTGATGACTGGCACTGCTCGTTTGCTTCCGCTGGCTTCCCACTACCCTGCAGTGATACCAACTTCCCCTGAGAAAATTCCTATGTGCCTTGTAACCTTACTTTCCAGATAACCCTTATATTTTATGTTATGCATTTCTTAGTTGTATCATTTTAATATTTGTAAACTGCCTTGACTGTCATACTGGTGAAAAGTAGGTAAAGAAGAAGAGGAGGAGGAGGATATAGAAAAAGTAGGAGTTGTTGTTGAATTTTGACTGGTAGAGAGTAGGGGAAAGGGGAATGTGGAGTTTTGGACCTCAGATGCTGAAGTTATTTGGCTGACTTGGGAGGGGGATACAAATGTCCCTTGGTCTGGGTCAGTAAATAGCCACCAGATGCTTGGTGACCTTGCATATAGTACCTCTGAAACATTTCCTACCTTAACTGTTTTTTTTAAGGATCTGGGACCAATTGAGGAGGTTGCTCTCAATTTCTCTGAGGATGAGGAGTCTCCATCAAATGATGGACAAAAACAAGGCCCCAGAGAGGGCAAACAACTCAGTGATGGAGATGCCAGGTCTTCAGGTAAGGATTTGAGGTTTGCTTTATTTTCTTTCCATTTTTTAAAATGTTGGGATTTGCTTTACTTTTTTTCCCATTTTTAAAAACCTCAACCAGATAGATTCAAAATATTGACTCCCTGTATCCACTCTGTGGGTGTATGTACAAAGTAAGATTCATGCAGATTGATATCACTTTAACTGTCATGGCTCACTGTTATGGAATCATGGTAGTTATAGTTTTACAAGGTCTTTAGCCTTCTCTACAAAAGAGTGCTGGGGCCTCGTCAGATTATTATTACTACAGGCTTCTCTCAGATACCAACATGGGGAGCTGGAGCTGACAGAGGGAGCTCAACCCACTCTCCCCGGATTCGAACCACTGATCTATCAGTCATCAGTCGTGACAGCACAAGGGTTTAAACCACTGCGCCACTGGGGGCTCGATCAATGTATGTGAAATCTCATCAGTGGGAACCATGAAGACCGTTTACATCCAGAGGGTTTGTTTTTGTAAACAAAGAATTTTAATTACGGTAATATAGTAAAGGTTTTTCCCTGACATTAAGTCCAGTCATGTCCAACTCTGGGGGTTGGGGCTCATCTCCATTTCTAAGCTGAAGAGCCGGCGTTGTCCATATTTATTTATTTATTTATTTATTTACAGTATTTATATTCCGCCCTTCTCACCCCGCAGGGGACTCAGGGCAGATTACAATGTACATATACATGGCAATCATTCAATGCCATAGACACACAACATATATAGGCAGACACACACAAGGGCTATGTAACATTAAACAGAGGCTATTTAACATTCCAGCTTTTTCTTGAGGGTATTCTGGCCACCAGGGGAGCTGTTGGTTCACTGCCTATTTGTGACACTGATTAAGTACCTCCTCATTCTTTGCATGCTTGCTGGAGATGTTTATGGCATCATAAATTAGCCTCCCCGCATAAGCAGTATCTAGATTTTCTACTTGACAGGTGCAACTGTATTTCGGACTGCAAAGGTCATAGAATCATAGAATCATAGAGTTGGAAGAGACCTCATGGGCCATCCAGTCCAACCCCATTCTGCCAAGAAGCAGAAATATTGCAGTCAAAGCACCCCTGACAGATGGCTATCCAGCCTCTGTTTAAAAACTTCCAAAGAAGGAGCCTCCACCACACTCTGGGGCAGAGAGTTCCACTGCTGAACGGCTCTCACAGTCAGGAAGTTCTTCCTCATGTTCAGATGGAATCTCCTTTCTTGTAGTTTGAAGCCATTGTTCCACGTCCTAGTCTCCAAGGAAGCAGAAAACAAGCTTGCTCCCTCCTCCCTGTGGCTTCCTCTCACATATTTATACCTGGCTATCATGTCTCCTCGCAGCCTTCTCTTCTTTGACAGCAAACTACACAAATTGGTCGGAAGCTCACTCCGACCCGGGCTGGCTTCGAACTCATCACCTTTTGGTCAATAGTGATCTTAATGCAGCTGACTCCCAGCCAGCTGCACCACAGTCCCGTAGACACCTCCAAAGTCATGTGGCCGGCATGACTACATGGAGCTGTACCTATTGATCTACTCACATTTGCATGTTTTCTAACTGCTAGGTTGGCAGAAGCTAGGGCTGACAGCGAATGCTCATGCCGCTCCCTGGATTCAAACCTGTGACCATTTGGTCAACAAGCTGAGCAGCTCAGCGGTTTAACCCTCTTAAGACATAAGGGAACTAAGAATTCATTGAGGGTTTATTCCTTTGCATTATGATTTCTATTCACAGAATAGTCCACAAAAGATGAGCAGGTTTCCTGATGTGGAAAGCAGGAGGTTGGACTAAATGTTTTGCTGGTCCAGTCCAGCAAGGTTTTTGCTTATATTCTTATTCTATGTATAATGTTTCCTGATTGTTTCCACAGGAGAAGAAGGATGGATGAGTAGCAATGAAGAGGAGCCATTCCAGTCAGAAGCTTTAGATCCAGTCCATCAAAATAGGTCCTCAAGTCCAGATAACCAGACTTCCCATTCTCATGAACAGGAGGATGCTTCTGAAGGTTTGTACCAGTCAAGAGAGGGGAAGAAAATAAGAGAAAAGAGAAAACAGAAACATCTGGGCAGGTGGGGAAACCTTTCATGGGGCTAGCAGTGGTTCTCAACCTGGGGTCCCCAGATGTTTTTGGCCTACAACTCCCAGAAATCCCAGCCAGTTTACCAGCTGTTAGGATTTCTGGGGATCCCAGGTTGAGAACCACTGGGCTAGAGACTGCAGAGGATTCAAAAAGAGGAAAGATGCATGGAAGGGTGGCGAGTGGAGCTTCAGAGAAAGCTCTGGACTTATTAAATGTGAACTGTTTATAGTCGTGTACTTCACATATAAGTCAAAGGTAGGGTTTGATGCCAAAACTATGGATTTTGATATGACCTCTGGATTTATTTATTTATCGTGTCAGAAGTGAATTGAAAATACAGTTATATTGTATAGAAAAACCACAAAATTTTGGCATTATACTAATTGTCCTTTGACCAGAAGCTGGCCACTTGGAGTGTCTCTGGTGTCACTATGAGAAGGTCCACCATTGTGCATGTGGCAGGGCTCAGGCTGATGCTCCAGTGGGATTCCTTAGGTAATCCTCAGAGCTTGAGATGCTTGTCTGTTGTTAAGATCCTGTGGATAAGTCAATGGTTATTCACCAGAGAAGGGAAAGTAAGAATGCCACTCCACCTAGGCATTCATAAAGATCTAAATCAGCTCCACAACAATGCTTCATTTAGCACTTTCTCTGGCTAGACTATGCTTTCACCTTTCACTCTGGCCCCATCTATACAGCCATTATAATGCAGATTGAATTTATATAGACTCATAAAATCTAGTATAATGGCAATTACACTGTCATTATATTGCAGTTCAATCTGCATTATAATGGCAGTGTAGATAGGACCTCTGGGAAGGAAATGGTTTCTTTATTTAGTATGAATTATAGTTCAGTACTCACATTGATCCATGGATAAGTGTTTTAACTCTTTATCTCTTCACCATGTTATTTTGCAACTGTTTATTTTAGTTTGTTATTTTGATGTTATTTGCGTTTCTGTGTATTTTACTTTGCTATATTGTATTTTGGTCTTGGCTTCATGTTAGCCACGCTGAGTCCCCTTTAGGGAGATGGCGGCAGGGTATAAATAAAGATTATTATTATTATTATTATTATTATTATTATTATTATTATTATTATTATTTGAAACACAACAAGATGAGTCAACAGCAGACAAGATCATTCTGCTGGCTGTTGTATTGGATCACACGTCGGACACTTCCCACTTCTAGGACTTTGTGATGTATCGACGAATAATGTGTGCAGATCCCAATAAGGTGGCCTTTTGCAGCTGGCAGATGGTAATTTTGTCAGCACCGATTGTGTTTAAATGCAGGCCAAGGTCTTTAGGCACTGCACCCAGTGTGCTGATCACCACTGGGACCACCTTGACTGGCTTGTGCCAGAATTTTTGCAGTTCAATCCTTAAATCCTCATATTGTGTCAGCTTTTCCAGTTGTTTCTCTTCAATCCTGCTGTCACCTGGGATGGCAACATCAGCAATCCATCCTATTATTATTATTATTATTATTATTATTACTGACACAAAAGCACAGTATGTCACAGCAAACGAGATCTATATGCTGGATTTCGTATCACAAAATCACGTCGAACACTTTCCAATCGTCTAGGACTTTGTGATATATTTTCGAATGATGAGCACAGATCCAAGTAAGGTGGCCTTTTGCAGTTGACAGATCGTGATTTTGTCGATGTTTATTGTTTCCAAATGCCGGCTGAGATCTTTTGGCATGGCACCCAGTGCGCCAATGACCACTGGGACCACCTGTATTATTATTATTATTATTATTATTATTATTATTATCATTATTATTATTATTATTATTATTATTATTATTATTATCATTATCATTATTATTATTATTAGTTGACTGAGGTATTTTGGCTTGATTTTTGATTGAAATTTCCAGGCTTATATATGGATATGTAGGATAAATGCTTTGATGTCAAGGAAAGCTTCAATGTGTTCTCCCATTGTATTTCCCATATAGAAAGTCCAGAGGAAAAGAAGCCGCACAGATGTTCCGACTGTGGGAAAGCCTTCATTGCCAAAGCTCACCTTATTATTCATCAAAGGATCCATACTGGGGAGAAGCCATTTAAATGCCTGGCTTGTGGGAAAATGTTTGCTCAGCGTTCTAACCTTACCGTTCATCAAAGAATCCATACCGGGGTGAAGCCGTTTCAGTGTTCCGACTGCGGGAAGAGTTTCTGCTCCAGCACCAACCTCACCAAACATCAGAGCATCCATGTGAAGGGGAACCCCTATAAGTGCTTAGTTTGTGGGAAAAGCTTCAAAATGCATGGCCACTTCCTTGCCCACAAGAGGATGCACACGAAAAAGAGAACGCACAGATGTTCCAGTTGCGGCAAATGTTTCCTTGCTGCTTCGCACCTGATCATTCACGAGCGAATCCATACCGGAGAGAAGCCTTACGAATGCTTGGAGTGTGGGAAATCGTTTAGTCAGAATGCCCACCTGACCGTGCATCAGCAAATTCACAAACGAGTCAAATCCTTTAAGTGTTCCACTTGTGGAGAAATCTTTGGTTCCAGGGTGACACTCATACAACACCAAGTAAGTCACAGCAGAGGGAATCCCTATAAATGCTCGGACTGCGGGAAAACCTTCCGAGTGAACTCTCATCTGGTTGCGCACAAGAGGAGCCACGCTGCCAAGAAACCAAACAAGTGCTCCTACTGCGGAAAATCTTTTTTTACCAAATCCTACTTTATCATTCACCAGAGGATCCACACTGGAGAGAGACCGTACAAATGCCTGACCTGCGGGAAAAGCTTTAGCCAGAGTTCGCACCTGAATGCCCACAAACGAACCCACACAGGAGTCAAGCCTTTCCCGTGTTCTTTATGCGGACAAGGTTTCAGCTCTACCAAAAACCTGATTAAGCATCAACGGACTCACAAAGGAGAGAATGTGCACATCTGTCCCGATTGTGGGAAGAGCTTCAAAGTCCATTCTCACCTTCTTGCTCACAAGAAAATCCACGCCGTGAAGAAGCCTCATAAGTGTTCATACTGCGGGAAAGCCTTCATTGCCAATTCATGCCTCATCATCCACCAGAGGATCCACACTGGAGAGAGGCCATACAAATGCCGCGTCTGTGGGAAGAGCTTCACACAAAGCTCGCACCTTACTGTTCACGAACGAACCCACATGGGCAAAAAAACATTCCAGCGTTCAGAGGGTGGGAAAAGCTTCAGAGCAAAGGCTCATTTTATCGCTCATGAAAGAACCCACGAAGCAAAGAAACCCCATAAGTGTTCCTACTGCAGCAAATCCTTCGTTTTCAAATCGTACCTTATCATCCATGAGAGAATGCACACTGGCGAGAGGCCCTACAAATGCTCGGTCTGTGGCAAAAGCTTTAGCCAGAGCTCGCATCTTAACGTGCACCAAAAAACCCACGTGGAAAAAAAGCCCTTCCAGTGCTCCGAATGCGGGAAAAGCTTCCGGGTGAGCTCTCAGCTCCTCGCTCACAAGAAAATCCACGCCATAAGCCAACCACACAATAACAAGTGCTTGGATTGCGGGAAAGCGTTCATTTCCAAATCGTACCTGATCATCCACCAGAGAATCCATACGGGGGAGAGACCCTACAAATGTGGGGCCTGCGGGAAATGCTTCAGTCAAAGCTCACACCTCACCGTCCATCAAAGAACCCACGAGGGGATGGCTCTATTCCAGTGCTCGCAGTGCGGGGAAAACTTCGGTTCCCAGACCAAGCTTGTTAAGCACCAGAGAAACCACATGAAAGGGAGCCTGTTTCCGTGCCTGGACTGCGGGAAGTCCTTCGTCACCAAGTCGCAGCTCGTGATCCATCAGAGGAGCCACACTGGGGAGAGGCCCTATAAATGCTTGAATTGCGGGAAGGGGTTCAGCCAGAGCTCGAACCTGATTAGGCACCAAAGGATTCACTCCGGGGAGAACCCTTTCAAATGCTCAAACTGCGGGAAAAGCTTCTGTTCTGCTGAAAACCTTAGTAAACATCAGAGAATCCACACATAAACGAGTGGGATAATGTATTGTCGAAGGCTTTCATGGCCGGAATCACTGGGTTGTTGTCAGTTTTCCAGGCTGCATGGCCATGCTCCAAAAGCATTATCTCCTGACGTTTCGCCCACATCTATGGCAGGCATCTTCAGATGTTATGAGATCTGTTGGAAACTAGGAAAATGGGGTTTCTATATCTGTGGAATGTCCAGGGTGGGAGAAACCTTATAGCACTTGAGAATCAAATAGCTCAGTTGATTCATTTCTGACCAGAAGAGGAAACTATTTAAACATGCATTTCTGACTTTATGAAAAAAAAAACACATTTCTGACCAGAAGAGAAAAAAATAAAGGGAAACCATTAGTATAGGAACCTCTAGGCTGCATGAGAGGTAGACTCTGTAAAAACATCCAGGTCGCCATCGTATTATACTTATCTTTGCCTGATTATTAGCATACTGTGTCTGTTTCCTTTTGCTGTTATGAAAATTCTCTAATAAAACAGTTTAGATCTAATAAAAAACAACAACATATGTGTTGTCGAAGGCTTTTATGGCCGGAATCACTGGGTTGCTGAGAGTTTTCTGGGCTGTCAGGCCATGTTCCAGAAGCATCCTCTCCTGACGTTTCACCCACATCTATGGCAAGCGTTCTCAGACGTTGTGAGGTCTATTGGAAACTGGGGAAGAGAAGTTTAGATACCTGTGGAATAATGTCCTGGGTGGGAGAAAGAACTCTTGTCTGCTTGAGATAAGTGAGAATGTTGCAATTGGCCACATTGATTAGCATTGAATGGCCTTGCAGCTTCAAAGCCTGGCTGCTTCCTGCCTGGAGGAATCCTTGGTTGGGAGGTGTGAGCTGGCCCTGATTTTTTTTTGTCTGGAATTCCCCTGTTGTCCTGCTGTTGCAATTGGCCACCTTAATTAGTATTGAATGGCCTTGCAGCTTCAAAGTCTGGCTGCTTCCTGCCTGGGGGAATCCTTGGTTGGGAGGTGTGAGCTGGCCCTGATTTTTTTGTCTGGAATTCTACTGTTGTCCTGCTGTTGCAATTGGCCACCTTAATTAGTATTGAATGGACTTGCAGCTTGAAAGCCTGGCTGCTTCCTGCCTGGGGGAATCCTTGGTTGGGAGGTGAGAGCTGGCCCTGATTTATTTTTGTCTGGAATTCTACTGTTGTCTTGCTGTTGAAATTGGCCACCTTAATTAGTATTGAATGGCCTTGCAGCTTCAAAGCCTGGCTGCTTCCTGCCTGGGGGAATCCTTGGTTGGGAGGTGAGAGCTGGCCCTGATTTTTTTTTGTCTGGAATTCTACTGTTGTCTTGCTGTTGCAATTGGCCACCTTAATTAGTATTGAATGGCCTTGCAGCTTCAAAGCCTGGCTGCTTCCTGCCCGGGGGAATCCTTGGTTGGGAGGTGTTAGCTGGCCATGATTGATCCTTATCTGGAATTTCCCGCTTGGCCTGCTTTAGGGCCTCCAAGTTCACCCATGCCTGGATTAGACTCCCATTTTCTCCTAACTCAAAACATTTGTTTATTGCGTCGTTTGCTGTATACGTGTTTTTGTGAACCAATACCAAAAGCTTCCCTTGTCTTTCTTTCCCCTTTCCCTAAGTTGATGCTGCTAAAAGACTTCCAGCTCGACACAGGATGAGGAGAAAAAGATGGAAAATGGTGCAGGCGCAAAAGGAATGGCAAGCATTGGCAGTTTTGCAAGTTCTTTAGCCTTCTCAACCAAGGCTAAAGCATTGGTTGAGAAGCATTGACTCAATGGCTCAATGCTATACTTCATAGCATTGAGCCATGCCAATTAAGGTGGCATCAAACTGTGTTAATTCTACAGTGTAGATGCAGCCTTCTAATTTCTGGACAGTGTCCTCCATCCTGATTTGAATTTGTCTTATCTATAGTGATATAAACCATCTATAGTTATTAATTTTGTTTTCTAAATGGAGCCCCCGGTGGCGCAATGGGCTGAACTGCTGAGCTGCTAAACTTGTTGACCGAAAGGTCGCAGGTTCGAATCTGGGGAGCAGCGTGAGCTTCCGCTGTCAGCCCCAGCTTCTGCTTTCCTAGCAGTTCGAAAACATGCAAATGTGAGTAGATCAATAGGTACCACTTCGGTGGGAAGGTAACAGCACTCCATGCAGTCATGCCTGCATATATATAAAAATGTAATGTTCGTTTGTGGGATTAACAGAACTCAAAAACCACTGGACGAATTGACACCAAATTTGGACACAAGACACCTAACCCAATGTATGTCCTTCACTTTAAAAAAATGCTTTTATCATTTGGGAGTTGTAGTTGCGGGGATTTATAGTTCACCTACAATTAAAGAGCATTCTGAACCCCACCAACGATGCAATTGAACCAAACACAGTTTTCCCATGACCAACAAAAAATACTGGAAGGATGGGCAGTGTCCTTTGGTTTTGGAGTTGTAGTTCACCTACATCCAAAGTTCACTGTGGACTCAAACAAGGATGGATCTGGACCAAACTCTACACAAATACTCAATATGCCGAAATGTGAACACTGGTGGAGTTTGGGGAATATAGAATCTTGACATTTGGGAGTTGTAGTTGCTGGGATTTATAGTTCACCTACAATCACAGAGCATTCTGAACCCCACTAACAATAGAATTGGGCCAGACCTCCCACACAGAACCCCCATGACCACCAGAGAAGGCCACAGCAACGCATGGCAGGGGACAGCTAGTATATATATATTAGTAGTAGTATTATATTCCATTACATTATAATATTATAAATATATATGTCTACACAATATATTATATTATTAGAATATTGCAGGACAATTATTTTTAATTATATGTTAAGCCCCTTATTGAAGGGTCTTGGAGGGCTTCTTGCAAAGACCAACATTAACACTACAAGAGCCCTTTGCCATTAGCCTGTCCTGTTTAACATTAAACTATCAGATCAGCAAGCAAAAAGTGGGTGCTAGAAACAATATCATATGAAAGCTGACTGGCACAACCTGGGGATCACAACCAGACACAGTGAAGACATCTGCCCTTGCGCTGTGCTACTCTGCTGCTGAGTATGCATGCCCAGTGTGGAACACATCTCACCACACTAAAACAGTGGATGTGGCTCTTAATGAGACATGCCGCATTATCACGGGGTGTCTGCGCCCTACACCACTGGAGAAATTACACTGCTTAGCCGGTATTGCACCACCTGACATCCGCCGGGAAGTAGCAGCCAATAGTGAAAGGACCAAGGCAGAGACATCTCCAGCTCATCCTGTTTGGGTATCAGCCAGCACGTCAACCACTTAAATCTAGAAATAGTTTTCTAAGATCTACAGAGACACTCGCTGGAATGCCTCAGCAAGCGAGAGTCCAAAAGCGGCAGGCTCAAACCCAGAACCTCAACCAATGGCTGATACCAAATGAGAGACTCCCCCCTGGGCACACAGAAGACTGGGCGACTTGGAAGGCGCTGAACAGACTGCGCTCTGGCACCACGAGATGCAGAGCCAACCTTAAGAAATGGGGCCACAAAGTGGAGTCCAAAGCATGCGAATGTGGAGAAGAGCAAACCACAGACCACCTATTACAATGCAGTCTGAGCCCTGCCACATGCACAATGGAGGACCTTCTTAAGCAACACAGAAGCACTCCAAGTGGCCAGAATCATAGAATCATAGAATCAAAGAGTTGGAAGAGACCTCATGGGCCATCCAGTCCAACCCCATTCTGCCAAGAAGCAGGAATATTGCATTCAAATCACCCCTGACAAGGTCAAAGGACATTTAATCAACTACCAAACTCACAAATTTTGTATTTTGTCTGTTTGTTTGCTTTGTTCTGTTAGAAATGTAATATAATTAACTGGTTGCCCTGACACGAGAAATAAATAGCAAGTTAAGGGTGACAACCAGAGCTGCCCATCAACAATAGCGCCACGTGGGAAAGTGAATGGGAGGGACATACAGCACAGCCTATTAGACGTCATTCCTGCGTGCTTCCGGATTGGTTGCCATCGTCAGCCAATCGTAGCCATACCAGAGGCGGAAGAAGGTTAGCAGCCTCAAAAGCAACCAATCAGCGCCGGAGTTGGGGTTTGCGCACTTAAAGGCCTCGATTGGCTCTTTCCAAAAATCTTCGGAAGCTAATTGGTCGTCTAAGCTGGCTCATTTAGAGCCGGCCAATAGGAATGAAGCGGGTCGCGAGCGCGGCGGGGCTTTTAAATCCTCGCGCTCGTTTTTTGTTCCGCGTTCCTGGTCTCCTAGCAACGCGGCCTCAGCCCTGCCGCGCCGCCTGGGAAACCCCGCCTTGTCTCCGGCCTGGTCTTTCCGCCCCGTCGGTGCGGACACCCTGAAGCGGGCTGATCTCGCGATAGCCGTATCTATATAATCAGTTACGGCGCTGGTTTTGTAGGACCTTCCTCTCCGTGATAAGTAAGACAGAACCACTGTTCAGACGTGCGTTGAAAGACACGTGTGGCCTTTATTTTTATTTATTTTATTTTAATATTTATTATTATTATTATTTATGCAGTATTATATTTTAATATATAATTTTATTTATTTGTATTTTATATTTTATATTAAATTGTATAATTTTTATTTATTTTTACTATTTTATTTATTTTAATATTATTATTATTTATACAGTATTATATTTTAATATATAATTTTATTATTTATTTGCATTTTACATTAAATTGTATTATATAATTTCATTAATTATATTTTCTATTATAATTTATGATTCTATTATTGTTTGTTTATATTTTATTTATATTTATTTTATAATATTATTTCTAGTTTATATTTTAATTTACAATTATTTTATTTATATTTTATATTTTATTTTATAATATTACTTATAATATTATAATTTATAGTTTATATTATAATTTCTACTTTTAATATTGTTTATTTGTATTTTATGTTGTGTTTTATATTTTTCATAATTTTAATTATTATTATTTATTTTATTATTTATATTATAATTTATATTATAATTGTATTGTTTTTACATTTTATTTATATTTATTTTATAATGTTATTTATAGTTTATATTTTAATATACAATTATTTTATTTAGGTTTTAGATTTTATTTTATAATATTATTTATAATATTATCATGTATTTATAGTTTATATTATAATTTCTAATTTTATTATTATTGCTTATTTGTATTTTATATTGTGTTTTATATTTTTCATAATTTTATTATTATTTATAATTTATATTGTAATTTATAATTGTATTGCTTTTTATATTTTATTTAATAATTTTATATTATTAATTGTATTATTATTGTTTATTTATATTTTATATTGTGTTTTATATTTTTCATAATGTTATTATTATTTATAATTTATATTATAATTTATAATTGTATTGTTTTTTATATTTTATTTATATTTTATTTAATAATTTTATATTAATATTATTATTACATATTATTTTAAAATTTATAATTGTATTACTGAATTAGATCAGTTGTTTTCAGGATGATAAAAACATCAAAATCATCCGGGCGTCCCCTGGGCAACGTCCTTGCAGGCGGCCAATTCTCTCACACCAGAAGCGACTTGCAGTTTCTCAAGTCGCTCCTGACACGACAAAAAAAAAATGATTCTGTGGTCAACTTCTTTACTTTGTTTGAAGTGTTATTTCTAAAGGTTGAATGAAAAGGTAATGCCTCCACCTTCGTAACTCCTCAAGATGGCAGTACTGGTATGGCAGGTACTGGCTTGTTCAGTAGACTCTCCTCTACAGTTCCATTTTGGTGGAAGCCTTAGCATTGAATGGTTGTGTTGTTAAAGTTCAAAGTATGGAACCCTGCGCAGATGGTCAGTCAATGCGACTTAAGCAACGTGCTCATTGAATTCTTGACAGCAGAAGGTGTCAACATCTTTAAACTTACTCGCCCAACGACGCACAGTACTCACATCAACACAATCACCATAAACAGCTTGCATTCTCTGATGAATCTCCTTTGGGGTGACACCTTCTGCTGTCAAGAATTCAATGACTGCACGTTGCTTAAGTCGCATTGACAACCGTCTGCGCACTTTAACAACACAACTGCTCAATGCTAAGGTTTCCCGCCAAAATGAAACTGTAGAGGAGAGTCTACTGAACAAGCCAGTACCTGCCACATACCAGTACTGCCATCTGTTGAGGAGTTCTGAAGGTGGAGGCATTACTTTTCATTCAACCCTCGTACAATCCCCAAACGATAAAGGAACTGGGTTGCTGTGACTTTTCTGCTGTATGGCCATGTTCCAGAAGCATTCTCCCCTGACGTTTCACCCACATCTACGGCAGGCATCCACAGAGGTTGTGAGGTATATTGGATACTAAGCAAGGGATGTTTATATTTCTGTGGAAGGTCCAGAGTGGGAGAAAGAACTCTTGTATGCTTGAGGCAAGTGTGAATGTTGCAATTGGCCACCTTAGTTAGCACTGAGTGGCCTTGCAGCTTCAAAGCCTGGCTGCTTCCTGCCTGGGGGAATCCTTGGTTGGGAGGTATTAGCTGGCCCTGATTGTTTCCTGTCTGGAATTCCCCTGTTTCTTCTTCGTGGTGTTTGGTGAAATAAGCACATATGGTACTTGATGCACCTTGTTTGTCTGCAAAATGCTTTGTATGTTGTTACTGCTGTTGTGAACTTATCATAGGCTTTTCTTGCAAGAGTTGTTCAGACTTGGTTTGCCTGCCTTAGAGGCTGAGAGGGTGTGACTTGCCTAGGCTCATGACATAAATGCAATAATAACAGGCCAATGCGGACTCCACCATAGACATCAGAAGAGCTGCAAGACCAAGAACAAGCTACAAGAGCCAAGACAAAGATCCACCCAGAGGAAAAGTGTTCTTGCCATCAAGAAAACCACCGACCGCATAGGGAAGCTGATGAGGAAACACAATCTACACACTATCTATAAGCTCACTAAGAAAATCCAGCAAATGCTACGTTCAGCAAAGGACAAGAGGGATCCTCTCACCTCTACAGGTGTCTATTGTATACCCTACAGCTGTGGACAGTTTACATAGGGACCACCAAAAGCAGCTTTGCCCAAACATGAATCAAGGAACATGAAAGGCACTGCAGACTACTTCAACCAGAGAAGTCAGCCATAGCAGAGCACCTGATGAACCAGCCTGGACATAGCATATTATTTGAGAACAATATGCTGGACCACTCTGACAACCACCATGTCCGACTACTAGAGAAGCCATTGAAATCCACAGGCATGTGGTCAAATTCAACACAAAGGAGGAAACCATGAAAATGAACAAAATCTGGCTACCAGTATTTAAAAACTCTAAAATCAGGTTAGTAAATAAAGAGCAACACAAAACAGAGGAATTCCAGACATGAATCAATCAGGGCCAACTAACCCTCCAGCAAAGGATTCTCCAAGGCAAGAAGCAGCCAGGCTTTGAAGCTGCAAGGCCATTCAATGCTAATCAAGCTGGCCAATTGCAACATTCACACCTGTCTCAAGCAGATAAGAGTTCTTTCTCCCACCCTGGACATTCCACAGATATATAAACCTTATTTTCCTAGTTTCCAACAGACCCCTCAACCTCTGAGGATGCCTTCCATAGATGTGGGCAAAACATCAGGAGAATGCTTCTTGAACATGGCCATACAGGCCAGGAAACCCACAACTTCCTCTACTGTAAAATTACATGTCTACACTTTACCTTAGTAAAGGTAAAGGTTTTTCCCTGTCTGACTCTGAGGGCTGGTACTCATTTCCATTTCTAAGCTGAAGAGCCAGCGTTGTCCGTGGTCACCTTAAAGGTCATTTGGCCGGCATGACTGCATGGAGTGCCATTGCCATAAAAGAGATTAATTACCAATGCCATTTAGTGTCGTGTTATTGCTGCTATTATTATTATTATTATTATTATTATTATTATTATTATTATATTCTGAAGATGCCAGCCACAGATGCAGGCAAAGAACATACCCATACAGCCCGGTGGAGGCATTACTTTTCATTCAACCCTCTTACATCAGGCTTGGGCAAACTTGGGCCCTCCAGGTATTTTGGATTTCAACTCCCACAATTCCTAGCAGCTGGTAGGAATTGTGGGAGTTGAAGTCCAGAACACCTGGAAGGCCCAAGTTTGCTCATGCCTGTTATACATTCAGAAGATATCTCATTTACATAGAGTAATGTTCCAGTATAAGCAGGAAAATAAAAACACAAAAGGAGAAACAATAATTACATTTGTCTCTAAAAGCTGACCAAATGTCATAACATAAAATCCATTTGTAAATGTTGTCCACGCATTATTTTTTCAAATGTCACAAACTTTGTTAGATCTTCTGTCCATTGGATCACAGGTGTGGGAAAATTATCTTTTTGGAAATAGAGCATATATCTTTTAGCTGTCAAAAGGGAATGAAACATCCGCTTTCTTAATGCTTAACATCTCCAGTAATTATCTGATTTAGGAATGTTTTTTGAGTAGAAGTTATCACAGCCAATATACTCAATAGGGCAATTTCTCCTGTATATACTGTATAATGTAGTTGGAGACCTATACTAGTTATAGACATTGAAACTGATGGCCATTGATTAGCCATACTTAGATATTTGTAATGTATTTAAAAACACAAAGTTTAAAAAGTTGGCATTATACTAAATGTCCTTTTTACCAGTAGCTGGCCAGTTGGAGTGCCTCTGGTGTTGCTAAGGTCTTCCATTGTGCATGTGGCAGTGCTTAGACTGCATTGTAATAGGTGGTCTGTGGTTTGCTCTTCTCCATACTCACATGTCATGGACTCCACTTTGTGGTCTGTTTAGTGCCTTCCAAGTAAATATTTGAAAAAAATACTTGCAAGGTGTAAATAGAGGAGTTTCACGAATAAACAATCCCAAGTGCAGGCTGAGCCCAGAATTCCGAAATCCAAAATTGTCCATGTGAGTGGCTGAAATAGAGCAACTTTTGTGTATTGTCGAAGGCTTTCATGACCGGATTCACTGGGTTGTTGCCAGTTTTCTGGGCTGTATGGCCATGTTCCAGAAGCATTATCTCCTGATGCTTCGCCTGCATCTATGGCAGGAATCCTCAGAGGTTGTGAGGTTCTCACAACCTCTGAGGATGCCTGCCATAGATGCAGGCGAAACGTCAGGAGAGAATGCTTCAGGAACATTACCGCACAACCCGAAAAACTTAAAACAACCCAGTGCCACTTTTGCTTTTTGTTGATTCAACTTAGTTTCATGCACAAAATTATTACAATTGTTGTGTGTATCTAAACTTCCATTTGGGGGTTTTGTATATGAAAGTTAAATGACAGTTGTGTTGTAGACTTGAGTCCCATCTCCAAGATGCCGCATTATGTAATGTGGATGTTCCAAAATGTGGGGAAAAAATCATGTTTATCCTGTCCTCTTTTAAGCTTGCCCCTTAATCTGAATCTGAACTGTCACGAAGAGTTCCCTGTGGCAACATGAAGGACACAGAGTTGCAATGTGAACTAACCAGGAAGGAGAAACTTTGTTTACATGGTTGCCTCCAAAGCCCTGGACAGACTCTGATCCCTGCTCCTCTGTTCTCTTTTCCACCCACATAGGGTTAATCCACCGAGTAAGGCTTGCCTAGAGTGACCCTGAGCAATGGCATCCAGCGGAGTGGGAAATGGCTAAAGTATGAAAACTCTTTCCGGCTGGGGGCGGGGAAGGCATTCCTGGTTTTGAATTTTCTTGATATGCAGCTTTGATTCTCACGGGAGGAAACACCAAGCCCCGCATTCACTTTGCAAGGGGAAAGAGGTGTCAAAAAGGTGAGCTCTTAACTAATTTTTTATTGGGGGGGGGGGGTCTCGATGAAATGTCTATAGCGAAGCGAAGGAAGTGAATGCAGGCTGACATGGCTGAAAGGGAGAAGGGCTGGTGCCATCTCATACTGACACTCTTACCTTTTCTCATTGACTTTCCTACTCACTTCTTTGGTCTAGAACTGGTGAACAGAAGCCTCTGATCCTTTCTCCTTGCAGTGAATGTTTTGAAAATATTTCTTACTAGCCATCCCCTGCCACACGTTGCTGTGGCCCAGTCTGTGTATATGTATTTTGTGTGTGTATATATTTGTTTATGTAATAATAATAATAATAATAATAATAATAATAATAATAATACTTTATTTATATATCGCTCCATCTCCCCGAGGGGACTCAGAGCGGTTCCCAGGTAACATCACAAAACATACAGAGTAAAAACAACATAACCATAAGATTAACAAACAAAATATAAGCATAAAAATTGTCGCCATAACACACATATATTAAAAGTAATCCTGCCTGTTCAAGGCAATTAAAAAAATTTAAAAGGCCGGGCCAAGATTTGTGCAAGCCGAAAAATTCTAGGGCCCCCGGGAATTAAATGTAATGCTATGGCAGGCAACAATAATATTAGGAATGGGTCTGTTGCTGTTAATTCTGGGGCCGATTAGAGGAAAGAATCTGGGTAACTGGTAGGAAGAATAAGGCCATATTGGACAATGTGTAGGGCTGAGTTAGAACTGGTCATTTTCAAAGCCTTGTTAAAACCATGCGTATATACGTGTGTTTGCGTTTCTATATGTGGTTTTGCACATGTGTTGTAATATATTTTTATATTGTTTTGGCTTTTTAAGTCTCTTCCACTCTGTTTTTCAGTGTTTTAATGAGTGATGGTCACTTGTTGGCCTGATACACGTATTGTGTCCAAATTTGGTGCCAATTCGTCCAGTGGTTTTTGAGTTATGTTAATCCCACAAACGAACATTACATTTTTATTTGTATAGATTTCTGTGCATTGTTCACTGGGAGATGAGGTTGTTTAAGTCTCGTGAGACTTTGTGGGGCATAATTACATTTTGTATGAGTGTGTGATCCGCCCGCACATAAAAATCTCTTGATTCTGTTCCTGTGTGTTTACTTCTCCCACTTTGTTCTTCTGAATGGTGGCTTCTCCCAACTTCTGCGAATTATATTCAAACATTATTTTATTAATTGTCGAAGGCTTTTATGCCCGGAATCACTGGGTTGTTGTAGGGTTTTCGGGCTGTGTGGCAATGTCCTAGAAGCATTCTTTCCTGACGTTTTACCTGCATCTATGGCAGGCATCCTCAGAGGTTCCCCTCAAACACACGGGAACTCAAGACAAGAAACAATCAGGAACAGCTAATCACCACTCAACTAAGGATTCCCCCAGGCAGTAACAAGCCACACCTAAAAACTGCCAGGCTATCAAATGCTAATCGGGTCTATGTCTGTTCTCGTTTTTATTGTATTTTAAAGTTGGTTGTATTGTTTTAATCTACTGTTGTAAACCACTCCGAGCCAAATTGGGAGTGGCGGTATACAAGCCAAATAAATAAATAAATAAATAAATAAATAAATAATCAATCAAGGTGGCCAATTGAAACATTCACAGCTAGCTCCAACAGACAAGAGTTCTTTCTCCCACCCAGGACTTTCCACAGATATATAAACTTAATTTTCCTAGTTTCTAACAGACCTCACAACCTCAGAGGATGCCTGCCATAGATGCAGGCAAAAGGTCAGAAGAAAATGCTGCTAGAACATGGCCACACAGCCTGATAATCCAACAACAACCAAATTATTTTATTTCTTTTTATTTAAAACATTTGTATTCCACCCTTCTCACAACATACAAACATTCAATGTCGGTGTCAGGGCTCTCGCAGAGCTGCACAATCAAAACACCATGCCAAGTGTTACTTCTATTCCCATCCACTGTATCTCTTTCCTCCCCCTCACTCATTGACCCTTCATCTCCAGAAAACCCTTCGAATGAGTCTTCGTCGGTAGGCCTGGATCCTTTTCCTTTGTTGTTATTCATCTGACTCCTGCTCACGAGTACCCCTTTCCCCCCTTCTGGCACTCATACTACTGCTTGCAACGTTACTTACAGGCTCTACTACAACAGCCAGGGCATGAATAAATTATATGCATACATAAACATTTAAAACATTTGTCTCAACATTAAAATACACTGTTTAAAAACATCTCAATCATCTGCATCTATTTGGCCTGGTAAGGTTTCCTATCGTTGCTTTATTGCACTGTCCTGAAAGCTTGGTCCCACAGCCAAGTTTTTACCATCCTTCTGAAGGACAGGGGGGAGGGGCGCGCGATCTGATCCCACCAGGAAGGGAGTTTCATAGCCGAGGGGCCACCACTGAGAAGGCCCCTTCTCTTGTCACCGCCAATTGCGCCTGTGACAATGGTAGGATGCAGAGCACGGTCTCCTCCTCGGATCTTAATCTCCGTGCAGGTTCATAGAGGGAGATGCATTCGAACAGGTAAATTGGGCCACGGCCATTTATAGCCCAAAGCCAGCATTTTGAATTATGCTCAGTAGCAAACTGGCAGCCAATGGAACTGACATAACATGGGAGTTGTGTGCTCCCTGTACGCTGTCCCAGTTATTAACCTGGCTGCCTCTTGTTGGACTATTTGAAGCCTCCAAAAAGTCTTCAAAGGCAACCCCACGTAGAGTGTGTTGCAATAGTCTATTCTAGATGTAATGAGAGCGTGGACCACTGTGGCCAAGTCTGACTTCCCAAGGTACGGGTGCAACTGGCGCACAAGTTTACACACACACACACACATAATAAAAGTGAAAATGTGTATGCTGGCACACCTACCCACCATGGGCAACTGTGCATACTGGCAGGGTTTTTGGAATTGCCCTGGGAATTTGGGAGTTGTAGTTCACTCTTATCCAGAGAACACCGAACCCAGCTGATGACAGATCTGAACCAAACTTGGCACACAGAACCAACATGGCCAACTTTGAATAAGCCTGTGATAGTGGCGGGACGGAGAGCACGGCCTCCTCGAAGGTTCATACCGCAATTAAGAAAGCCTCTGAGAAAGGGTATATCCTAGGCATGGGCAAACTTTGCCCCTCCCTCCAGGTGTTTTGGACTTTAATTTCCACAATTTAGGAATTATGGGAGTTGAAGTCCAAAACACCTGGAGGGCCGAAGTTTGCCTGGGATATCCACACTTTGTAATTACAGTAAGCTCTCCCATGTTCACTGGACCTAGGGGCACAGGGTCCCTTTGACAGTTAGAATACACAAATATATATTTTTAATCTCTAGGAATTTCTCTAGGTCTTCCAGCACAATTCTATGTTCAGGGCAGCTTCCAACAATATACAAATACCAATAAAATACACAGTTACATAAAATGGTAATAAATATACATTTAAAAATAGTTTGCCAAGTTTAAAACGTGCTTCGAATCAGTCCAAAAAATGCGATCCATCCACTCATCTAAGCCAATAAAAACCATCTATTCCACATTGTGGGAATGCTTGCTCCCACAATGTGTGTATACAAAGAGATGCTTGTATCGAATATGACATAGTGAAGAAATATCTCTCCATCTCCAGGAACATTGCCAAATCAGATTAGCCAGTATTAAATTCACTATGCCTATTAGCTAACTTCATTGTGCCTTCCATTATCCTAGTTGCTACTAAGAGAAAAGACCACCAGGAATCTTTAGACAGGGAAAAATCCTACCTGAAACTCCAGAGAGAACTTGTTTTCAATCACGGCTGATCATCCTGACCTCAGTGGTCCTATTAATATAAGGCAGGGAATCCTTACTACTGTGCTCTTTCCCATTTTGATTCCTGGAGGACTGTATCTTCCCATATGAGCCTCCTCCCCTCTGGCTTTGACTTTTTGAGGGGAGCCCTTCCCTTGGGTGTCTTTCACACTGCATCATCATACAGCCGTGACACAATGGGTTAAATCCTTGTGCCTGCTGAAATGCTGACCTGAAGGTTGGTAGTTCAAATCCGTGAAATGGGGTAAGTTCCTGTCTGTCATCCCCAGCTTCCCATGCGTGGACATGAGAGAAGCCTCCCACAGGATGGTAACACATCGAGGCATCCCCTGGGCAACGGCCGATTCTCTCACACTAGAAGCAACTTGCAGTACGTTCGTAATTCACTTCTGACACGATTTAAAAAAATTATACCGGTTGCCTATCTTTTACCAGGTTACTAATTGGAGCGCCGTTCTGGGAGAGAACCACTTCCATGTTGTGACAGCTCCACTGGCTGCCAGTCTGCTTACAAAGTGCTGGTTCTTACCTTTAAACCCCAAAAGGGCTTAGGTCTAGACTATTTGACAAACCACATCTCCCTCTACAGACCAACTTACACACTGCTGTCATCGGAGGAGGTCCTCCTCTCAGTTCCACCCCGTCCCAAGCACGCTGGTGTGCCTTCTCCGCAGCTGACCCTCCACCTCTGGAACTCCCTTCCTAAGGAGTTAAAGATGGCCCCTCCCTCCCTGCTTTCAAAAAACAGCTGAAGACATACCTTTGCTCACTGGTTTACGAGGAGGAGGAATAGTAGTTGGTAATACTACCATTATACCTCTGATTAATAGTTGCCACCCATATCCATGCCCTGCTTCCTCCACCAGCTCAATAGATATCTTGAGCAATGATTAATCAATTTGCCCCAGAGAAATGGGAAATTATTGTTTCCATTTGATGTTTGATGTTTTGTCTTATGTCTGTTATAACAGGCTGTCCTTTTTATTTAATTTTAGTTCATTAAGTTATAATTCATATTTATATGTTGGATTGTATACATTTTGTTAGTATGGATGTATTGTTGTTGTATTTGGGCATTGAATGTTTGCCCTGAGTCCCTTTGGGGAGATAGAGTGGAATATAAATAAATCATTATTATTATTATTATTTTATTATTATAGCTGAAATGCTTGGAGCCAGAAGTGTTTTGGATTTTGCTACTTTTCTTCAGATTTTGGAATATCTGTATTTGCATATATGGGTACCTATGGTCAACTTTTTCCGGTCACACTGGAAAATCTAGAGATTCCTAATAAGAACATCTTTCTACGAATGTCTAGGGCTTCCATTGCAATTCTGTAGTCAGCTTCCAGCAGACTGGAAGGGTTAGAAATTCCTAGAGAGAGTCTCTCAGGTAAAAGAGTAGCAATTTCTATATTCATGGTTTTTCACTTTCAAAGGGATCCTGCAGCCCTAACCCCCGTGAAATTGGGGGAGGGGGCTAATGCACATCATATTAGGTAAAGGTAAAGATTTCCCCTGACATTAAGTTGAGTTATGTCCAACTCTGGGGGTTGGTGCTCATGTCCATTTCTAAGCCGTAGGCACCTCCTAGATCATATGGCCAGCATGACTGCATGGATGGCTGTTACCTTCCTGCCAGAGCAGTACCTGTTGATCTATTCACATTTGCATGTTTTCAAACTGCTTGGTTGGCAGAAGCTGGTGCTAACAGCCGGAGCTCACCCCGCTTCCCTGATTGAACCGCTGACCTTTCCATCAGCAAGTTCAGCTCATTGGTTTAACCTGCTGTGTCTCTGCATTTTGTACATGTACATCATATCCATGTACAAAATTATTTTCTTGGTGCCATCAGTACAATATCATTTGTTTGTCTTTCTTTCTAACAGGCAAACCTTTCTCTGAATATATCGATACCTGTTTGTTCAAACCTGGAATAATTTATAGCAACTCAGGCCCGATACTTCCCACATGCATGAGGCAAAAGAGGGAGGTCCGCAGAGAGTAAGAAGATAGCCAGCTTTGCCGTGCCAAAAGTGATCAAATGGCTGCCGAACGAGCAACGTTGGCCAAAATGGGCATCCCGTGCCAAAGTGTACAGCACCAAATAAAAATGGAGGATGGCAACAAAGAAGGCGGGGGGCTGAAATCACACCATATGGTCCCACCCAGGGGTCTGACGAACCTCTTGGGATGGCCGGGTCCGGAGCAGAGGAAGCAGGACCCCGACGAGGAGCTGCCCCAGTGCTGGGACCACCTGAAGCTGGTCCAGTCTCCGCTCCTGGGATGGGCGAATCCTCAGCAACCGAGTGAATTCATGCTGAGACAACAGGAGGTCATGATCCGCGAGCAGCAGGTGAAAACTGGGACACTGGCAAGAAAAAGCAAGAGGGCTGGGGCCAAAGCAGATCTGGCAGACTTTGATCAGAGCTGCTTAAGCAGAGGGGGAAGGTGCATCTTTCAGCCCGAGGGCTTCATTCAGTTTCAGAACCATTCTGGGTTGAGTGGGTTGCTTGGATCAGAGCTGACGGCACTCTTGACCTTGCTGGAAGAGAGTTACAGTCCAACCACATTTGGAAAACTGCATGAGATCCCACTCCTTATTGCAGGCATGGGCAAACTTTGGCCCTCTAGGTGTTTTGGACTTCAACTCCCACAATTTCTAACAGCCTACTGGCTGTTAGGAATTGTGGGAGTTGAAGTCCAAAACACCTGGAGGGCCAAAGTTTGCCCATGCCTGGCTTATTGTAAGCAGCCTTGGAAAATCCCTATGAGCTCAGGAAGTGGAGACCGATCTGGGGAAACTGAAGACTGTGTCTAGGAAGGGTATAAGTTTCCCTTGACATTAAGTCTAGTCGTGTCCGACTCTGTGGGGTGGTGCTCATCTCCATTTCTAAGCCACGTTGTCCATAGACAACTCCAAGGGCATATGACTGGCATGACACCTATGTAATTTTGATGGTGTTGTTTATGTTTTTGGTTTTATGCTGCTGTAATATGTTGTCCGGGCTTGGCCCCATGTAAGCTGCTCCGAGTCCTCACTGGGGACATGGTGGCGGGGTATAAATAAATATTATTATTATTATTATTATTATTATTGACTGCGTGGAGCACCATTACCTTCCCGCATAAGCGGTACCTATTGATCTACTCACATTTGCATGTTTTCGAACTGCTAGGTTGGCAGAAGCTGGACCTAGTAGTGGGAGCTCATCCCGCTCCCTGGATTCAAACCATTGGCCTTTCAGTCAGCAAGTTCAGCAGCTCAGTGGTTTAACCCGTTGCGCCACCGAGGGCCCAGGAAGGGGATATGCAATTTTTAATCCAGGAAATATGAATTGCTTCTATAAAACAGGCCTTTATTACTCTTCTCAGGTGCCGGTTCTGTTTGAAGACATGGACGTCCACTCCCTGGAGGCTGAGCAAGTCTTGCTGGATCGGCAGCAGCAGCTCCTCAGGGAGGCCCAGGCAGGGCTGGAGAGGGAGGCTTCCTCACTCGGTAGGGCAGCGAGATGAGCAACTTCCAAGGGCCGCTTATCAGGTTGGATGTGCCTGAATAGGCACACATCCAGCAGGGAGAATTCTGAGAGGGAAATATTTTTGGAAAACGTGAATCTCCATAACCATTTGAGAAATGGGATTCATAATCTTTTTGAAAAACCACAGGTCATGGGAAAGGCATGACCTTGTTAGAAGTCACAACATTTTGAAAAATGATGTTCACCAGCATTCATGCAAGGCAGCTAGGTTTCTCAGCTGTTGAGCTGATATACCTTTGTCAGGGACAAAGACATGCCAAGGCACAAAATATATATTCAGCAGCATTACAGAAGTGCTCATTTAGTTGCCCCAAAAAAATCTACTCTCCCTTAAAATATATTTGTATTTAAATCTTGCTCTCAAGAGACAAAATAAACAGCCTTCCTTAAAAGTAACAGTTGGTTTACTCACAAACTTAATGTATACAACATACAGGCACTTTGCCTATGAATCTAGTTACAATAGGATTTTAAGTACTGTATATACTTGAGTATAATCCTAGTTTTTCTGCTCTTTTTTAGGCTGAAAAACTCCCCCTTTGCTTATACTCAGGTCAAGGTTATTTATTATTTTACTTTGTTATTGTTATTATTATTATTATTACCATTATTATTATTATTATTATTATTACATTTGTCATTTTACTCTGTTATCATTACATTTATTATTTTACTTTATTGTTATTACATTTATTATTTTACTCTATTATTGTTATTATTACGTTTAATATTTTACTCTATTGTTATTATTACATTTATTATTTTACTCTATTATTGTTATTACGTTTAATATTTTACTCTATTGTTATTATTACATTTATTATTTTACTCTATTATTATTGGAAGGATGCGTAAGCACATTTATATTAATGAAGGTTAGAATAATGTTTCAATCAGAGTTGGACAGTCTTCTCTTAAATTACAGTTTTATGTAAATGTACAAAAACATTTAACCTACGGATGCCTCAATTAATGTAATTTTATTGGTATCTATTTTTATTTTGAAATTTATCAGCAGTGGCTGCATTTCCCACCCTCGGCTTATACTCGAGTCAATTCGTTTTAGCAGTTTTTTGTGGTAAAATTAGATGCCTCGGCTTATATCCAGGTCGGTTTATACTCAAGCATATAGGGCAGTTCCTCTGTGTACGTAACACAGGGTATCTTCCTTCCATAGTCCAAAACATCTCTTGCTTCTGAGAGTCTAATGAGTCTAAGCATACTGTTCCTATATTGAAGTCTAAACTGTACTCACTGCTTCTGATGTAAACATGCACTGACTTCTAAAAACATACAGCTGGATTCTACTATTGGTAAGAGTCTAGGGCTTCTACAAACTAAAATGGAGTCTGAGTCCTGAACATGCCCAGTTCTGATCACATGGTCTGCAGCCCCTCCCACAACAAAGAGCTTAAGTAGAATTGAAAACCAATACACACATATACAATACAGTAAGCAATTATATAACTTGTGGAGGCTTGAGAAGGTTGCAGCTGGTAGGCTGTTAGGAATTGTGGGAGTTGAAGTCCAAAACACCTGGAGGGCCAAAGTTTGCCCATGCCTGGCTTACAAGTACTTCCTTTGTTTTGTTGTTCTGTAGTGGTTGGCTCCATCACGCCAATACACAACTTCCACAAAATGAGCCGCCGGGGCACCAACTGGTCCCATGGCGAAGTGCTGGACCTGCTGGAGATTTGGGGGGAGCAAAGGATCCAGCAAGTCCTGCAGAGCAGCCACCGGAACATCGACACCTTCCAGGTCATTGCCAACGAGATGGCCAAGAAGGGGCACGAGAGGACCCCCCAGGAGTGCCGGACCAAGACCAAGACCCTGCGGCGGGACTACAAGAAAGTCAAGGAAAACAACTTGGCAGGGAAAGAGCCCATGACCTGCCCTTTCTACGACGAGCTGGACCGTATTTTTGAGACGCCTCCTCCACCACCTCCTGAGAGGATGCCAAATTTCATCTACCAGGAAGAGGCGGGAGGGGACAACCCTCCTCTAGATGCTCCAGAGAAGGAGGAACCCCCTGAAGAGTCTGATGATCTTTGCGAGACTCAAGACCAAGGCAACCCCTCTTCTTCGTTGTCCTTTGAACCTGTCGATTCAGTGGATTCTGGTGCTGCTGTGTTCAAATCAGAAAATGCCTTTCAGGAGCCGGTGGGCATTCCTCAGCCAGCCGTTGGTGAGTATCCCATTTGTGTGGTTCCAGTGGCAAAGAGTAATTTTCAACACCCAGGCAGCTATCATGTAAATAATTTCCCAGATAACTTTTACAAAATTATATTTATAGTTTAATATGAACACAATTCATTCGTCATCATTATGAACTCCAGTATACTTTACTATATAACAGGCATGGGCAAACTAATAATAATAATAATAATAATAATAATAATAATAATAATAATAACAACAACTCCTCAAGGGACTCGGTGCAGCTTACATGAGGCCGAGCCCGAATACAACAATACAAGCAATAACAACAGTATAAGCAAATTAAAAATAAAACATTGGCAATAAAATATACAACATAATCAATAAGACAACACACAATTAAACAGTGGGAAGGCCAAATGTAAAATTAAAATTGGAAGTAATGCTGGGACATGGATGAGAAGGTGATAGTGGCGTTTGTGGACGGGCATACGAGCAGACCTAAAAAATGTAAAGTGCTTTGGAGGGCAAAGTGCTATGGAATCAGGTGTTTTGGACTTCAATTCACACAATTCCCAACAGCCACTAGGCTGTTAGGAATTGTGAGAGTTGAAATCCAAAACACCTGGAGGGACAAAGTTTGCCCATGCCTACTATATAATATTACACAGATCCCCCACCCCACAACATCCCCAAATACATTTTTTTTTGCTTAAGAGTAACATGTACACATTCTGAAATCTGAAATCATAAAAATACATGATCTCCAAGGTATCTGTGAAGTACTTACCGTATATACTTGAAGATTAGCCAAGTTTTTCAGCAGGGCTGAGAGGAGATATGATAACCATGTATAAATATGTGAGAGGAAGTCATAAGGAGGAGGGAGCAAGCTTGTTTTCTGGAGACTAGGACGCAGAACAATGGCTTCAAACTATAAGAAAGGAGATTCCATCTGAACATTAGGAAGAATATCCTGACTGTGAGAGCCGTTCAGCAATGGAACTCTCTGCCCCTGAGTGTGGTGGAGGCTCCTTCTTTGGAAGCTTTTAAACAGAGGCTGGATGGCCATCTGTCAGGGGTGCTTATGTTATTTTGCACTGTTTATTTTACTTGAATGGCTTATTTATTTTATTGTGATGTTATTTTTGTTGTTTATATTTTATTTTACTTATTTTGGGGAGATGGTGGCGGGGTATAAATAAAGATTATTATTATTATTATTATTATTATTATTATTATTATTATTATGCCACAAATTATTGATTTGTGGCTACAAAGTTCAACAAGAAGTGCATTCCGTGGCTCATAGAGCATGAAGTAAGTACCATAGAAAAGCTGTTCCTGTCACTTTGTTGGGAACTCTGAGAATGAGTTGGTTACAAGTAGTGTTTGGAAGGTATGTTGAAAGCATTTCCTTTCCTTTCCAGAATTGGATCCTCTGCCTGCCCCCATGTCCCCAGCTCCACAAAGTCTCCCTGGCAGCCCTGCCACCACCAGCTCCATAGCAGGTAATTCCCATTCCTTTTAAGCCATATTATTTCACTTGCAATATTTTCCAGTCAGACTTGCATGGTTTGCTGATGGCCGCTACCCGTGCTGTATGCCAGTGGTTCCCAACCTTTTTTTGACCAGGGTCTACTTTGACCAGGACTCACTCTCCATCATTAGTACTAAAAGGGACAGGGCTGGTTAGCTCTGCTAATAATAATTTATTTTAAAATAATTTATTAATATTAATTAATAAATAAAGAAGAAGGATATTCACGGATCAGATTTTCATTCTCGTGACCCATTGCTGGGGCGTGGCCCACAGGTTGAGAACCACTGCTGTACTTGCATGTTAAGATATTTGGTCTGATTTAATGGTGTCATTACAGATTCCTATAGCCTGCCCTTCACTTTGTGATTCCTTCATCTAATTTTTTAATGCTTTGGAGCTGCACAAATCAGATAGAGGATGATGCGTATTCTCCAGACATTTTCCATTCCAGCTCCCAAAATTCCTCATGGTTTGCCAAGCTGGCTGGGGATTCAGGGAACTGGAAGTCCAAAATAGTCAAACTGTTTTGATTCCACCTGAACATTAGGAAGAACTTCCTAACTATGAGAGCTGTTCAGCAATGGAACTCTCTGTGTGGTAGATGCTCCTTCTTTGGAGGCTTTTCAACAGAGGCTGGATGGCCATCTGTCAGGGGTGCTTTGAATGTGATTTTCCTACTTCTTGGCAGGGGGTGGGACTGGATGGCCCATGAGGTCTCGTCCAACTCTCTGATTCCATGATCTAGGACTCCAAAGTTTGGGAACTACTGGTGTAAACCACTTGTTACTCATCTCTAAACTAAAAATTCTAGATGAGGGCTTTGCAAGTTGTGCGTCACAACACTTTCACGTGTCAGCTGCAAAGCATTAGATGTGGAAATGGAATTACTGTGTTGTGATCTAGAACTTCCCACCTGTCCTTGTAGCATGGGCATGGGCAAACTTCAGCCCTCCCGGTGTTTTGGACTTCAACTCCCACAATTCCTAACAGCCTACCGGCTGTTAGGAATTGTGGGAGTTGAAATCCAAAACACCAGGAGGGCTGAAGTTTGCCCATGCCTGTTGAAGCGTCTTCCTTGTGCCAGAATCTTGTGTAATCTTTCGTTTCCTCCATTCTTTCTCACCGGCAAACTTTTGATTCCCAGAGGTCCACGTGAGCCCTTCCCCAAGTCCTGTGCCAGGGCCTACAGGCCACTCAGCCGCTGAGCGCCTCGTCCACCTTAGGAACCGGCACAAGAAGACCCGGAGCGACATGGCCCTGGACCTTGCGACGGCAGCCGACCGGCGGATGGAGATGGCCACTGAGAAGATCTTTTGGGCGCTCGAAGATTACGCCCGGGCAGACTTGGAGGACCGGGAGAGGCACCGGGCGGGAACGGAGCGGATCATCAACATCATGAACCGCCAGACTGAACTTTTGGAGCTCCTTGTGCGGCATCAGCCCTCCGCTCCTGTGGCGGGGCCCCCAACCTCTGTGCGGCACAGGTGGCCCCCACGGCCAACGGGCCTCTCTTCCTCCCGCCTTGGGTTCAACCGACGGGCGCTGATTGCCAGGATACGGAACAGAAGGCGGGCTCAAAACCACAATCCTTGAATATTGCTTGCATGTTGATAAGTTACGGTTAGAAAAGTTGCATCTTTTTTAAAAAACAAAATACCCATTTTAGATTAAAAGGAGGCCTTAAGTATATTCTGAATTCTCCCACATACAGTTCTTCTCCCCATGAGCTATGGAAACCATTGCTTCTTGCTTTTCTTTTGTGTTAAAACAAATAATAAACTCAATTTTGGTCATGTCTCGGCATTTCAGTTTCTAAAAAACAATTACAGAAGACTCTTAATTAACAGCACCTGGATAAATGTAGTTTCTTGTTGCTTGAGAGTTATTGCTAAAAATGGGCCTAACACATACTATCCCCCATACTATAAACTCTGTATTGATTTGATATTAATTGTCTGGATCTATAGCTTTTTGACAAAGAAATTACCGGAATCACTGGGTTGTTGTATGTTTTTTCGGGCTATATGGCCATGTTCTAGAGGCATTCTCTCCTGACGTTTCGCCTGCATCTATGGCAAGCATCCTCAGAGGTCACAGACAGACCTCACTACCTCTGAGGATGCTTGCCATAGATGCAGGCGAAACGTCAGGAGAGAATGCCTCTAGAACATGGCCATATAGCCCGAAAAAACATGCAACAACCCAATGTTGTAGAACAGTTTTATTATAATAAAACGTCTTTTGAATTTTTATTAAAATATTATTTCCTTGATGGTATTTTTGACCTATTGCTTAAGCTCCGATTAATGGGGTCTACTGTATTATTATTATTTAAATTTATACCTCACTTTTCTCTCTTGATTGATACCAAAGAGAACCTGGGATGGCCACTGCTCTGCTTTTTTTGAAGTAGTCAAGTCTAGGTGTTTGGCAATTATGTCTCCATATTGATCAGGTTCCCTGTTTTGGGCGGATTTAAAAAATAGTTTTGCCCAAATTGTGGCATTTAATAGGTAAGTAAGAGTCCGATACAGAATAATACATATGAACCCCTGGTGGCGCAGCAGGTTAAACCGCTGAGCTGCTGAACTTGCTGACTGAAAGGCCGGTGGTTTGAATTTGGGGAGTGGAGTGTGCTCCTGCTGTTAGCTCCAGCTCCTGGAAACCTAGCAGTTTGAAAACATGCAAATGTGAGTGGATCAATAGGTACCACTTCTGCAGGAAAGTATCCGTGACCTTGGACAATACCGGCTCTTCAGCTTAGAAATGGAGATGAGTACCACCCCAGGTGGATATAAGGTCCAGATAAAGAACCAGATGCGTAGTAAATGTGTGTCAAGGAGGGGAAGGAGTCATACCTTTAATCATTAACTTTATTGCCTTAACATTAATCTGTGACAGGTAAGTATCAACATGCCAAACAATACTGAAGAGTCAGTCTTGCCATAAGGTGGAGTGAGACAGTAGCCTCAGGTGGCAAATGCACATTCAGCCTCTTATCTTTTTCTCCTAAATATTCCAATTGTTGCCCTCTGCTTGAGGATAGGTGTGTGTGTGTGAGAGAGAGAGACACACACACACAATCACCCTACAGTCTCGGGTGAGGCAAAGAACCCAAATCCACATATTGGTTTGAAGTAAGATTCAACTACCAGTCCAGGTAATGGATGGAAGAGAATGTCTTTTTTTTGTCTTTTGCCTCAAGCAGCAAAATATTTTGTACTTGCCCTGAAAATAGTATTACATCTTGTTTCTTAATATGAGGGTTATCCAGAAAGTAAGGCACGTAGCTCTCGTGGGGAATTTTCTCGGGGGAAGTTGGTATCACTGCCAGGAAGTGGGAAGTCAGCAGAAGCGAACGAGCAGTGCCAGTTGTCAGTAGCTCATCAACTGGTGTCATGGTGAAGGTTGGAGGTGAGCGTCCTCATTCCATTTCCCTCCAAGTGCGAAGTTTGCCCTGTCATGCACTACCTAAATGCTAAGGGCATGAACGCCACTGCCATTCATCGCGAAATCATTTCAGTTTATGGAGAGGACATAATTTGACAAAATTCGACAAAATGGACTTCCGGTGGGAATGGTGACGGGGAGCTCTCTCAGGGAGGACCTGTGTTGTAGCAACGAGGTTGAGTTTTGGCTCCCCACCTTCGGCCGGATCGAAGGCGAAGGTGTTCGCAAATCCCCTAGGCATTTTGGAGACCCCAAGCGGTTCCCTCCCTCAAGGGGGGAGTCCAGGAGGGTCTGAAATTGCCAAAGGGGGAGCGAGCTGCTCCACAGGATCAAGCTCGGTTGAGCTCGTCCAACTGCCTCCACCCCATTTTTTCAACAAAGAATTTGAAAGAAGAATTCTCCTTTTTTTTGGAGACAAGGGGATTGTAATCCCATCTTTAAGATAAAAAAGGGGGGGAGAAGGGAACTACCCCCAGGATTGTGAAGGAAGGATTGTACCAAGTAGTTATTTGGAGTTAAGAAGAAGATAGCAAAGAAGAGAAATCCAAATTAAGAATTTAGTACTTATATATATATAATATTTGAAATTGAAGAAACTAAGATTGGATGGAAATCGAAAATTAGAAAAGCAGCCCTTGCATCTCTTTAAAAAAACTTTTAAAATAATAGGCTACCCTCCCGCACTACTAGATAAACCTCGGGGTCATAAATGAGGCTTTAAAATGCAACACAGGAGTTGTTGACTTCATTTGGTTGGGGTGTTTTAAGCCACCCCACTCACAGCCCTGATCTTGCACCCAGTGACTATCATCTGTTCACTAAATAGAAGGAACACCTGGGTGGAAAACACTTTTCCAACGATGACGAGATGAAAAGTGACAAATTGGCTGTAAAAGAGGGAGAAAAACTTCTATGACGCAGGCATCAAAAACTTGTCCCACGGATGACAAAATGTATTGAACTAAATGGTGATTATGTGTGAAAATAATGTAATACTTATACTAGAATCCATGGAAGTTTGATTAAAATACAGTGTTCCCTCACTTATTGAGGGTGTTCCATTCCAGGACCACCCGCAATAAGTGAAACTCCACAAAGTAGGGACACTTCGGCCACTCGGCGGTGGCCTCCTCCTTGCCGCCTCTGCTGCTCCTGGCCTTGGAGGTCCGTTGATGGCACTGCCAGGCTGGGCTGAAGCCTCCGTGGAAGGAGTGGGGAGGCGGCGTGGAGGAGGAGGCTGGGTAAGGCCCAGTGCCTGGCTCCCCCTCCCCTCCTCCTCTTCCTCCTCTTCTCCTCCCCTGTGACTCGGGGGGGGGGGGAGCAAAAAACATGAAACAGTGAGTCCGTAATAAGCGAACCGCAAAATAGCGAGCGAACAAAAAATAGTCTAACCCTACTTTCTGGATAACCCTCGTATTTCCAAATGCTCTAGCATCTAAATGGGAACGTTAGCAAATAAATACATAAGGAGATAGTTGAGAGGGAGGATTAAAGTTCTTCGTCCAACTGTTGTAAGCCAGATTGGGAACTGACCTAGGCTTTCTCTCCACTGTGGATTCTCATGTGTGCCATAAGGTTTGAGCTTGAGCCAAAGCTTTTGCCACAATTGATGCACAAGTAAGGCTTCTCCCCAGTGTGGATTCTCTGGTGGCCAACGAGGTGGGATTTCTGGCTGAAGCTTTTCCCGCAGTCGGAGCATCGGAAGGGCCTCACGCCAGTGTGGGTGCGCTCGTGCGTGTTGAGATTGGAGCTCACGCTGAAGCCTTTCCCACAGTGCGAACAAACATATGGTTTTTCCCCCGTGTGGGTCCGTTGGTGGCTGGTCAAGTGCTGCTTCTGACTAAAGCCCTTTCCACACTCCGGGCATTTGTACGGTTTGTGCCCAGAATGTATCCTCTCATGTGCAACGAGGTCGGAGTTCATACAGAAGCTCTTCCCACACACCAAACACTTAAATAGCTTCTCCCCTGTGTGGATTCTCTGGTGCCGATTGAGGTGGGACCTCCCGCTGAACGTTTTCCCACAATCTGCACACTTGTACGGCTTCTCAATGGTGTGGATTCTCTGGTGTCCGTGAAGGTGTGAGCTCTGGCTAAAGACCTTCCCGCACTCAAGGCATTTAAAAGGTTTCTCTCCTGTGTGGATCCTCCGGTGAGTGATAAGCTGCGAACTCTGGCAGAAGCTTCTCCCACAATTGGCGCACCGGTAAGGCTTCTCACCGGTATGGGACCTCTCGTGCCGAATGAGCTCAGAACGGGTCCCAAAGCTTTTCCCGCATCCTAAGCACTGGAATGGTTTCTCCCCCATGTGGTTCCTCAAGTGGCTGGTGAACGCCAAGGTGTGGCGGAAGCACTTCCCACATTCTGAGCATTTGAAGATTTTCACCCCGGTGTGGGTTCTTAAGTGCTGGATGAAGTCGGACCCTGTGCGGAAACCTTTCCCGCAATGCAGGCAAGAATAGAGCTTCTCTCCGACATGCATTCTTTCGTGCTCAATGAGGTTGGGTTCAGAAGAGAAGGTTTCGGCACAAACCAAACATCTGTGCAGCTCTTCTCCGTCTTGGATTCCCTCGTCGGAAATAGAGCCAGTGGTCTGATGATAGGTCTCCTCATCTCCAGCCCATGGATTTTGTGCCTCGCTCTTAGGAACTTTGTCTTCCATTTCACCGAAGTCCCCATCACTTCCCAAGGAAGACACAGAGGTTTTCTCTCCATTGTCAGGTTGTCTTGGTGTTTCTGTTTCAGCATGGTTGGCAGAAAATTCTCCATCTTCCAAGCACCAAGAAAGTCTTTTAGTAGACGGCTGCTGCAGTCCGACTTGTTCTGGGATTTCCAGTTCCGACTTCCCTTCTGGGTCCAGCTTCTCTTCGGCTTCGTCACCAACCGGAGTCCATTCTGCACCTGGTGGAAATAAATAGGCAAAGCCCAATAGGAATGAGAAGAGGGATGAAGACAGTCTAGACCAGGCATGGCCAAACTCTGGTTCTCCAAGTGTTTTGGATAGATGATAATAACAATAATAATAATAATCATCATCATCATCTATATATAAATAATAATGTAATGTTCATTTGTAGGATTAACATAACTCAAAAACCACTGGACGAATTGACACGAAATTTGGACGCAATTCACCTATCAGGCCAACGAGTGACTATCACTCATAAAAACACTGAAAAACACAACAGAAGGGACTTAAAAGGCCAAAAAAGCAGAAAGACACTACAGCGCATGCACAAGAACAACTCCCCTAGCAAACAAAACACACAATATCCACACTCTCTTCTGGACTACAGCTCCCAGCATCCCTGGGACCAGGTCCTTTAGGAGAGGAGGAGGATCCAAACACACTGCTTCCAAGATGCGAGGTTTTTTCTCCTTGGATCTCTTTGCGAGCATCCCAATCCCTGCATATTTCCAGTTTCCTATTCCTGGACTGCAACTCCTAGCAATCCTCCAGATAGATTAGATGGAGATAGGTAGATAGATAGATAGATTGATCAGGAGGACTGCTGGGAGTTGCAGTCCAAGAATAGGTAGAGAAAGAAGAAAGGGGTGAAAGAGGAAGGGAAAGAAAAGGTGGGGGGAAGGAGGAAAGGAAGAGAAGGAAGGAAGGTAAACAGTGAGCTGGGCTGAAGGTCGGGTGCTCATACCAACCCGGGCTTTGAACTGGTAACCTTTCAGTTGGTAGAACTTATTGCTGCTGGTGGTGACTTACCAGCTGTGCTATAACCCTGTAGGCTGTTAGGAATTGTGGGAGTTGAAGTCCAAAACACCTGGAGGGCTGAGGTTTGCCCATGCCTGGTCTAACCTGTGGGCCTTCTTGTTGCCCTGAGCTATGAGACAAGGATTTTAGTGGACGAAATAAGAAAGCCCTTAGGCACAATAACCATAAAGATAAATGACGGGTTGCAGAAATGGGTTGCTCCGTTTTGCCAGGTTTTACTTCCTTTCTAGAATTGTGCAGTGGTAGCAAACGAAAGCAAGTAAGACCTTCCAACACTGAGCAACCAATGTCTGCAATGCTTTCAAAGAACCACTTCCTCTTCCAATCTAAATATGTAATTTATTCATGTTTTGGCATACAAGGGAAGGGGCCGATCTAATATTGCCAGGAAGGGAGTTCCATAACCAGGGGGCCATCACTGAGAAGGCCCCACCAAACGTGCCTGTGATGGTAGCAGGACTGAGAGCAGGGCCTCCCCAGAAGATCTTAGTTTCCGCAGTGGTTCGTAAAGGGAGATGTACTGATATTGTGCTATGCTAATAATTTAATATATTGTATGTATATATATCTTGTAAGCCGCTCTGAGTCCCCTTAGGTGTGAGAAGGGCGGCACATAAATGCCGTAAACAAACAAACAAACAAACAAATATCTCTCCTATGGCTCATTTGAAGACACATATCTCTCCTATATACCTTCCACATAAATACGACCCCAATAAATCTTAACCCTATAAGGAATGTAAACATTACAAGAGAAGCCTCACCCACAATGGCAGCATTTTCGGTGTCCTCCTCTTTCGGCTCTCGGTAAAGCTCCTTCGGCTCAATGTTCAAAGACTCCTGTTCAGGTTTGGGGAGATGTACTGGTGCTTGATGGATCAGGACCTGGAAACAGATGAGAGAATCCAAACAATAATGTAGGAGGATGAAAGCTTCTAGTTCTTGGAAACGACAGCTCTTCCCCTCTTTCTCATCCCACCAAGATGCAACTGGGGATCTCCTCACCTGCTTCTCTATGGTCTCTTGTTGCCTCAACACGAAAGCCTCAGCCAGGGCCACCGCTTGGGAACAAGTCTGCGGCCTGTTTTCCCTCGCCCAGCTCTGTATCTCTGCTGGAAGGATGGCCAGGAATTGCTCCAGGACCACCAGCTCTAGGATCTTCTCCTTGGAGCTCCTCTCCGGCTGCAGCCATTGCCGGCAAAGTTCCCAAAGACGTTGACACGCTTCCCTGGGCTCGCCGACATCTCCGTAGTGGAAGACCCGGAAACGTTGCCGTCGGTTCTCTCTTTCCAGGGCCGCATCGTGAGGGATTTCCTCGTAATGCTCACAAAGACCTACGCTGTTGGAAGGCTGCGGAGTGGCTCCACCGACATCGGGACCAATGCATCTCAGTGGCGGGTCTACACTTGGCTCCCTTTTGGGCCACTGGCCTTCGAAGGGAGCATTGGTTCCATCGTCCCACAAAGCCTGTGGATAGCCAAGCCTAGTTTCGCCCCACTTCTGTGGGGAGCCCCAGAAGTGGGGTGAACCCTCATTCGATTCCTGTTTTACTTGACATGGTTGTGCCTCAAATGGGAAATGGAAAGTCTGCGTGGGTGGCACTCTCTGTTCGCCAGCCATTGTGCCCTGTCAAGAGATCAAATAAAGGACCATGAGTAAGACATGACATGAATACAACAATCCCGAGGTGTCCATTCTTTGACATATACAAATGAGGTATCTATTATGTTGTTGAAGGCTTTCATGGCCGGAATCACTAGGTTGCTGTCAGTTTTTTGGTCTGTATTATTATTATTATTATTATTATTATTATTATTATTATTATTATTATTATTTGAAACACAACAACATGAGTCCACAGCAGACAAGATCACTCTGCTGGCTGTTGTATTGGATCACACGTTCCTCATGTTGTGACCCCCAACCGTAACATTATTTTTGTTGCTAACGGCGCTCCATGCAGTCATGCCGGCCACATGACCTTGGAGGTGTCTACGGACAACGCTGGCTCTTCGGCTTAGAAATGGAGATGAGCACCACACCCCAGAGTCAGACATGACTGGACTTAATGTCAGGGACCTTTACCCTACCTACTTCATAACTATAATTTTGCTAATGTTATGACTCATCATGTAACTATATGATATGCAGGATGTATTTTCATTCACTGGAACAAATTTGGCACAAATACCTGACACACCCAAATTTGAATACTGTGGGGTTGGGGGGAATTGATTTTGTCATTTGGGAGTTGTAGTTGCTGGGATTTATAGTTCATCTACAATCAAAAAGCATTCTGAACACCACCAACGATGGAATTGAACCAAACTTAGCACACAGAACTCCCATGAACAACAGAAAATACTGGAAGGGCTTGGTGGGTATTGACCTTGAGTTTGGGAGTTGTAGTTCACTTACATTCAGGATTACTGCGGACTCAAACAATGATTGATCTGGACCAAACTTGGCCCAAATACTCAATATGCCCAAATGTGAACACTGGTGGAGTTTGGGGAAAATAGATCTTGACATTTGAGAGGTGTAGTTGCTGGGATTTATAGTTCACCTACAATCTAAGAGCATTCTGAACTCCACCAACGATGGAATTGGGCTAAACTTGTCACACAGAACTCCCATGAACAGCAGAAAATCCTGGATGGGTTTGGTGGGCATTGACTTTGAGTTTGGGAGTTGTAGTTCACTTACATCCAGGGAGCACTGTGGACTCAAACAATGAAGTATCTGGACCAAACTTGGCATGAATACTCAACATGCCCAAATGTGAATATTGGTGGAATTTGGGAGAAATAGACCTTGACATTTGGGAGTTGTACTTGCTGGGATTTATAGTTCACCTACAATCAAAGAGCATTCCGAACCCTGCCAATGATAGAATTGGGCTAACTTCCCACACCGAACCCCCATGACCAACAGAAAATACTGTGTTTTCTGATGGTCTTTGGTGACCCCTCTGACATCCCTCATGACCTCCTCCCAGGGGTCCTGACCCCCAAGTTGAGAAACACTGCTGTAGGTTATCCTTATTTCAAACACAAATCTTGGACATTACAGACTTGAGTCTCCTTAAATCCAAGAGACAGGGGCGGCAATTATTTCATGGTACACAAACTTTGCTTACACACAAAAGTATTAAAAAGCATTGTATATAAAATTAACAGGAGTTATTAAATATTGCAACCCCGTTGTGACAGTTTTGACCCACCCTGGATACTATGCAAACATTGCAAAAATTTTGCAAATAATAAATCCCCAATTCCTTCTAATAATAATAATAATAATAATAATAATAATAATAATAATACATTAATAAATAATAAATAAATAACAAAGCATTCCAAATAAGGAATACTGTCTGTGTTATAGTTTTGTGCCTTTTCCTATTGATGCACACAATAGGGTTTACTTTGGAGGAAGCCCATCCCTGCTAGCTTTATCCAACCTGAAAAATACAAATTTCCATCCCCCCCAAAAAGAGAAAAGCCAACCTGAATGGAGACTTCTGAGGAATGCAAAGAACCAGCTGCACATCACAAGGTCTCAGACCACATTTTGCAATTCTTAGGCTATTAGTATTTGCATTCATTAAAAAAAGAACAGAAGGGGGGATTTCTGCCTTGCCAACCCACTGCAATGGTCAGGAACTCATAGCCAGCTGGAGACGCCTCTTTCTTCCCTCCTTTCCTATTCCTGGGCTTCTCTAGGAATCCAATCTCATGTATTTAACCCTTATTTCCCTGTGGCAAAGCCTTTTTTGCAGGGAATCCAGAGCATGCAAGGATGCTCACCCAGCAGAGGCACCTAAAACAGATTGATTTAATTCTAATTTATGTTCCTAATATCTACATTTGGGTTGTTGCTAGCCAACCTTGGCTAGACTTGTCCAGAAAAGGAGTTTTTCCCATGCGTTCTTTCTCTGTGGCTGAGAGAGTGTGACCTGGTTGTGACGAAATCATGCGTAGTTCACTTGATCAGCCCACACACTGCCTTGCCAGAGAAAGAAAATATGCCATGCAGTTGATCAATAAAGAACAAGTGGTTTACTCTTTGTCAACAACATATGTACAGTCAAATGAACACACAGAGCCCAAGAGGCAAGGCCTGCCTTGTGAGGGTTGGTAAATGTGAATAAGTGGAATAAGCAGAAGCTTTACCACAGTATTTAAACCAAGATATATCCTACAATACTGTATAATAAAATGTCACTCAGACTTATGAAACAAGTAACAGTATCTTTACTTTAGTTCAAAGGTTAAAAACAGGGTAACAGTATATAAATCGGTCATATGTACAATCATGTGATCAGAGGCATTGACCCACATAATGTCCTTTTAGAGCAGTGTTTCTCAACCTGGGGCTCGGGACCCCTGTGCGGGTCGTGAGGGGGATGTCAGAGGGGTCACCAAGGCCCATCGGAAAACACAGTATGGGGGTTCTGCGTGGGACGTTTGGCCCGATTCTATCATTGCTGGGGTTCAGAATGCTCTTTGATTGTAGGTGAACTATAAATCCCAGCAAGTACAACTCCCAAATGTCAAGGTTTATTTTCCCCAAATTCCACCGGTGTTAGAATTTGGGCATATTGAGTATTCGTGCCAAGTTTGGTCCAGATCCATCATTGTTAGAGTCCACAGTGCTCCCTGGATGTAGGTGAACTACAACTCCCAAAACCCAAAGTCAATGCCCACCAAACCCTTCCAGTATTTTCTATTGGTCATGGGAGAACTGTGTGCCAAGTTTGGTTCAATTCCATCATTAGTGGAATTCAGAATGCTCTTTGATGTAGGTGAACTATAAATCCCAGCAACTACAACTCCCAAATGTCAAGGTTTATTTTCCACAAATTCCACCAGTGTTCACATTTGGGCATATTGAGTATTCGGGCCAAGTTTGGTCCAGATCCATCATTGTTTGAGTCCACAGTGCTCTCTGGATGTAGGTGAACTACAACTTCCCAAACTCAAAGTCAATGCCCACCAAACCCTTCCAGTATTTTCTATTCGTCATGGGAGTTCTGTGTACCAAGTTTGGTTCAATTCCATCATTGGTGGAATTCAGAATGCTCTTTGATTGTAGGTGAACTATAAATCCCAGCAACTACAACTCCCAATGACAAAATCAATTCTCCCCCAACCTCAGCAGTATTCAAATTTGGGTGTATTGGGTATTTGTGCCAAATTTGGTCCAGTTAATGAAAATACATCCTGCATATCAGATACTTACATGACAATTCATAACAGTAGCAAAATTACAGTTATGAAGTAGCAACAAAATAATGTTATGGTTGGGGGTCACCACAACATGAGGAGCTGTATTAAGACGCCGCAGCATTAGGAAAGTTGAGAAACACTGTTTTAGAGATATAAAATGGTCTTCCTTTGTCCATGTGGAGAATCTTCCTTCAGCAGCCCACGAAGCAAGAGTACACTTTAAACTCTCTCTCTGTCTGTTTCTCTATGCTTCTCTACAATTTCCTGCATAGCTCATGCCTGAAAAACGTAACTGTATCCAAAAGTCCCAGGCTCAGCCAGCTCTCTGGGCACTGCAATCTTTTAAATTGAAAGGGCATATCCATTGGAATCACAGGAATGCGAGGAATGAAGGCATCTTCAACCCAGAAGGCTGATCATTCCACAATGTCTGATTTGTAGTCGATTGAATGTTTTTGTAAACTTAGGGCCTTTCCTTACAGCCATAGAACCCAAAACATCAAGGCAGATCATCCACAATGTCTGCGTTGAACTGGGTTATCTGAGTCCAGACTGCCATGTAACCCAGTTTAATGTGGATCATATACAGCTGTCCAGAAATGGCCTAAAGCAGGCACGGGCAAACTTGGGCCCTCCAGGTGTTTTGGACTACAACTCCCACAATTCCTAACAGCCTACCGGCTGTTAGGAATTGTGGGAGTTGTAGTCCAAAACACCTGGAGGGCCCAAGTTGGCCCATGCCTGGCCTAAAGAAAGACACAGGGCGCCCAAAGGAGCCCCAATGAAGTAAATAATAAACATACAGGGGCATTCCTGGGTGGTATTGGAGGAGGGAAGGAGGGGGAAGGTGAGACAGTGATTGACAGCAAGGGCTTTTTTAAAGGGGGGGGGGGGTTATGAAGTTAGGGAAATGCAATGGAGGGGGTGTAATGCACATGCCCGCACAGTCAAATGAACACACAGAGCCCAAGAGGCGAGGCCTGCCTTATCTTGTGGTAAATGTGAATAAGTAGGTTTACCACAGAATTTAAACCAAGATATATCCTGTAATATAATAAAATGTCACTCAGGCTTATGAAACAAGTAACAGTATCTTTTACTTTAGTTCAAAGGTTAAAAATAGGGTAACAATATATATATTGGTCTCTTTGAATTCAAGCAGGGAACAGAGGAATAAAATAGTCTTTTAAAATAGTCTTTGAAATAAGCCTCATGCCTTAAAATGGTCAGTCTTTAAGATATTTGGCAGCCAGCACTTTCTCTTCACTGTCCAAAAGGGAGAAAAAGGCAGAATGACAGTTAGAACCGTTGGTCTCAGTAGCTAGCCAGATGTAGCAGCCAATCAGAACTCTGGCTCCTGGCAGGCCCAGCCAATAAGCTGTTAACACATCCCATTCCACATTACCTAATGACGTCTCTTTTCACATCCTAACATGCCTTACTTGCCCAAAGAGGGCCGGCTGAGTGGGTGAGTAGCTGTGGTGCGCTCCCACTCCCTCGGGCCCAACTTCGGACTGAGGCAGAGAAGCAGCATGGAGGGGGGAAGGCGAAGATGCAAGCCCAAGTTCCACCCTGGCTGCACAATCCCACACAATCTCGACCCCTTCAGGGCAAAGCGAGTAGTGCCAAAGCGAGGAAGAACAACAATAAACTATACTTACGAAATGAACGCTATGGTAAACGACACATCTCAATTGCAGAGCAATGTCACATGAAATATTTAAATCATAATGAAAGTAAATGAAAATCTATGAAAATTCAATTTAGCAATGCATTCTGAGACATTGCAACAGAATTGTAAAATACGTAGTATAGCATGTGTCCAGCAGATGGCGCTGTTTTTTTAAAAATCCCATATTTTTACCTGTCACAGATGTATAATAGTAGGTATGTGAAAACATAAAAACATGCGGTTATTCGAATGCTATGTTGTGTCCAAATTTCAAACCAATCGGTGAAGAATTTTGGGAGATTTATGGTTTTGCACAAACAAACATTTACATTTTTATTTATATAGATTGTCTTCCCAACCCTGTTATAACAAATAATAACCATGGGATGAGTTTTGGATGCCTGTGTCATAGAAGTTTCCCTCCGCCTTTTTCAGCCAGTTCGTCGTTTGATTTTCACCTCATCGTCATCAGAAAAGAGTTCTCCACCCAGGTGTTCCTTCAATTTAGTGAATAGATGATAGTCACTGGGTGCGAGATCAGGGCTGTGAGAGGGGTAGGTTCAAACATCCCAGGCAAATGACAGCAAACGGTTCGGGCCCAAGCTACCTATCCGAACGTATCTCTGCCTATGAACCCACCAGGACTCTAAGATCTTCTGGGGAGGCCCTGCTCTCGATCCCACCTGCATCACAAGCACGGCTGGCGGGGACGAGGGACAGGGCCTTCTCTGTGGTGGCCCCTCAGCTGTGGAACGCCCTTCCCATGGACATTAGATCAGCTCCTACGTTAATGGTGTTTCGAAGAAAACTAAAAACCTGGCTGTTTGAACAGGCATTCGGATAAACAGTGCAATGAATACGATGAATATAGGAACGGAATTATAGACGACGAATTGGATCACGATTCTAGTTACGAGACGTTAATGTGTTGTTATTGATGTGTCATTACTTTGTATATTATGCTCTTAATGGTTTTTAAATTGTATATTGTTATGATTGTCTTTTTGCTCTTGTTGTGAACCGCGTTGAGTCGCCTACGGGCTGAGAAACTGCGGTATACAAGCAAAGTAAATAAATAAATAAATCAACAACTCATGTGCTGCATGAGCGGTGTGTGGACGTGCATTGTCATTTTTTTTTGTCGTGTCAGGAGCAAGTCGCTTCTGGTGTGAGAGAATTGGCTGTCTGCAAGGATGTTGCCCAGGGGATGCCTGGATGATTTGATGTTTTTATCATCCTTGTGGGAGGCTTCTCTCATGTCCCCACATGGGAAGCTGGAGCTGATAGAGGGAGCTCATCCGCCTCTCCCCGGATTCGAACCTGCGACCTGTTGGTCTTCAGTCCTGCAGCCTGCGACATTTGTTTTGGATGGCTCTGTGAAGTTTCTTCATGGTCTCACAATATATTCCATACCCATTTTGTCACATGCTGTCTTGACATTAAGTCCTCTCCATAAACTGAAACAATTTCACAATTAATCACAGTGGCATTCGTGTCCTTAGCATTTGGGTTGCGAATTACAGTGTGAACTTCACACTTGGAGGGAAACGGAATGAGGACGCTCATCTTTAACCTTAACCACAACTCCAGTTGATGAGCTACTGACGACTGGCACTGCTCGTTCGCTTCTGCTGGCTTCCCACTACATGGCAGTGATACCAACTTTCCCTGAGAAAATTACCTGTGAGAACTATGTGCCTTGTAACCTTGCTTGGATAATTCTCATATATATATATAGAAAGTGTCAAGATCGAAAGCTTCCTGAGTTTGGATGACAACTGAATCAGGGAGTTTATCTAAACAGTGTGCAGCACAAGGTCAGACGTGCAATTATAATCTGTTGATGAGTGCTCTGCTGCATTTGTTTTTGCTTACCTCTGAAACATATAGTCCAGTGTGCAGTGTTTTTAGGGAGGGCATGATTGGGGGAAAAAACAGATCATGCTCCAGGGTGGTCCATGCCTTAGTCACCTTCAGATTGGATTACTGTAATGCACTCTATGTGGGGCTGCCCTTGAAAACGGCCTGGAAATTTCAACTGGTACAACTGGAGGCAGCCAGGTTACTAACTGGTGCTTCTTGCAGGGAGCGGTCAACCCTCCTGTTTAAGGAGCTCCACTGGCTGCCGTTCATTTTCCGGTCCCAATTCAAGGTGCAGCTTCTTACCTACAAAGCCCTGAACGTTTTGGGACCCGCCTACCTGCGTGACCGCATTTCTGTGTACAAACCCACACGATCTCTTTGATCATTTGGAGAGGCCCTGCTCACGCTCCCACCTCCTTCGCAGGCGCGATTGGTGGGTACGAGGGAGAGGGCCTTCTCGGTGGTGGCCCCTCGACTCTGGAATTCACTCCCTAAGGACATCAGACATGCCCCAACGCTGGCAGTCTTTAGGAGGAGCCTGAAAGCATGGTTGTTTCAGTGTGCCTTCCCAGAATAAGGAAATCTCTTAGCAATATGTCCTCAAATGCACTTTACTATTGACTTAGGATTGTCTGCGCACCCTCATCTTTCTCTGAAAACCCTATCCTAATTTGCCTTACCTTGTTCATGCCCAGCACTTTTTTTTTAATTTATTTTAAATTTGAATTATTACATTTGGCCCGGCCATAGGTTTTTAAATGCTGTATATTTTGATATTGTTATTGTTTATTGCTTATTGTGTATTTTCTGTTTTTGAGTTTATTTTAACTTTTTTGTATTGATTGTTGTTTTTGCTTTTGTTTATTGATGTGTTGTTGGGCTTGGCCTCATGTAAGCTGCACCGAGTCCTTTGGGGAGATGGTAGCGGGGTACAAATAAAGTATTATTATTATTATTATTATTATTATTATTATTATTATTATTATTATTATCATTATTCCCACCTCAACAAAGCTCACAAAAGAAAGTCCTTAATGTGCATCGGAGCTCTGTGGTTTGTGCAATCAACACCCTCAAACTGGTTCCAGGACTTCCTAAATAATCATCTGCACAGCAAAAACACTTTTTTCCACATCGATTTGAAACTGTATTAAATGCTCAGTATAGAGAGGGTGGATAATTTTCAGCCCTCTCCCTCTCCATTTTCTAACTTCCCATTTGCTCCCATGTAGAGTTGTCACCCCTGTGAGATCCCCGGTTGGTGCAGCGAGTTAAACCGCTGAGCTGCTGAACTTGCTGACTAAAAAGTCAGCAGTTCGAATCTGGGGAATGGAGTGAGCTCCCGCTGTTAGGTCCAGCTTCTGCCAACTTAGTAGTTCAAAAACATACAAATGTGAGTAGTTCAATAGCTACCGTTCTGGCGGGAAGGTAATGACGCTCCATGCAGTCATGCTGACCACATGACCTAATAAGAGTCTATGGACAATGTTTATTTATTTATTTATTTATTTGCCATATTTATATACTGCCCCTCTCATCCCAGAGGGGCGGTTTATAAGTGGCAATGATTCGATGCCTTCCCAATCGTAACAATTAAAAAGTATAACAATCATAAAAAGTATAACAATCATAGATGTGAGAGCAGGACCTTAGGGAAGGCTGAGCGAAGGAAGAGTGATGCTTTTGAACTGTGGTGCTGGAGGAAAGGTCTGAGAGTGCTTTGGACTGTGAGAAGATCCAACCAGTCCATCCTCCAGGAAATAAAGTGTAACTGCTCATTGGAGGGAAGGATATTAGAGGTCAAGATGAAGTACTTTGGCCACATCATGAGAAGAAAGGAAAGCTTAGAGAAGAGAATGATGCTGGGGAAAATGGAAGGAAAAAGGAAGAGGGGCCGACCAAGGGCAAGATGGATGGATGGCATCCTTGAAGTGACTGGATTGACCTTGAAGGAACTGGGGGTGGTGACGGCCGATAGGGAGCTCTGGCGTGGGCTGGTCACTGAACTAATGAACAACAAACAATCATAAAAACTATTAAAAACATTAACATACAATATAAAAACAATGCCGGCTCTCTGGCTTAGAAATGGGGATGAGCACCAATCCTCAGAGTCAGATACGAGTAGGCTTAATGTCAGGGGAAACCATTACCTTTTACTAGAGTTGTCGCTCCCCAACATTTACTCGCTTTTTCTCTCTTGTGGCTCTCAAAATGCCTGTGAAGTTCAGATTTGGACCTGAAGTTTTTGCCGCAGTCCGTACAGAGGAACGGTTTTGCGCCCGTGTGGATTCTCTGGTGTGAAACAAGGCTCCAGTTCCGGTTAAAGCTCTTCCCACAATCAGCGCAGACGTACGGCTTCTCTCCCGTGTGGATCTTCTGGTGCCTGGCGAGGCCGGTGCTATCACAGAAGCGTTTTCCGCAGACGGGACATGTGTACGGGTTGGTCCCAGCGTGGACTTGCTGATGCCGGACGAGCCTCATGTTGGAGTAGTAGCTCTTCCCGCACTCGGCACACGCAAAAGGCTTCACCCCTGTGTGGGTTTTCCGGTGCGTGATGAGGTTGGCGTTCCAGCGGAAGCCCTTCCCGCATTCGGAGCACACGTATGGCGTCTCTCCCGCCTCCCTGCTGTGGACGATGGAGTGCCTGATCAAGTGAGACTTCACGCGGAAACTTTTCTCGCACTCTGGGCACTGGTAGGCTTTCTCTCCAGTGTGGATTCTCTGGTGAATGGTGAGGCCCGACCTTTGGCGGAAGCACTTGCCGCAATCCTGACACCTGTACGGCTTCTCTCCGGTGTGGATCCTCTGGTGCCGGACGAGGCTGGTGCTGTAATTGAAGGTCTTTCCGCAGTCCAAGCATTGATAAGGCAGGCCTCCAGCTTGGGTCACTTGGAATTCAATAATCTCTGAATGGTCCAGGAAATGGCCATCGTTCACTATGTCAACGTCCTCACTCTTCACTACATGGGTTCTCTGTTGACTTGTAGTATTAAGAGGCTCGCCACCAGTGCAAGGAATGCCTCTTTCCACCTTCCCCGCCAGGGAAGGAGTATGATGCTCTCTGGGCACTTGCCAAGCTTTTTGCTCTTCTCTTTGCTTCTTAGTTTTGGAGATTCCTTCTTCCATGCTGTTCATCTCTATCCGGATAGCTTTTTCTTCTTCTGGACGGTCCCAGTCACATGAACTCATCACATCTTGACCTAAAGAAGGGAACATGAAATAAAAGAGAAATAATTTGAACCAAGCATGGCCAAACTTGGGCCCTCCAGGTGTTTTTGGACTTCAACTCCCACATTTCCTAACAGCCGGTAGGCTGTTAGGAATTGTGGGAGCTGAAGTCCAAAACACTTGGAGCAGTGTTTCTCAACCTTCCTAAGGCCGCAACCCCTTAATACAGTTCCCCATGTTGCAGTGACCCACAACCATAACATTATTTTCGTTGCTACTTCAAAACTGTAATTTTGCTACTGTTACGAATCATCATGTAAATATCTAATAGGCAGGATATTTTCATTCACTGGACCAAATTTGGCACAAACACCCGATACGCCCAAATTTGAATACTGGTGGGGTTGTGGGGGATTGATTTTGTCATTTGGAAGTTGTAGTTGCTGAGATTTATAGTTCACCTACAATGAAAGAGCATTCTGAACTCCACCAATGATGGAATTGGACCAAACTTGGCATACAGAACTGCCATGACCAACAGAAAATACTGGAAGGGTTAGGTGGGCATTGACCTTGAGTTTTGGAGTTGTAGTTCACCTACATTCCAGAAAGCAGTGTGGACTCAAACAATGATGGACGTGGACCAAACTTGGCATGAATACTCAACATGCCCAAATGCGAAACTGGTGGAGTTTGGGAAGAATAGGCCTTGACATATGGGAGTTGTAGTTGCTGGGATTTATAGTTCACCTACAATCAAAGAGCATCTGAATCCCACCAAACTTGGTTCACAGAGCTCCCATGACCAACAGAAAATACTGGAAGGGTTTGGTGGGCATTGACCTTGAGTTTTGAGTTGTAGTTCACCTACATCCAGAGAGCACTGTGGACTCAAACAATGATGGATCTGGACCAAACTGGGCATGAATACTCAATATGCCCAAATGTGAACACTGGTGGAGTTTGGGGAAAATAGACTTGACATTTGGGAGTTGTAGTTGCTGGGATTTATAGTTCACCTACAAAGAGCATTCTGAACCCCACCAATGATAGAATTGGGCCAAACTTCCCACACAGAACCCCCATGACCAATAGAAAATACTGTGTTTTCTGATGGTCTTTGGCCACCCCTTTGACACCCCTTCATGACCCCCCCAGTTGAGAAACACTGAGCTGTAGGGATGAAGTTTGCCCATGCCTAGTATATATGGTAATTGAGCAAAGGGAGAGAATCTAACTGGCTAATTTAGTACTGCCAATGTTTTAATAAACCCCAAAGAATCAGAAATCTTTGATCTATATCTATATTTCTGTGCCTTGTACAGAAAACGTATATACCTCCCCTTCATAAGAAAATTCTACCGAGCTTTAGACAAACTAAAGACTCATCTCCCATCAATGTATTCAGAAGACAAAAAATCCTCACTCAGGGAGCTGCTATCGTCCCCCGCCTGGAAGACTTGGCTTTGCTCATAGTCTGATGGAATTTCTTCAGCCACAGAGATACTCAGAGATCGCTGTTTTTCTACCACCTGAAACAGAAATGAAAACCCTGTTAGACACAAAAGGACAAGAAAAGGAAAGGAGACACAGTATTGAATATATCACTAATTCCAGGAGTATGAGTGGGACTTCAAAAGTCTGTCTGGATTGTTTTTAATATGTGTTGGCTTTATTTGCTCTTTTAATACATACATTAGGCACCCCATAACCACTAATTCTGCATCCCTGAGTTCACCCATCAACATAAACAATCTATCTATCTATCAATACTCTTTTCGTTTTGAGTGACATCATAACTCAAAATATGCTGGACGAATTGCTGCCACATTTGGCCACAACCCAATGAGTGACCATCACTAACCCAATGAGTGACCATCAGTCAAAAAATTGACTTTGTCATTTGGGAGTTGTAGTTGCTGGGATTTATAGTTCACCTACAATCAAAGAGCATTCTGAACTCCCAACCAACGATGGAATTGAACCAAACTTGGCACACAGAACTCCCATGACCAACAGAAAACAGTAGAAGGGTTTGGTGGGCATTGACCTTGAGTTTGGGAGTTGTAGTTCACCTACATCCAGAGAGCACTGTGGACTCAAACAATGATGGATCTAGATCAAACTTGGCACAAATACTCCATATGCCCAAATATGAACACAGATAGAGTTTGGGGAAAATAGACCTTGACATTTGGGAGTTGTAGTTACTGGGATTTATAGTTCACCTACAATCAAAGAGCATTCTGAACCTCACCAATGATAGAATTGGGCCAAACTTCCCACACAGAACCCCAAGGACCAATGGAAAATGCTGTGTTTTCTGGTGGTCTTTAGCAACCTCTTTGTCATCCCCTCACGACCTCCCCGAGGGTCCTGACCCACAGGTTGAGAATGCTGCCTTAAGGTCATCCCTGATTTAACCCACCCTTTCTCTCTTCAGGGAGAGAGGGTGAGTTAAAAATAAATTATTATTATTATTATTATTATTATTATTATTAGAGCCAGCAAGTTCTAGCTGGATCACAAGTCAGTCATTTGTAACTTCAACAACAGCAGAAATGCTATATAAGAGACCTTCTTACTTTCCGAAAGTGTGGCAGACTACAGGAATGCAGGGTCTGTACACACAGAGGCGGCCCTAGGTAATTTTCAATGGTAAGCAAACAGTATTTTGCCCCCCCCCAACCAATCACTGATATATATTTTCTGTTCGTCATGGGAGTTCTGTGTGCCATATTTGGTTCAATTCCATCATTGGTGGAGTTCAGAATGCTCTTTGATTGTAGGTGAACTATACATCCCAGTAACTACAACTCGCATATGTCAAGGTCTATTTTCCCCCAAGGCCAAGAGCGCCCCTGGGCAAAATCAACTATACTGCAAATGCTTACTTTGCGTAATGGGTTGAGCCGCTCCTGCTTTTTCCAAGGGATGGGAAAAAGCAGCATATTAACAAAAGGGCAGATTTGTGGGGAACGCAATCTGGACCATATGTGGGTCTTTTCTCCAAGAGCAGGAAGAAGGTATGATAATGTATACATGGAAATAAAGCCCGACTGCTCACTGGAGGGAAGGATACTAGAGACAAAGTTGAAGTACTTTTGCCACATCATGAGGAGACAGCAAAGCCTAGAGAAGACAATTATGCTGGGGAAAGTGGAAGGAAAAAGGAAGAGGGGCCGACCAAGGGCAAGATGGATGGATGGCATCCTTGAAGTGACTGGACTGACCTTGAAGGAGCTGGGGGTGGTGACGGCCGACAGGGAGCTCTGGCGTGGGCTGGTCCATGAGGTCACGACGAGTTGGAGATGACTGAACGAATGAACAACAACATGAACAAACTGCGCTCTGGCACCACGAGATGCAGAGCCAACCTTCAGAAATGGGGCTACAAAGTGGAATCCACGACATGCGAGTGTGGAGAAGAGCAAACTACAGACCACCTGCTGCAATGCACCCTGAGCCCTGCCACATGCACAATGGAGGACTTTCTTGTGGCAACACCAGAGGCACTCCAAGTGGCCAGATACTGCTCAAAGGACATTTAATCAACTACTAAGCTAGCAAACTTTGTGCTTTGTTTGTTTGTTTGTTTGTTAAAAAATGTAATATAACTGTTTGGCTTGCTCCTGACACAATAAATAAATAGGGGACCAATGGGAGATTCAGCGTGAGATCAGTGAACTGACCTGTTGTTTTGGCCTCTCGGCCTCGCCTCGCCTTACTATGAAATCCTCCGCCAGGGCCACCGCCTCGGCACAGCTCCCTGGCCCCCCTTCCCGCACCCAGCTCCGCATCTCCGCAGGCAAGATGGCCAGGAACTGCTCCAAGACCAGGTCTCCCAAGATCTGCTCTTTGGTTTGCCATTCGGCCTTCAGCCACTGGAAGCAGAGCTCCTGAAGCTGGCTGTAAACCATCCTGGGCCCCGAGGCTTCCTGGTAGCAGAAGTCCCTAAAATCCCGGCGCTGCTGCTCCCTCCTCATGGTGTCTCTCCGCAGGATGGCTGTCTTCACCTTCCTGTAGTCCTCTCTGTCCATGGTGTCCATGCTCTCGAAGGCCAGCCTGGTGTCTCCCTGGAGGGCTGGCAGGAGCCGAGGCACCCACTCCTCCTTTGGCCACCGACAGGCCTTGGCCACTTGCTCAAAAGAGGCCAGGAAGGATTTGCTGTCGTCCCATGTTGATAACTCTTCTGACATCTGTGGGTTTTCTGGTTCTGATGGAGATATCAGGAGGAACGCCTGCCGTTGGTCATCCCAGAGTCCAAGCAGCTCCCAGCCTGCTCCCGGCTTCAGATGCTCTCCTCCCAGGGAAGTCCTTCTACGTTCAGCACATGAAGCATTTCCATTTTCTCCCCATATGTCACACAGTGTCTTTCCTGGCAGTTGTTTCTCCTCCCTTTTGATCCCTTGCTTCTCCTTCTCTTCTGCCATAGCCTGGAAAGGGAAGCCACCAATGGTCTCCGTTCCCTTGTCTTGGCACAAGGACACCTCCCCAAAATGCAAATCACGAATGCAAAGCACAAATGTTCAAATACATATAATGAATGCTCCAATCTTCCTACTGAACAGATAGCCTCCCAACTGTTGAATGGTCCACAATTATTCTCCGGCTTATTGGGGGTATCTAGCTAAAAGGGTCCATGAAAGACAACAGCCCAGGTGGATTGACAACACTGGATTCACCTTGAAGGAAAAGAAAATAAGCAAACGTTAGAACAACAGACCACCTCCTTTGTTCATTTCGCCAACTTTCCATCTCCCACCTCAAAGTCCCAATGGAGTTGTACGGGCCCAGCCCTTACCAATTAAAAATATATTTATTGGTAGACGGTGTTCTCCTTCCAACATGGCACTTTAATGGGAATATTAAAAATATTGGATCAAAACTACAAGTATTTGTTATTTGCTGAGCACTATCAAGGCACCCCTGACGGACAGCAGAATATGCTGCTGCCTGGGAATCTGGTGGAGTCTCCTTTTTTGGAGGTCTGGATGGCGAGGAACATGAGGAACACGAGGCAGAACTTCCTGACTGTGAGAGCCGTTCAGCAGTGGAACTCTCTGCCCCGGAGTGTGGTGGAGGCTCCTTCTTTGGAAGCTTTTAAACAGAGGCTGGATGACCATCTGTCAGGGGTGATTTGAATGCAATATTCCTGCTTCTTGGCAGAGGGTTGGACTGGATGGCCCATGAGGTCTCTTCCAACTCTTTGATTCTATGATTCTATCTGTTGAGAGGGCTTTGATGGCATCTCCCTGCCTGGAAGAATGAGGTTGGACTGGATGACTCTTGGGGTCCCTTTAAACTCTATAGGCACAGTTCTCTAGTGCATTAATGTGAATGATATTCTACCTGCTAAAAGGAAAATGCTGTGCCCAAGGAGAAGGAGGTTTGCATAACCAAGATCTGCTGCCCCCCTGTGCAAAATAATTTCCTAACCAAATTCCCCATTTACTCTTCCTTCCAATCCCTGGCCATTTTTGCCCACCCCTTTCCATGCAAAAGGGGGGCAAAGGCATTTCCAGCATGCATCTCCCTCACTCACTTTTGCACATCTCTCAGTGGGGAAGCAGCCTTGGAAATGGGGAGGAAGCCTTGCAAGCCCAGCCCTCCCACCTCCACAGTTCAGGCCTCTCTAGGAAAAGGAACTTCCTGAGTTTAACTAGTGGTGGGTTGGAGAAGGCAAGGAAAATGTGAGCAGTCCATCCCAAAAGAAAGAACTGAGGATCAGCCCTCTTTCCAATGCAGAAAGCCACAAATCTATGGGTACATCTCCACTGTGGAATGGATGCAATTTGGCACCACTTGAGCTGCCACGTCTCAAGGCAATGCAATGCTGGGAGTTGTACTTTTGCAAGGTCTTGAGCCTTCTTTGTCAAAGAAAGCTGGCGCCTCACCAAGCTACAGCTTCCAGGATTCCATTGGGATACCAAACTGCATTAATTGCACAGTGTGGTTGCACTTTCAATTCGGTTTCTTTCCATGGCTGAGCGGGGATTCGAACTCTGCTCTCTCCTAAATCCTCATCCAGCATTCAAACCCTCCCATTCATATAATATTGTATAACCTACATTACTTACTTACTTACTTAGGCGATCCCTCATTGTCCGAGTAAGATTGTCCTCTAAGGGTTGTTGTAGGTTTTTTTGGGCTATATGGCCATGGTTTAGAGGCATTCTCTCCTGACGTTTCGCCTGCATCTATGGCAAGCATCCTCAGAGGTACCTCTGAGGATGCTTGCCATAGATGCAGGCGAAACGTCAGGAGAGAATGCCTCTAGACCATGGCCATATAGCCCGAAAAAACCTACAACAACCCAGTGATTCCGGCCATGAAAGCCTTCAACAATACATTGTCCTCTAAGTTCGGTATCCTGGTGGTGGGTCCGTAGGTGACTGTGGAGCCCTGTTCTTGACCCACATGTTCTCCCACAGTGAGCACATCAGGTTCCAGGTGGAAGCTGTCCCAGTCGGGGTTAGCTTGATGCACCTTCTTCTTGGCATGTTTCTCTCTTTCACCCTCCATTTGTGCCTCTTCAAATTCTAGCACTGCTGGTCACAGCTGACCTCCAGCTGGAGCGCTCAAGGGTCAGGGGTTCCCAGTTCTCAGTGTCTATGCCAGAGTTTTTAAGGTTGGCTTTGAGCCCATCTTTGAATCTCTTTTCCTGCCCACCAACATTCTGTTTTCCATTCTTGAGTTCGGAATAGAGCAACTGCTTTGGGAGACGGTGGTCGGGCATCCGGACAACGTGGCCGGTCCAGCGGAGTTGATGGCGGAGGACCATCGCTTCAGTGCTGGTGGTCTTTGCTTCTTCCAGCACGCTGATGTTTGTCCGCTTGTCTTCCCAAGAGATTTGCAGGATTTTTTGGAGGCAGTGCTGATGGAATTATTCCAGGAGTTGCATGTGATGTCTGTAGACAGTCCACGTTTCGTAGGCATATAGCAGGGTTGGGAGGACAATAACTTTATAAACAAGCACTTTGGTATCCCTATGGATGTCCCGGTCCTCAAACACTCTCTGCTTCATTCAGAAGAAAGCTGCACTCTCAGAGCTCAGGCAGTGTTGAATTTCAGTGTCAATGTTGACTTTTGTGGAGAGGTGGCTGCCAAGGGAGTGGAAATGGTCAACATTTTCTAACATTACACCATTAAGTTGCATTTCTTGCATTGGAGAGGGATTGGCTGGGAACTGCTGGAAAAGCACTTTGGTTTTCTCGATGTTCAGTGACAGGCCGAGCTTCTCATTAATTGGGGCATTAACTGGGACTTGTTTACTCTGCAAGAAGAAATGCAGTTCGACACAACTTTCACAACCATCGCTTAATGCGACAGAATGCCAGGAGTTGTCGTTTGCTGAGGCATCAGTGCTCTTCGCTGAGAACTTGCAAAACCACTGCTCGCCTGGTTCCTTAATTGCAGCAACTAAAGTGGCATCAAACTGCATTAACTCTACAGTGTAGCTGGAATCTAGTCCAACACTCAAACCATTACACCTCACTGCCGGAAGGCAGGCAAATGGGAGATATCTTGGGATCCTTTCCTTCTTCATCCAATAAGGACTTGGTTCTTGAACCCTTTTGTCCTGCGTATACACAAGGACAAGGTACAACATAAGCCTCGCTTACCTTTAGGCAGGTGAGTAAACAGTGGTTGCTTACAGTTCCCACCAACTCTATACCACATTACTCATGGGAACCAATGATGGGAATTGCAGTCTACCTTTAGATGCAACATTTGGAGAGCCAAAATATAAGGAATCATCTTGTGGGTAAAGTAAATTAAAATATGGGCCGTGTCCATATTGCTACTATAGCATTGCAATGAGGATGACTGGTCTCACAAAACCCTCTTCTAGTGCCTAAGCTTATTAAATATGGTTTCCTGTGGATGAGCAGATGGCGACTACTGGAAGGCATATGTTCTGTATCAGAAACCAGAGCTGAAGTGGTCTATCCCATGCTGTTTATGTCTCGCGAAATTCTCCTATAGTGCCTAAGCTTATTAAATATGGTTGTCTGTGGGTTAGCAGATGGCAACTACTGGATGGCATATGTTCTGTATCAGAAACTAGAGCTGATGTGGTCTATCCCATGCCATTTTCTGGTCTCGCGAAACCCTTTTATAGTGCCTAAGCTTATTAAATATGGTTTTCTGTGGGTGAGCAGATGGCAACTACTGGATGGCATATGTTCTGTATCAGAAACTAGAGCTGACGTGGTCTATCCCATGCCATTTTCTGGTCTCGCAAAACCTTCTTATAATGCCTAGGCTTATTAAATATGGTTTTCTGTGAGTGAGCAGGTGGCGTATGTTCTGTATCAGAAACTAGAGCTGACGTGGTCTATCCCATGCCATTTTCTGGTCTCGCAAAACCCTCTTATAATGCCTAGGCTTATTAAATATGGTTTTCTGTGAGTGAGCAGGTGGCGTATGTTCGGTATCAGAAACTAGAGCTGACGTGGTCTATCCCATGCCATTTTCTGGTCTCACAAACCCTCTTATAATGCCTAGGCTTATTAAATATGGCTTTCTATGGGTGAGCAGATGGCGACTACTGGATGGCATATGTTCTGTATCAGAAACTAGAGCTGATGTGGTCTATCCCATGCCATTTTCTGGTCTTACAAAGCCCTCTTATAGTGCCTAGGCTTATTAAATATGGTTGTCTGTGTGTGAGCAGATGGCAACTACTGGATAGCATACATTCTGTACCAGAAACTAGAGCTGATGTGGTCTATCCCATGTCATTTTCTGGTCTCGCAAAACCCTCTTACAGTGCCTAGGCTTAATAAATATGGTTTTCTTTGGGTGAGCAAATGGCGACTACTGGGTGGCATATGTTCTGTATCAGAAACTAGAGCTGATGAGGTCTATCTGATGCCATTTTCTGAATCAGCACCCCGTATAATCAAACCAAATATAAAGTTGACTAAAAACAGATTTGTAACCCTTTTGGTACTAATGTTGGAGAGTGGTCCCTGGTCAAATTGGGAACCACTGATTTAGTTCAAAGGTTGGGAACCACTGATTTAGTTCAAACATATTTTCCCATCTGTCACACTAGATTTCATCTTCTAATATTTTTAAAAAATCAGGATGTTCAGAAAGTCATGAGACAATAGGAAGAATCACATTACGATGAGTTCTTCAGGTTTACTGAGTAATGGGTCCAAAACATGTATGTCTGGAAGGGAAACTTTCCATTGAGAGAACATCATGCCAGGTTATAGCACTAAATGAATATTCTGAATTTTGTTTGCAATACACAAATTCCTGTTGTTAGTATTCTAGGCGTCTAGTGCCACATCGGACGGGTAACAATAGGAGACTCCGTATTATCCAACATTTTCGTTTATCCGACATTCTGCCTTCCCGTTTATGTCAGATAAGTGAGACTCTACTGTATAGAAGCGACCAGATCAGGTGTCCTTTCCCATCACACAATTCTAGTGATTTCAGTGGGTTGTTGTAGGTTTTTTGGAAATAGATGGCGAATCCTCCCACCAAAAGCCCTCCTCCGCTGCGATTGGCTGACCTCTGAGCCAAGGGGGGGGGGCTGTTTCTGAGACTCCAAGTGGGGAGGGAAGAGCAGGCGTGCCCAGCGCATGACAGCGTTGTGCGCATGTGCGGGTGAGGAAGAGTGTGCAAGGCTGGAGGGAGGCTTGTGTCCTTTCAAGGCATGGGGAAAAGCACCCTTTGATTGTAGGTTAACTATAAATCCCAGCAATGACAACTCCTAAATGATAAAATCCATCCACCCCAACCCCACCATTATTCAAATTTGGGTGTATTGGGTATTTGTGCCAAATTTGGACCAGTAAATAAAAATACATCCTGCATATGATATTGCCATTACGATTCATAACAGTTGCAAAATTACAGTTATGAGGTTGCAATGAAAATAATTTTATGGTTGGGGGTCATCACAACATGGGGAAATGTATTAAGGGGTCGCGGTATTAGGAAGGTTGAGAAACACTGTCCTAACTGAAGTGGTTACTCAGCCTGTTGCCAGGGCAGCGAAAGTGGAATCATACTGCTATAACTCTGCAGTGTATCAACAAGACGAGGCACATTCTAACCTCTGAAATCCGATGAGCATTGAAGTGCATTAAAGAAAAATGTGTGCTTCCTTTAAAAAAAATTTAAAACCCACCCACAAGACACACACACACACACATCGTATTAAAAACACACAAACATCAGCGGAGTAACACAAGATCCCATGCAGCAATCCGCATAAGGTAAACACAACTTTTGCAAGCAGGTCCAGCTTGGCTTTCGTTATGTGGGCGACTTGAAAGTCTGCAACGTCGGCCATATTCAGTTCATATTTCAGATCAACCCAAGAATCAGAAAATCCTGATTGAATAAGTGCACAACACATTAGTTTGAACGTAGCTCAGAAAATTCCACATAACCTCAGCCAAGATTATGGAAAATGCTTTGACCTGTGCAATTCATTTCCATGACAAAACATCAGAGCAGATGGATATAGCAGATATAGTAATTATTGGGTTCCCCAGAATGACTGGAGGAAGTTGACTGAGCACCTAAAGCAAGCATGGCCAAACTTCGTCCCTCTGAGTGTTGTGGACTACAACTCCCACAATTCCTAACAGCCTACCATTTACTGCAATGCACTCTACATGGGTCTGCCTTTGAAGACGGTCCAGAAACTGCAACTTGGGCAAAGGTCAGCAGGCAGGTTGTTAACCAGAGCTAGTTACAGGTAGCAGACAATGCCTCTGCTGATAAGTTTCCAGGCCCAATGCAAAGTGCAGGTTATGACCTACAAAGCCCTAAATGGTTTGGGTCCTGTTTATCTCCGTGATTGTATCTTCCTCTTTCTCCCCAATCCCTCTCCAATGCCAGAAATAAAGCTTAATGGTGTAGCATTAGAAAATGTTGACCATTTCTGCTCCCTTGGCAGCCACCTCTCCACAAAAGTCAACATTGACACAGAAATACAACACCACCTGAGCTCTGCGAGTGCAGCATTTTTCCGAATGAAGCAGAGAGTGTTCAAGGACCAGGACATCTGTAGGGATACCAAGCTATTGTCCCCCCAGCCCTTCTATATGCCTGCGAGACATGGACTGTCTACAGACATCACATGCAACTCCTGGAACAATTCCATCAGCGTTGCCTCCGAAAAATCCTGCACATCTCTTGGGAAGACAAGCAGACAAATGCCAGCATGCCGGGAGAAGCAAAGCCCACCAGCATTAAAGCGATAAACTCCGCTGGACCGGACACGTTGTCTGGATGCCCGACCACCATCTCCCAAAGCAGTTGCTCTATTCCGAACTCAAGAACGGAAAACAGAATGTTGGAGGGCAGGAAAAGAGATTTAAAGATGGGCTCAAAGCCAACCTTAAAAACTCTGGCATAGACACTGAGAACTGGGAAGCCCTGGCCCATGAGCGCTCCAACTGGAGGTCAGCTGTGACCAGCAGTGCTGTAGAATTTGAAGAGGCACAAATGAAGGGTGAAAGAGAGAAATGTGCCAAGAGGAAGGCACAACCCCGACCGGGACTGCCTTCCACCTGGAAACCGATGCCCTCACTGTGGGAGAAGATGAAGAACAAGAATAGAGCTCCACAGTCACCTATGTACCACCACCAGTACACCGCTCTTGGAAGACAATCCTACTCGGACAATGACGGATCGCCTAAGTAAGTAAATAAATCTCATTCTAAAACCAGCGTGGACTTCAAGATATGCTGGGGAGGCCCTTCTCTCGCTCCCACCTCTGTCACAAGCATGGTTGCTGGGAACTAGAGAGGGCTTTCTGGGTGGTGGCCCCCGGCTCTGGAACTCTCTCCCCAGAGATTAGATTAGCCCCACTCTGTCCACCTTCCGAAAGATTTGAAAACTTCGATGTTTCAATGTGCGTTTGAGTAATGGTTTAGTGCCCAATTAGGACTGCCCAAACTCAACTTATGGTTTGGCTTTCCCAGCACTTTACTTCCGGCCTAGCTCTACAGCTTTGCATTGGCACAAGCCCTTGCCCTGCCTTACCAAATCTGAACATGCCCACTTTTCCGGGCTACTGGTTACAATGTCAGTGAAAGTCTTTTTACATGTTTTGGTTTTATGGTATTTAATTATTATTTATTGTTATATGCTTGAATTGTGTTACTTTGTCACCCTTGTTTATGCTAGGCCTGGTCCCCATGTAAGCCACCCCGAGTTCCTACGGGGAGATGGTGGTGGAATATAAGAACAAAGTTATTATTATTATTATTATTTGAAGCACAACAAGATGTGTACACAGCAAACACGGTCACTCTGCTGGCTGTTGTATTGGATCACACATCAGACACTTCCCAAGTGTCTAGGACTATGCGATGTATCGGCGAATAATGCATGCAGATCCCAGTAGGGTGGCCGGCCTTTTGCAGCTAACAGATGGTGATTTTGTCAACGCTGATTGTGTTTAAGTGCAGGCCAAGGTCTTTAGGCACTGCACCCAGTGTGCCGATCACCACTGGGACCACCTTGACTGGCTTGTGACAAAGTCTTTGCAGTTCAATCTTTAAATAATAATAATAATAATAATAATAATAATAATAATAATAATAATCGATCTTTAAATAATTTTGTCAGTGCCAATTGTGTTTAAGTGCAGGCCAAGGACTATGGCACTGCACCCAGTGTTCTGATCACCACTAGGACCACCTTGACTGGCTTGTGCCAAAGTCTTTGCAGTTCAATCTTTAAATAATAATAATAATTTATTAAATTATTATTATTATTCGATTTTTAAATAGTTTTATCAGCGCATATTGTGTTTTAAGTGCAAGCCAAGGTCTTTAGGCACTGCATCCAATGTGCTGATCACCACTAGGACCACTTTTACTGGCTTGTGCCAGAGTCTTTGCAGTTCAATCTTTAAATAATAATAATAATAATAATAATAATAATAATAATAATATTTTGCAGATGGCAGATGGTAATTTTGTCAGCGCCGATTGTGTTTAAGTGCAGGCCAAGGTCTTTAGGCACTGCACCCAGTGTGCCGATCACCACTGGGACCACCTTTACTGGCTTGTGCCAGAGTCTTTGCAGTTCAATCTTTAAATTATTATTATTATTATTATTATTATTATTATTATTATTATTATTTATATTCCACTTTTTCTCTCCACCAGGAGACTCAAAGCAGCACCCAGTGTGCCGATCACCACTGGGACCACCTTTACTGGCTTGTGCCAAAGTCTTTGCAGTTCAATCTTTAAATAATAATAATAATAAAAATAAAATTATTATTATTATTATTATTATTATTATTATTATTATTATTCGATCTTTAAATAATTTGGTCAGCACCGATTGTTAAATAATAATAATAATAATAATTTATTAAATTATTATTATTATTTCATCTTTAAATAATTTTATCAGCACCAATTGTGTTTAAGTCCAGGCCAAGGTCTTTAGGCACTGCACCCAGTGTGCTGATCACCACTGGGGCCACCTTTACTGGCTTGTGCCAGAGTCTTTGCAGTTCAATCTTTAAATAATAATAATAATAATAATAATAATAATAATAATAATAATAATTTATTAAATTATTATTATTATTACTATTTATTATTATTATTAGGAATTGTGGGAGTTGTAGTCCAAAACACCTGGAGGGCCAAAGTTTGCCCATGCCTGATAGAGATTATATTTAATCAACCATTGTTGTGCCTTATTATCTCCCTAGTGTCGATTGCCTTCTTTCTTTATTCATTCCTAACTTCAAGTTCAATGTCTGTTTTCTCATCTACAGGAGCCTTCGGATCAGCTCCGTCACTTTTCTCTCCTACGTGAGCCGTGTAGTGTCTGTGAAGTTCTGATTTGGATCTGAAGTTCTTGCCACAGTCCGAGCACAAGAAAGGCTTGACGCCCGTGTGAGTTCTCTGGTGCGAAATGAGATTCGAGTTCCGGTTGAAGCTCTTCCCGCAATCCATGCAGACGTAGGGTTTCTCCCCAGTGTGGATTTTCTGGTGCCTGGTGAGGCTGGTGCTGTCGCAGAAGCTCTTCCCGCAGTCGGAGCATATGTAAGGGGTGCCGCCCGTGTGGACTCTCTGGTGGCGGATGAGGCTCATGTTGGAGTAGTAGCTCTTCCCGCACTCGCCGCACTCGAAAGGCTTGACCCCCGAGTGGGTTTTTTGGTGCGCGATGAGGTTGGAGCTCCACCGGAAGCCCTTCCCGCATTGCAAGCAAGTGTACGGCATCTCTCCCGTGTGGATCCTCCGGTGGAGGGTGAGGTCGGCCTTCCGGCAGAAGTTCTTCCCGCAGTCGGCGCAGCTGTAGGGTTTCTCTCCCGTGTGGATTCTCTGGTGGATGCGAAGCTCCGACCTTTCGCAGAATCCCACCCCGCACTCCGGGCACTTGTGCGGCTTCTCCCCTTTGTGGATGATGGAGTGCCGGATGAGGTGCGACTTCACCCGGAAACTCTTCCCGCAGTCCAAACACTGGTAGGCTTTCTCCCCTGCGTGGATTCGCTGGTGGATGGAGAGGCCTGAGCTTTGGCAGAAACACTTCCCGCAATCCAAGCATTTGTACGGCTTCTCTCCGGTGTGGATCCTCTGGTGCCGGACGAGGCTGGTGCTGTAATTGAAGCTCTTCCCACAGTCCAAGCACTTATAGGGCAGGCTGCCAGTGTGGGTCACTTGGACCTCAATGATCTCCGAGTTGTCTAGAAAGCTGCTCTCATCAGCAGTACTCGCACCTTCCTTCTTCATCACCTGGATCCCATTTTGACATGTTGTCGTGTCACCTTCTAGAGAACTTCTTTGAAGTTCATTACATCCCTGCCAGCCATTGGAAAAGTCTCCTGGACCGGAACGCTGTGGAGGGACCTCTTCTGGGATGCCCGTCTCCATCCCATTCGGAGCTTCTCCTCCTTCAGTTCCTTCTCGCTGTTCTTTTGTACACGTAAGGTTTTCACCTACATAGGAGACCAAGAGGGGAAAATGTGAAAACTGACCTTAATGATTTCCCTACCAACTATTTTCAAATTTACATTGCTCTTCACATTCACTGGGGTAAGGGCAGGCATGGTCAAATTGTTGGGCAAATTGGCTTACTAACAAAAGACCCTCTCCATAAATGTACAGTGGAGTAACTTATTAGTTTTACTATGCTGTTTTATATTGTTGATTTTGTTGTTTCATATTTTGTCATGATGTATTTTGTTATTGTGTGTTTATTTTTTAGTTTTTATTTTTTGTCATGTCAGGAGCGACCTGAGAAATTGCAAGTCACTTCTGGTGTGAGAGAACTGGCCGTCTGCAAAGATGTTGCCCAGGGGACGCCCGATGATTTGATGTTTTTATCATCCTTGTGGGAGGCTTCTCTCATGTCCCCGCATGAGGAGCTGGAGCTGATAGAGGGAGCTCAACCGCCTCTCCCCGGATTCGAACCTGCGACCTGTCGGTCTTCAGTCCTGCCAGCACAGGGGTTTAACCCACTGCGCCACCGGGGGCTCCATTGTGTGTTTATGATATTGTATTATTTTGGGCTTGGTCTCAAGTTAGCCGCCCCGAGTTCCCTTTGGGGAGATGGGATTGTGGCGCAGCTGGCTGAGTGTCAGCTGCATTAAGATCACTCTGACCAAAAGGTCATGAGTTCGAAGCCAGCCCGGGTTGGAGTGGGTTTCCAACCAATTGTGTAGCCTGTTGTCGACCTTTGCAACCAGAAAGACAGTTGCATCTGTCAAGTAGGAAAATTAGGTACCACCTTAAAAGTGTGGGGAGGCTAAATTAACTGATTTATGAGGCCATAAAGAAGACTCCAGCAAAGCATTCCAGCGGGGAAGCATGCAGGGAATGCGGAAGTGCTTCATCAGCGTCGCAGATGGACGATGAAAGCGACAGCTCCCCTGGCGGCCAGAAAAAGTTAAATAGCCTCTGTGTATGTCTGTATATGTTTGTATGTCAAAAATTGGCATTGAATGTTTGCCATATATGTGTACATTGTAATCCGCACTGAGTCCCCTGCGGGGTGAGAAGGGCGGAATATAAATTCTGTAAATAATAAATAAATGAACAAAGTATTAGACCACCAAATATACACTTTGTACAGTTTTTATATTTTTTTATATCATACTAGCCATCCCCTGCCATGCGTTGCTGTGGCCCACATGGGGGTTCAGTGTGGGAGGTTTGGCCCAATTCTATCGTTGGTGGGGTTCGGAATGCTCTGTGATTGTAGGTGAACTATAAGTCCCAGCAACTACAACTCCCAAATGTCTATTTTCCCCAAACTCCACCAGTGTTCACATTTGGGCATATTGAGTACATTACATTTTTATTTATATAGATTATTATTATTATTATTATTATTATTATTATTATTAGCAGCAGCGTGACTCAACACCAGTAGCCCAAAGTGAAAAAAAAAGAACAAAAACACACAGACCAATGTCATCCCTTCCATAGCAGGCTTTTCTTTGTAGTAAAATAATATAGTTGCATTATTTACAATGACAAGGTTTCCATTTGTGTGTGTGTGTGTGTGTCAGGAGTGACTTGAGAAACTGCAAGTCGCTTCTGGTGTGAGAGAATTGGCCGTCTGCAAGGATGTTGCCCGGGGGATGCCCGGATGTTTTGATGTTTTATCATCCTTGTGGAGCTGGAGCTGATAAGAGGGAGCTCATCCGCACCCTCCCCGGGTTCGAACCTGCGATCTGTCAGTCTTCAGTCCTGCCGGCACAGGGGTTTAACCCACTGTGCCACCAAATACATAGCTTTACACGCAGCAGCTTTCACACTGGAGCTTTCTCACACTGAGGTTTACCTCACACTCCTCAGGACGACACTAGCTTTGGCCCACTGACTCTAACAGGCTTCGGTCTACTCACTCTCCTCAGGACGACACTAGCTTTGCCCTTCTGGTCAATGTATTGCATGCTGCGTCTCCCAAGAAAGCACACACAAGTCCCTGTTTCTGACCCTTAGAAACCTTACTCAAGGAATCCGCTACGCGGGCCTCACTCTCTGGGAACGTCCGATTCTGCTCGCAGTCCAATAGAACCTGTTTGGCTTCAGGGAAAGTTGTGTTTCTCTCTTTAACCAGCACCTGAAACAGAAAGAAGACTGTAGGCTCTGGTGATGCAAGATGGATGGAGTATAAGAGCCAGCTCAGTTGATGTCAACAATCACAATGCACTAGCAGCAACCGCATTTCCATGAAGTGCACCATTCATATAAAAAATACAAAGTCTGATATGTGTATGTATATACACACAGCATTACCCCACTATTGACGATTTCACTTAGCTCACTCACTCACTGACTCACTCACACAATAATAAATAGAGTAAAACAATAAATGTAATAATAGAGTGACATAATAAATGTAATAAAACTAATAATAAAAAGTAAAATAATAAAGGTAATAATATTAATAATAGAGTAAAATAATAAATGTAATAATATTAGTAATAGAGTAAAATAATAAATGTAATAACCAATAAATAGAGTAAAATAATAAATGTAATAATATTAATAATAGAGTAAAATAATAAATGAAGTAATAATAAATAGAATAAAATAATTGTTATAATAATAGATTAAAATAATAAATGCAATAATAATAGAGTGAAATAATAAATGTAATTATAATAGAGTAAAATAATAAATGTAATAATAATAAATAGAGCAAAATTATAAATGTAATAAAATAATAATTGAATAAAGTAATATAAATGTAATAATAATAATAAATAGAGTAAAATAAATTTAATAATAATAACCTAGTAAAATAATAAATAATTTTGACTTGAGTATAAGCCAACAATAATAACAGAGTGAAATAATAAATGCAATAATAATAGAGTGAAATAATAAATGTCATAATAGAGCAAAATTATAAATGTAATAAAATAATAATTGAATAAAGTAATATAAATGTAATAATAAGAATAAACAGAGTAAAATAAATGTAATAATAATAATAATCTAGTAAAATAATAAATAATTTTGACTTGAGTATAAGCCGACAATAATGATAAAGTGAAATAATAAATGCAATAATAATAGAGTGAAATAATAAATGTAATAATAATAAGAGTAAAATTATAAATGTAATAAAATAATAATTGAATAAAGTAATATAAATGTAATAATGATAATAAATAGAGTAAAATAAATGTAATAAAAATAATAATAGCCTAAAAAAAGGGCCTACCTGTGAGAGATGTTGAGCAGTGGAACTCTCTGCCCTGGAGTGTGGTGGAGACTCCTTAAAAACTTGCAGATGCCGGATGGCCATCTGTCGGGGGTGCTTTGAATGCAATTTTCCTACTTCTTAGGAGGGGGTTGGACTGGATGGCCCATGAGGTCTCTTCCAACTCTATTCTATTATTCTAAGTCCTCCAGTATGATTCTATGATATGTAGTAGTAGTGTTTCTGTAGTGTTTTATGTAGGTGCGGGAATGTAGCATAGAGTTTTATTTGATGTTTCTCCCTCTTTGTATGTTTTACTATAATAAGAAATAGATATGAAAAAGTAAAAGCATAAAAAGTAAAAGCATGAGTATTACAAACAGAAAACCCAGCACATATGTAAAATCAAAGAATTCAGCTGTTTGCAGAATGTGATGAGGGAGCCTGACAAACACTAGGCACAAGCTTCAGAAAGTTCTGAATTGTGGGAGTTGAAGTCCAAAACACCCGGAGGGCCAAAGTTTGCCCATGCCTGTTGTAGATACACAATAGTCCTCAGGCCAGATGGCCATCTGTCTGGAGTGTTTTGATTACGTATGTGTTCCTGCATGGCAGAAGATTGGACTGGATGGCCCTTGGGGACTCTTCCAACTTTGTGACCCCGAAATCATCACTTGGAATATATCAAATAGGCTTCATAGAATCCTAGAGTTGGAAGAGACCTTGTGGGTTATCCAGTCCAACCCCATTCTGCCAAGAAGCAGGAAAATCACATTCAAAGCACCCCTGACAGATGGCCAGCAGATGGCATCTGCTGGTTTTTAAGGAGCCTCCGCCACACTCCAGAACAGAGAGTTCCACTGTTGAACATCTCTCACAGGTAGGAAGTTCTTCCTCATGTTCATCTCTAAACAAATGTTCTTAACGACAGCCATTGCCAGAAAGATCACCCTCACCCCTTGCTCCTGTGTCTCAGGTCTCTGCTTCTTCTGTGGAAGCCCCTCGGCCAGGGCCACCGCCTGGGCGCAGGTCTTCGGGCAACCCTCCACCACCCGGTTCTGGATCTCCGGAGGCAAGATGGCCAGGAACTGCTCCAAGATCAGCAGCTCCAGGATCTGCTCCTTGGAGTGCCTCTCCGGCTTCAGCCATCGGCAGCCGAGGAACCAGAGCCGGCTGCAGACCTCGCGGGGCTCCGCGGCCTCCTGGAAACGGAACTGGCGGAAGTTCTGGCGCTGGATCTCCAAGACCACCGCATCCTCGGAGTGGTCCTCTTCTGGCAGAGTCTGGCCTTTGGAGACCTCTTGAAATGCTCCAGAGGTACCCAGCTGGGTTCGAGTCTCCTGGTCTTCTTCCGCCTTGGATTTGAGGGCAGGTGGAGACATTTGGACCCCAATTTGGCACAAAGACCCCATTGTTTCAGCGTCTGTGATGTTGGAGCTGGTACAGTCCAACGTCTTTGGGAATGCCCGCCAATGGGTCTCTGCCCATAAATAATTTGGTTGTTCACATTTCACCTCCATGTTGGAAGTGTTTGCCAGAAGGTCGTCAACTCTCCCAGCCACAGAAACATGGGGGTCATTCTCAATTTTTTCCTCCAGTTTGAGGCTGGTTGTCTCTTCCACTTCCATCGGAATCCCTTGTTCTGACTTGGTCTGGACCTCTGTGCTGACTGTGGTCATTTTCAGTGAGGGAAATCAAATCGTGCAGCCTGTTTGGTTTTTTTCCCCAGGGTCTCTCCTTCAATTACAGAAGATCTCCAGACATCGAGTTCAAGAGTTGATAACATTCCAGGAGGCTTCTTCCTAAAGAAAGAAGAGTACAAATGGTGGTAGAATTATAGAGTTGGAAGAGATCCCCCCAAAGACTATCCAGTCCAATCCCCGCCATCCAGGAACACACAGTCAAAGCACTTCCGGCAGATACCCAGACAGCCTCTGCTTAAAAACCTTCACTGGACTCCCAGGCAGCAGCCTATTCCACTGATTAAAAGCTCTTCCTAATGTTTAAGTGGAATCTCTTTTCCTGCAATTTGGCTCCATTGCCCTATGCCCTAGTCTCAAAACACAGAGCTATGGATTAAAATGAGAAAAATTGGGACCGTCATAGAATCAAAGAGTTGGAAGAGACCTCCTGGGCCATCCAGTCCAACCCCCTGCCAAGAAGCAGGAATATTGCATTCAAAGCACCCCCGACAGATGGCCATCCAGCCTCTGTTTAAAAGCTTCCAAAGAAGGAGCCTCCACCACACTCTGGGGCAGAGAGTTCCACTGCTGAACGGATCTCACAGTCAGGAAGTTCTTCCTCATGTTCAGATGGAATCTCCTCTCTTGTAGTTTGAAGCCATCATATCAAAACAATAATAATAAATACAGTATATTCTGGCGTATAAGACTACTTTTTAACCCAAGAAAATCTTCTCAAAAGTCAGGAGTCGTCTTATACGCGGGTGTAGTCTTATGCATGGGAGTCGTCTTAACTCTATATTTTAACTGGAAAAGTTGGGGGTCGTCTTATACGCCCAGTCGTCTTATATGCCAGAATATACGGTAATAATAAACTTTATTTATACCCCGCCACCATCTCCCCAAGGGGACTCAGGGCGGCTTACATGAGGCCAAGCCCAACAATACAGCAATGCAAATAAACAACATACAACATAAAAATAAAATACAAGAAACAATATAAATAAACATCAAGCAATGTAAAATCACAATAGTTTAAACACAGAAAATAAATCACAGTGGGGAGGGCCGATAGAAAGGATTAAAAAGTTTAAAAACACTGGTTGAGAAGGCAATGTATTGTATCTGGACAACTTTAGTGTATTTATTTTGCCCCGCAATGAAAGGGTCAGCATAAGTCAGTGTTACAGCATCACAAAGTATTACCACCTCACCTGCCTCATAGGAAACCTGCTACAAAACAGGAGCTTTTTTGTTGTGTTCCAGGGCCAAAGAAGCAGATGGCGAAAACAGAAGAACAGCCTGCCTCAGGGGAGCGTGCTTGCTCCATCAATGTTCAGCATTTACACAAATAACCAGCCACTGCCAGAAGGGACAGAGAGTTTCATCTATGCTGATGATCATGCCATCACCACACAAGCAGGGAATTTGAGATGGTTGAACAGAAGCTCTCCTAAGCTCTAGGGTGCTCTTACTGCCTATAACAGGGGAAACCAGCTGATTCGTAATCCATATAAAATGCAGACGTGGGCTTTTCATCTTAAGACCAGACAAGCATCCCGAGCTCTGAGGATTACCTGGGAAGGAATTCCACTGGAGAAGTGTTTCTCAACCTGTGGGTCCCCAGGTGTTTTGGCCTACAACTCCCAAAAATCCCAGTCAGTTTACCAGCTGTTAGGATTTCTGGGAGTTGAAGGCCAAAAACATCTGGGGACCCCAGGTTGAGAACTACTGCACTGGAGCATTGCAGCGCACCTAAATACCTGGGAGTCACTCTGGACCGTGCTCTGACCTACAAGAAGCACTGACTGAATATCAAGCAAAAAGTGGGTACCAGAAACAATATCATACGACAGCTGACTGGCACAACCTGGGGATCACAACCAGATACAGTGAAGACATCTCCCTTGCGCTATACTACTCTGCTGCTGAGTATGCATTCCCAGTGTGGAATACATATAACCACGTTAAAACAACGCATGTGGCTCTTAATGAGACATCCTGTATTATCCCGGGGTGTTTGCGCCCTACACCACTGGAGAAATTACACTGTTTAGCCGGTATTTATATAGATTGTATATACATATAATATTTATAATATTATAATGTAATACACTATAATACTACTACTACTAATAATAATATATTATTATTATATTTTATATTAAATATAATATTACTAACAATATTACAATATAATTGTATTACAATAGTACAATATAGTGATGTATAGTGCTGATATTTTACTGTGCTAATGGTATAATGTATTGTATGTATGTCTCTCTCTCTCTCTCTCTCTCTCTCTCTCTCTTGTAAGCCGCTCTGAGTCCCCTTTGGAGAAGGGCGGCATATAAATGTTGCAAATAAATAAATCAATATTGCACCACCTGACATCTGCCAGGATGTAGCAACCAATACTGAAAGGACCAAGGCTGTGACATCTCTGGCCCACCTCCTGTTCGGATATCTGCCAGCATGCCAATAACTTAAATCAAGAAATAGTTTTCTAAGATCTAGGGAGCCACTCACTGGAACACCTCAGCAAGCGAGAGTCCAAAAGTGGCAGGCTCAAACCCAGAACCTCAAGCCATGGTTGATACCAAATGAGAGACTCCCTCCTGATAATGGATAAAATAACTGTATTATGAAGAGAACTGTTAAACAATGAATGGCAACCAATGATTAAACATCTCATAAAATCATAGAGTTGGAAGAGACCTCATGGGTCATCCAATCCAACCCCATTCTGCCAAGAAGCAGGAAAATCACATTCAAAGCTCTCCCGACAGATGGCCATCCAGCCTCTGCTTAAAAGCCTCCAAAGAAGGAGCCTCTACCACATTCAATGTAAAATTATACTAAAAATGTATATAGAGGATCTTATAAGACTAGACAAGGAGGAAGCGGATAAGTAAATCTATTGTAACTTTGTATGTACTACTAGCCGTCCCCTGCCACGTGTTGTTGTGGCCCAGTCTATGTATATGCACTTTGTGTGTGTATATATTTGTCTATATGTGTATATATGTGGTTTTGCGCATGTGTTGTAATTTTTTTGGCTTTTTAAGTCTCTTCTGCTGTGTTTTTCAGTGTTTTTATGAGTGATGGTCACTTGTTGGCCTGATAGGTGTATTATATCCAAATTTGGTGTCAATTCGTCCAGTGGTTTTTGAGTTATGTTAATCCCACAAACGAACATTACATTTATATATATATATATATATATATATATATATATATATATATATATAGACTAGCCATCCCCTGCCATGCGTTGCTATGGCCCAGTGTGTGTATATGTGTTTTTTGTGTGTCTATATGTGTATATGTGTGTGTTTATATTTGTGTATATGTGTGCATTTGTGGTTTTGTGCATGCGTTGTAATTTTTGGGGGGCTTTTTAAGTCTCTTCTGCTGTGCTTTTCAGTGTTTTTATGAGTGATGGTCACTCATTGGCCTGCTAGGTGTCTTGTGTCCAAATTTGGTGTCATTTCGTCCAGTGATTTTTGAGTTATGTTAATCCCACAAACTAACATTACATTTTTATTTATATAGATTTAATTAATTTCATTAAATAGAAGACTGTGACTCCTTAAAGAAAATTTATTATCTGAGAAATGATTATGGAACACTAATAGCTGGAAAATATTGCACTATACGCAACAAACACTTGCAAATGTATGCCTATTTGAATAAGTAATTAAGAAATAAATTTAAAAATAAATTAGTATGTGCATAAACATAAAAATAGTCATTAAACCTTGGTGGGGAATAATGTGGGCTATTTACACCCCAGCCAGGCTGGCTGCTTGGCTGCCCTGCCCAACCCCGCTTTCCCCTCCCTGACCCGTGTTTGTGCAGCGCATCCACACGTTCTCTTACCACGCGGCCGCCTGCTGTGCAGCTGCTGGACATTCCAACCGGAAGGAACGTTCGGTTTTTTTCACCCCCTCTCTCGCCCCGCCCCCTTGAGCAAACCCTGGACGCCCATTGGCCAATTGCTCTTTCTGAACATTCTTTAACCCTTCCAATGGCTGGTTCCCCCAACTCTCCTCTTTCAGGGCTTTGGACTTCAACTCCCAGAAGCCTCCGCTGTCCAGGCCCATGATGAGGCATTCTGGGAGTTGAAGTCCAAAACACCAAAGCGTGAGAAAGGCTGCTTTAATCAAACAGGGTCCAGCTTTGCTTCTCTCCTCCTGCAAAGGAGAAAGGAGTCGAGCCAAAATGTGCTGCTTATCAATTGCAAGAGAGTCAAAATATAAAGATCTATGCAAGTTGGAGGGAGTTTGCATGCAAACAGGAGAATCTGGGGCAAGTGGCAGGTTTGTATAGGAACATAGAAGGACTTTATACAGGTTGAGCTTCTGTTACACAGTTAACTTTAAAATAAAATAAATAAATAAATAATAAAATTAATTGATAAAAATTACACTACGTTAAAAATTAAATTAAATTAAATTAAAATTCTGTTAAGCATGTATATAACTTATACATAAAGCCTGAAGGTAATTTTGTATTTATTTATAATAATAATAATAATAATAATAATAATAATAATAATAATAATAATTTATTTATACTCCACCACCATCTCCCCAAGGGGACTCGGGGCGGCTTGCATGAGGCCAAGCCCAGCAATACAACAATGCAAATGTACAACATAAGAATACAAGAAGATATTAAAATAAAATAAAATATAAAAGACATTATAAATAACACACTAGACCACATAAAATCACAGTATTTGAACACAGAGAATTAATCATAGTGCGCAGGGCCTGTTGCAAGGATTAAAAGTTTAAAAGGTGAGAGGGCAATATAATATATCTGGAGAAGGGGGTCCAAGGGACAAAGTAGGGTTTAATTGCACCAACAGATAATTTATTGGGTTGTTGTAGGTTTTTCCGGGCTATATGGCCATGTTCTGGAGGCAATTTTTCTCCTTCCAACAGACCTCACTACCTCTGAGGATGCTTGCCATAGATGCACTACCTCTGAGGATGCTTGCCACAGTTAAAACTTGTGCGCCAACTGCGACCGTACCTTGGGAAGTCTGACTTAGCTACGGTAGTCCACGCTCTGGTTACATCCCGCCTTGATTACTGCAACGCTCTCTACGTGGGGTTGCCTTTGAAGACAGTCCGGAAGCTCCAGTTAGTCCAACGGGCGGCAGCCATGATTCTAACAGGAGCGGGGTGCAGGGAGCATACAACTCCCTTGCTGAACCAGCTCCACTGGCTGCCGATATGCTACCGGGCTCAATTCAAAGTGCTGGCATTGGCCTTTAAAGCCCTAAACGGTTCTGGCCCAACTTATCTATCCGAACGTATCTCAGCCTATCAGCCCACCAGGACCCTAAGATCTTCCGGAGAGTCCCTTCTCTCTATCCCTCCAGCTTCAGAAGTGCGGCTGGCGGGAACGAGAGACAGGGCCTTCTCTGTGGTGGCCCCCCGGCTTTGGAACACCCTCCCTATAGAGGTACGATCAGCCTCTTCGCTGATGGTGTTTAGGAAGAGACTCAAAACATGGCTGTTCAAACAAGCATTCGGCTAATCTGTGGCAATTCGAATATTGATGACTAAGGACAGGAAACATGGACAACGAATTCTGGATTGCGATTTCAACTCGAGATATATGGGATTATTATTGGTGGCCCAATAATTTGTAATTTGTTATTGAATTTGTTATTATATGTGTATATGTTTTTAAATTGTAGATTGTTTTAACTGCTGTAAACTGCTGCAATGAGTCGCCGTTCTAGGCTGAGATATTAGCGGTATACAAGTGTATCAAATAAATAAAATAATATACAAGTGTATCAAATAAATGCAGGCGAAACATCAGGAGAAAAATTGCCTCCCGAACATGGCCATATAGCCCGGAAAAACCTACAACAACCCAGTGATCCTGGCCATGAAAGCCTTCGACAGATAATTTATTTATTTGCAGTATTTATATTCTGCCCTTCTTACCCTGCAGGGGACCCAGAGTGGATCACAAAGCACATATACATGGCAAACATTAAATGCCATAGACACAAAACATATATAGACAGACACACAGAGGCTATTTAACTTTCAAGCTTCATGAGGGTATGCTTCGAATTCTGGCCACCAGGAGAGCTGTTGCTTCACCATCCACTTCTGACACTGATGGAGTACTTCCTCATTCTTTCGCATGCGGCTGGAGAGTTTTATGGCGCTGTAAATTAGTTAAATTAGCCTCCCAGCATAAACGGTACCTAAATTTCCTACTTGACACATGCAACCGGGCCGGCTTCAAAGTCATGACCTTTTGGTCAGTAGTGATTTTAATGTAGCTGACTCCCAACCATCCTAACCAACCTGTCATTTACCCTACAGCCAGAGAGCACACTGAACCCCAACGATGATGCATCTAGAGCAAACTTGCATAACATAACAAACTTTAAGTACTGATCGAGCTTTTTGGGGTTAACCTGGCATGATGTGAGTTTTAGTTCACTCACAATCTTATGCCTTTTGTATAATTAAAAATTGACTTCTTCAAATAACCCAGGTACTCCAGCTAGTAATGTTATATAAATACTAGCTGTCCCCTGCCATGTGTTGCTGTGACCCACTCTGGTGATCTGGAAAATAAAATAATGAGAAAGTTTTGGTCTCTAATGTATGTATTTTCTTTCTGCTTGTGGAAAAACAGTATTTCTTGTTGTTTCTTTGTCAGTGTTGATGTGGACATTGTCTGGTTTGTCTACTCTGGAGCATGCCACATATAATTGTCCTTCTTTAGGTGAGCCTTTCAAATCTATGATACTTTGTATTTTTCTGTGTGTGAATCATATCTATCTATCTATATCTATCTATGGCTGGATGGCTCTTTGTCAGGAGGGTTTTCTTGCCCTGGTGAAGGGAGTTGGAGCGGATGGTCATGGGTGTTCTGTGTGGGAAGTTTGCCCCAATTCTGTCCATCATAGGGTTCAGAATGCTCTTTGATTGTAGATGAACTATAAATCCCAGCAGCTACAATTCCCAAATGTCAAGTTCTATTTTCCCCAAACCCCACCTGTGTTCACATTTAGGCATATTGAGTATTTGTGGCAAGTTTGGTCCAGATCAATCATTTTTTGAGTCCACAGTGCTCTCTGGATGTAGGTGAACTACAATTCTCAAACTCAAGGTCAATGCCCACCAAATCCTTCTAGAGTTTTCTGTTGGTCATGGGAGTCCTGTGTGCCATGTTTGGTTCAATTCTACCACTGGTGCAGTTCAGAACGCTCTTTGATTATAGGTGAACTATAAATCCCAGCAACTACAACTCCCAAATGAAAAAAATCATTTATTTAAATGAAAGACATACATTGGGTTGTTAGGTGTCTTGTGTCCAAATTTAGTGTCAATTCATCCAGTGGTTTTTGAGTTATGTTAATCCCACAAACGAACATTACATTTTTAATTATATCGATAATATTATATTATATAAATAAATATAAATAATAATATTTATACATTTTACTTTTAACCAAGACCCAAAGCAACCCACAGCCTTAAAAGATTATTTCATTTGTAAACCTACAAAATATGAATATTAAAATAGAATTAAATGTTGCCATTACCCCTTCTCATACTCCAGGTTCAGAGGAGGCAAGTTATCCTTAGCTGAGGCTGCTTTAGAAGGCACAGAGAAATATATTTGGGTGTCAATTTTTTCCAGTTGCACAACTGTCATTTTAGTGTAGATCAGCCATGGGCAAACTTTGGCCCTCCAGGTGTTTTGGACTTCAACTCCTAACCGGCTGTTAGGAATGGTGGGAGTTGAAGTCCAAAACACCTGGAGGGCCAAAGTTTGCCCATGGCTGAAATAGAACCTTTCCAGGAGGATGGCAGCAGTGCTTTGATTGTGCTTTTCCTCTCTAACAGAATAGGGTTGGACTAGATGGCCTTTGGAGTTCTCTTCCAACTCTAGGATTCTATCGGGAGCTCGGTCCTTGTACGATGCACCTGATTCAGCACTTTTATGAGATTCATAGCTCTGTCAAGGACCTTGTCTTTGATGTTTCTAGCAAGGGCTAGCTACAGTCGAAGCAGGTCTTTTGGTGCCGGACAAGTTGGAGGCTCAGGCGGAAACTTTTTCCACAGTCTGAACACTTGTATGGCTTCACTCCCGTGTGAATCCCTCGATGTTGAACGAGGACTTTGGCTTGGTTGAACCTCCTCCGGCAGTAACTGCATCTGTATGGTTTCTCTCCTGGGTGGGTGCTCGCTGCGTTGAAGCTGAAGCCTTTTCCACACAAGTTGCAGCTTTGGTGACTTTTGGCCTTTTGAGCTCTTTGCAGGCAGGAGGTTTTGGGAAGGTTGCCTCTTTTGCTGGAAGCAGATCCCTGAATCCTGTTCTCTATAGGCTTGGCCTCCAAGCAGTTAGCATGGCCTTGGTTGGCAATATTTACCACTGGGCTCTGGAGTCGGGCTCTTTTTTGTGGCATGCATTCCCACATGTCTGTAGCTCCTGGAATAAAAGGAAAGAAATTGACATTTTTCATGCAGAAGAGCCAGAGATCTCCATCATCATCATCATCATCATCACCATCAACCACCACCATCACCACCACCACCACCACCACCACCACCACCATCACCATCATCATCATCATCAGAAACACAACAAGATGAGTCCACAGCAGACAAGATCACTCTGCTGGCTGTTGTATCGGATCACAAGTCGGATACTTCTCAAGTGTCTAGGACTATGTGATGTATTGGCGAATAATGCGTGCAGATCCCAGTAAGATGGCCTTTTGAGATGGTAATCTGGTCAGAGCCAATTGTGTTTAAGTGCAGGCCAAGGTCTTTAGGCACTGCACCCAGTGTGCCAATCACCACTGGGACCACCTTGACTGGCTTGTACCTGTTCTGACTTACATACCGTATATGTGTATAAGACGACCCCCATATTTTCCAGTTAAACTATAGAGTTTGGGATATACTCACCGTACAAGACTACCCCTCTTCCGTAGCCGACTACCCCGCCCCTCCCGGCCCCGCCCCACACTCCAGCTTTAACTCCCTCGGTGGTTGCCCTGGCCATGAGGACAGAGGCAGAGTCAGCAGCAGACTAGTGGTGGCGGGGAGGCATCCACCCCCAGCCGGCCTGGTAACACGGCAGGAGTCGAAGCCGGAGTGGGGGGGTGGTGGTACTGGAAGGGGTGGGGCCCTCCACAGAGGGCGGGGCTGGAGCAGCCAGAGGCGACCTCTCCTGCTGCCCCCCCCCCCCCCCCCGCCTCTCCGGCTTTGGCTCCTGCGGCAACTGTTCTGGGCTTGAGGGCGGAAGCGGAGGCAACACCATGTCAGTGGTGGTGAGGACAGCCCAGTAGGCTACCACCCCGCTGGCTTGGTAGTGCAGCCTGCCGCTCCTCCTCCTCACCCCCTCCCTCCCTCTGCCCTCCTCCTCCTCAGGCCGTGCCATTCGGGGATGCCAAGGGCGATGGAGACGAGGGAACAATGATCCGACAGACTGTATACCCGGTGTACAAGACGACTCTTTGAGATGATTTTCCTGGTTTAGAAAGTCGTCTTGTACTCCGGAATATACGGTACTAATCCAACTTAAGAACCTACTTTGCTCGTAACTTGGGAACTACCTGTACATCTTTGAACTCTCACTATACCATTAGGAATTAAAAGTCACTGGAATTCTTACCTGGAGAGCGATCCGTAGGGCCTTTCCCACCTTCCTCAAGGTCCTGCTGTGTGTTCCTCTGTTTGTTTTCTGCAGGAGCCTTTTCAGCAACAGGAAGGTTCACCGTCGCCACATGGAACGGCATTGGGACCTGCGGGTGGAGGAGCAGAAAGTATGGAAACAGTTGAGACAGAAGGGTTTCTAAAATACGTACATGGAAGAATGGAAGCATCCAAAGAATGGCATCAAAGGCTGATTCCAAAAAATATCACATGCCTCTCCTGTGGCAATTGCAAGGCTTTCCCTATTATAGGAGCTGGGCTGAGCACAGGTTCATTTCTGTTGAAGGGGCTATGCATAAAGTGGACAATCTCCTTTTGTGGATATAGTTGGGCTGTGTTTTAGTGGAATATGTTGCCTGGGAGTGTGGTGAGGGCTCCTCCTTTGGAGGATTTTAAGCAGAAACTGAATGTCCATCTGTCAGGGGTGCTTGTATTGTGCTTTTCCTGCATTAAGGCAGAAGGGGGCTGGACCAGATGGCTCTTGTGGGGATTCTAATTTGTGTCATGCTTGAATTTCTTCAAGTAAGGAGAGGGAAAGCAATCCCAATGCATCATGAAGACTAAAAGCACTGTATTTGGGATGAATATGAGTTTATATTACTAGTATAGGCAAGTTGATTGTTGCCTGCTATGAACGCCATTCTCTGACAGAAAATTGCCACAAAGAGCACAAAGTTGGAGAAAATACTCTTTCACTGGGTTGCTGTGAGTTTTCCGGGCTGTATGGCCAGGTTCCAGAAGCATTCTCTCCTGATGTTTCACCCACATCTGTGGAAGGCATCCTCAGAGGTTGAGGAGTCTGTTGGAAACTGGGCAAGGGTGGATGTTGCAACGAATCACCTTGATTAGCATTGCAAAGACTTGCAGCTTCAAGGCATGGCTGATTCCTACCTGGGGAAATCCTTTGTTGGGGGGTGTTAGCTCACCAGATTTTTCATGTCTGGAATTCCCCTGTTTTTGAATGTTGTTCTTTATTTACTGTGCAGATTTTACAGCTTTTTAAATACTGGTAGCTAGATTTTGTTCATTTTCATGGTTTCCTCCTTTCTGTTGAAATTGTCCACATGCCTCTTGTGGATTTCAATGGCTTCTCTGTGTAGCCTGACATGGTGGTTGTTGGAGTGGTCCAGCATTTCTGTGTTCTCAAATAATATGCTGCGTCGCAAGCGTGTTTGGTGGGGACGAGGGACAGGGCCTTCTCTGTGGTGGCCCCCCGACTCTGGAACTCTCTCCCCAAGGACATCAGACAAGCCCCAACGTTGGCAGTCTTTAGGAAGAGCCTGAAGACCTGGCTGTTCCAGTGTGCCTTTCCAGAATAGGAAACCCTAGCATCATGTCCCAAATGCACTTTGTTAGAGATTTAGGATTGTCTGCACATTGCACCTACCTCCAAAAACCTCTACATTTCACCTGTCATGTCCAGCACTTTTAAATTTGTCCAACTATTTGGCCCGGCCTTAGGTTTTTAAATGCGTCATGGTGTTATTGTTTTTAGTGTTTTATTGTTCTGCTTGATGTTTATTATTTGCTTTATGTTGTATTTGGATGCTGTTGTTTTGTTGGTGGCCTTGGCCTTTGTAAGCTGCATCGAGTCCTTCGGGAGATGTTAGTGGGGTATAAATAAAGTTAATAAATAATAATAATAATAATAATAACAATAATAATAATAATTGGTTCATCAGGTGCTCTGCTATGGTTGACTTCTCTGGTTGAAGTAGTCTGCAGTGCCTTTCATGTTCCTTGATTCTTGTTTGGTAAATGTTGCATTTATAAACCTCCTATTTTCCTAGTTTCCAACAGACCTCACAAGCTCTGAGGATGCCTGCCATACATGCAGATGAAAAGTCAGGAGAGAATGCTTCTGGAACATGGCCATACAACCAGAAAACTCACAGCAACCCAGTGATTCCAGCCATGAAAGCTTTCAACAACACAATACTCTTTCAGACGACTCCCAGAGTCCTGCTCAAGGATATGGCGATATCCCGGCTGAAATATTATGTGACCCAGTGCTCAGAGGACTGAATCCATCTGACGTCCACACACCACAGCCTTACCATTTGGGCCTGCGGCTCATCCGCTTGCTGCTTCAGGAGGAAATCCTCCGCCAGGACCACAGCTTCGGAGCATGTTTCGGGGTCGTTCTCCTTCACCCAGGCCTGCACGTCCTCAGGCAGGATGGACAGGAATTGCTCCAAGATCAGGAGGTCCAGAATCTGTTCTTTTGTGTGCCTTTCGGGCTTCAGCCACTGGTGGCAAAGCTCCCAGAGGCGGCAAAAGGCTTCCCGAGGGCCCTCGGCTTCCCGGTAGCCGAACTGCCGGAAGCATTGCCGGTCTGCCTCGGTGCTCCCCATGTCCTCCTCCTTTTCCACTTTGTTGCAATTGCCTTCATCTAGTCCATGCTTTGTGTTGCAGACCTCTGGACTAGTCTCTTCAAGGCACGGAGAAGCCCGAACTCTCTGATGTTTGTCTCGTTGCCGACCATCTCTTGCACAAAGTGGACCATTGCCATGTGGCACAACATCAGGGGAGACCGAATTTCCATTGCAGGAAGACTGCACTGTCCAGAGGAACTCCTGCCACTGGGATTCCCAATACTTCGACAAACTTTTGTCCACTTCCTCTTTTAAATAATCCCCAATGTCCTCCACTTGGACGACGCGGAGTCCTTCTCCAACCCTCTCCAAGCCTTCCCGCAACTGGGACCCGGTTGGCTCTGGGTCTTCCATTTTTACAACTCTCTTCATCCCTTCCTTTGGCGTTGGCTGACCCTCGTAACCGGATACAGGGGTGCAGATCAATAAGTTCTTGAGGCCATAGCGCTTGACGTAGCTGGCCAGCCACCCCTTGCTGGCCTTGAACTCCTTCCTCTCGCTCTCCTCGACACCCTCCTGGTAGAGTTCGTAGAGGCAAAGTGCTTTCTCGCGCACGATTTTGCCGTCGACGGGGTTGCGCTTCTGCGCCATGTCCTCCAGCCACACACTTAGCGCTTTCTCGACCTTCGCAAGCACTTTATCACGGACCAGGGAGACCATTTTGGCCATGGTCGGGGCAGCACTCACTCTCGCCCGGATTTCGGCTTCTTTCTGCTTGATTGTGCGGATGCTGGACTCGTTCTTCCCGACTTTTCGGCCCACGGCAGCCAGCGACATGCCGTCTCTCAGAAGATCCAAGATTTGTATTTTCTCATTGAGTGTCAGCACTTTGCGCTCCCTCTTAGCCTTCGAGGGATTGCTTTGGCCACTTAATTGCTTTGTGGGAGGCATTTTCAACTGCGACAAAAAGGTGCAAACAACACAAGCAGTGGACAAACAAGAAGTAATTCAGCAAACAACCTGAATGCTGCGGAGATTGAGGAATGGTGAAATGAGTGGATGTTACAACAGTGTGTGTTTACCCATCACCTTAATGAGTGGCAAATTCAAATGTTGCTTTTGATGATGATGCAGAACCTATGGATATGGAATTCAGACTCTATTTTTCTGTTCAGCAAACATTTTCGGTGATTCGATGATTTTTGGAGGTTTTGTCCCTATGAAGAAAAATGTCCAGATATATATTAGTCCTAATATATATTTCACAGCAAAAGGGCCATCCTACAGTGTTTACTTTCCAACTGCATCTGGAAGAATACGGTACACATTGAAACCAATGTCTTTCACCATCTATTTAGAGAAACGTCTGTCTGTGGAAGACACAAAACACAAAGAGTTTGGATGAACTCAGCCAAAATCTAATTTTCTTTCGTGTAAGAGAAAAAATGCTGTCCATTAAAGGCAAATTGTGGGGAAGATTGTCAAAAGTGGTTCAAACTACATTGTTTCTATACCACAGAACAGAGCTTTCTAAGTCTTGTCACAACACATTTGTGTGCCAACAGCAGTGTATAGGTGTATTGTGTGAACATGATGAGGAACCTCTGAGTCGATGTGAAAAAAAGCAATTATCATATACTAGCCGTCCCCTGCCATGCGTTGCTGTGTATATGTGTTTTGTGTGTGTTTATATGTGTTTGTGTGTGTGTATATATTTGTGTATATATGTGTGTTTGTGTATATATATATATGTGTGTGTGTGTGGGGTGTATATATGTGTGTGTGTATATGTGTGTGCATTTGTATATGTATATATGTATGTGTGCATGTGTATATGTATATGAGAGTATGTGTATACGTATATATTGTGTATTTTTGGGAGTTTTAAGTCTGTTCCACTGGGTGTGTGTGTGCGTGTGTGTTTAGGGGTGATGGACATTTGTTGGACTTAGGTGTGTTGTGTCCAAATTTGGTGTCAATTTATCCAGTGGTTTTTGAGTTATGTTAATCCCATAAATTAAAATTACATTTTTATTTATATAGACTAGCCGTCCCCTGCCACGCGTTGCTGTGCCCCAGTCTGGTGATCTGAAAAATAAAGTAATGGTATCTAATCTATATAATTTCTTTATGCTTGTGGGTAAACAGCATTTCTTGTTGTTTCTTTGTCAGTGTTGATATGGAGATTGTCTGGTTTGCCTACTCTGGAATATGCAACATATCATTGTCCTTCTTTAGGGGTCCCTTTGAAATCTATGATATTATATCTCTGTGCGTGTGAATCATATCTATCTATCTATATCTATGGCTGGATGGCTCTTTGTCAGGAGGGCTTTGATTGGATTTTCTTTCCCTGGCGAAGAGAGTTGGAGTGGATGGCCTTAAGTATTTTCTGTTGATCATGGGGGTTCTGTGTGGGAAATTTGCCCCAATTCTGTCGTTGGTGGGGTTCAGAATGCTCTTTGATTGTAGGTGTACTATAAATCCCAGTATCTACAAATCCCAAATGTCAAGGTCTATTTACCCCAAACTCCATCTGTGTTCATATTTGGGCATATGGAATATTTGTGCCAAGTTTGGTCCATATCTATCTTTGCTTGAGTCCACAGTGGTCTCTGGATGTAGGTGAACCACAACTCCAATACCCAAGGTCAATTCCTACCAAACCCTTCTTGTGTTTTCTGTTGGTCATGGGAGTCCTGTGTGTTACCTTTGGTTCAATTCCATCATTGGTGGAGTTCAGAATGCTCTTTGATTGTAGGTGAACTATAAATACCAATAACTACAACTCCCAAATGACAAAATCAAAAAATTTTGAGTGAAGGACATACATTTGGTTGTTAGCTGTATGCTGTCCAAATTTGGTGTCAATTCTCCCACTGGCTTTTGAGTTATGTTAATCCCACAAACAAACATTACATTTTTATTTATATAGATGTTGTAGCCTGGTCAGATTCAGAGTGATCGGAAGATGAAGAAGGGGATGCTGGGATAGATTCAGGGGGCCTAGAGGTGGATAGAAGTGGCCTAGAGAGAGTTGTTTTGGAATCTCCTGGCAGTTCCCAAAAGACCGGATTTCTCTCAGCCACAAGTGCAGGCTGCGAGAAATGTGGGAGACAAATGTTTGTTTTGGTCAAGGCGCTTGATATTGTAGAGACAGAGCATGCAACAAAGACTGGCTGCCTTTTCCCAGAGGCTTAGAGACAAGGAACGGAAAAGCAAGTGTGTGATAAATGATGTTATGGGAGGATTTAAGGCCTTTTAAAGTGGGTTTCTGCTGGTACAATCCTTTGTGAGAGCAATGTTGCATTCGGGTGAACAGCTCTGTTTTTGGTCCTATGTTTTTGGATTTCATGTATTTAAGTTTGCTTTGTGGTGAAAAAGTGTTTCAGGACTCAAGTGCAAAAATATTTTTTTAAAAATGTAAATTTTAAAACATGTATAAGGAAGGTTTTCATGAGATATACTGTGTCTCAGTACATTTCATTATTACAGTCGACTATGTGTCTCTATCTCTTATAAGAGGTTCATTTGCCTCCGGTTTGCTAGCAAAACCGAATGTCGCAAAATGGAGCAAGTCTAAAAGATATTCACTTTCCTTGTTATATAAGTAAAAGTTTGAATGTCCGTCCAGCATAGGTTGAAACCAGGAAGGCTTAAATGGATCCTAAGGGAATTTTTTATTACATTAAGTAATTAATTGCATTAAGTATTGCATTAAGTATTGCATTTAGTTAAATAATGTGTGCCTCTTGCCTTTTTGTTTATATACTCTCAAGCCATGGATTGTTGCACCCATGGATCAGAGGGCTGACTGCAAACAACAACAACAACAACATTTCTTAATCTACTCCTCCTTGTTTTGTTTTTTTTTTCTTTTCTTAAGATGCTGCTTTGTATCTTTGAGATTTCACCCAAATCTCTGATGTGACTTCCCCTTGCAGGACTTCTGAAAACCTTGCAAAACAAAGAGAGAAGGGGAGACTTTATTGCTCAGCTAACAAGGCTAAAGTATATTCCTGCAGTCACCCTGCTTTTCTCATTTCCCCCCAACTTCCAGCAGATTTCTCTTCCAAGGCAGATCCACTTTGCTTTAACTCCTTCCCAACAGAAACAGGAAAAAGTGGGATTCCTGTTATGGATACATGTAGCCCACTTACCTTTAATGCATGGCTCGGCTTCATTTCCTTCTTCCTCTCCTTTGCAGGGATGTGAGCTCAGCTGTGGAGTGATCATGGGATTTGTAGTTCGACCAAGTCCCTGGGATTTGTAGTCTGGCTAAGTGCTCTGGCTGAGGCTTCTAAGCATTGCAAAGATCAGCATGTAGTGTGAAAGTACCCTGCAATGCAAATATGATAACACTTTCAGCATGTAGTGTGAAAGCACCCTGCAGTGTTTTTCCAAACTCTGGCCTTTTGGACTACACCTCCCAGCATCCCTGCTCACTCGACACAGCAGCTGAGGCTTCTGGGAGTTGAAGTCCAAAGACCTGGAGGACTGGAGTGACATCTGCAAGGGTTAAACCCTTGGAGATAGTGTTCCTAGAGAAGCAGCAAGGGGGGAGAAAAGGTGGCAAAAGACCTTGCTCCTTTGCAACTCCACTACCCATTTGCTGGAAGGAATTTGAATCTGAAGCTGGAAGAACAGGTTGCATGGGGTTTATTTGGGGGTTTTATCAGGTGGGGTAGGATTCCTAAAGGGGGGAAATGGGTTGGAAAAGAGAGCAAACCCCTTTCCTGTTTTAATGCTCTCCAATAACCACATTGCACCCAGGTTGCATTGAGAATCACAGCATCCTAGGATCCTAGGGCCCTTCCAGGATATCAAGGCAGAAAATCTCATATTATCTGAGAGTGGACTCAGATAACCCAATTCAAAGTAGATATTGTGGGATTTTTGTTGTATAAATTTTTGTTGTATAAATTTTGTGGTGTTGGAGGAAGGTGCTGAGAGTGCCTTGGACTGCGAGAAGATCCAACCAGTCCATCCTCCAGGAAATAAAGCCCGACTGCTCACTGGAGGGAAAGATACTAGAGACAAAGTTGAAGTACTTTGGCCACATCATGAGGAGACAGGAAAGCCTAGAGAAGACAATTATGCTGGGGAAAGTGGAAGGCAAAAGGAAGAGGGGCCGACCAAGGGCAAGATGGATGGATGGCATCCTTGAAGTGACTGGACTGACCTTGAGGGAGCTGGGGGTGGTAACGGCCGACAGGGAGCTCTGGCGTGGGCTGGTCCATGAAGTCACGAAGAATCGGAGACGACTGAACGAATCAACAACAACAACAAATTTTGTTAGTATGGATGTATTGGTGTATTCGGGCATTGAATGTTTGCCTTTTATGTTTGGAATCCGCCCTGAGTCCCTTTGGGAGTGGAAAATAAATAAAGATTATTATTATTATTATTATTATTATTATTATTATTATTATTATTATTATTATTGCCTTGATATTCTGGAAGGGTTGCTAGAGGCCATCTAGTCCAGTGTTTCTCAATCTTCCTAATGCCTCAACTCCTTAATACAGTTCCTCATGTTGTGGTGACCCCCAACTGTAACATTATTTTCGTTGCTACTTCATAACTTTAATTTTGCTACTGTTATAAATTGTCATGTAAATATCTGATATGGAGGATGTATTTTCATTCACTGGGTGAAATTTGGCACAAATACCCGATACGCCCAAATTTCAATACTGATGGGGTTGGGAATATTAATCTTGTCATTTGGGAGTTGTAGTTGCTGGGATTTATAGTTCATCTACAATCAAAGAGCATTCTGAACTCCACCAATGATGGAATTGAACCAAACTTGGCACACAAAACTCCCGTGACCAACAGAAAATACTGGAAGGGTTTGTTGGACATTGGCCTTTAGTTTTGGAGTTGTAGTTCACCTACATCCAGACTCTTCGTGACCTCATGGGCCAGCCCACGCCAGAGCTCCCTGTCGGCCGTCACCACCCCCAGCTCCTTCAAGGTCAGTCCAGTCACTTCAAGGATGCCATCCATCCATCTTGCCCTTGGTCGGCCTCTCTTCCGTTTGCCTTCCACTTTCCCCAGCATCATTGTCTTCTCTAGGCTTTGGGGAAAGAAATAGAATCCTCAGATTTCCCAAGCAGGTAGATTTTGCTGGATTGGAAGAAACAAAGAGTTGATAGAGCAGAATGCAGTTTAATATACATACATACATACATACATACATACATGTTTGTGTATGTATATATTCTTACAAGAAGTGCACTCGTATTTTAGACCGGACGGAAAGAAGACTGACTCTTCCTGCAAGGCAAAAGAAAGTTCTGCTTTGCCAAAACCTCTGTGGATATGGAAATGTCAACAGGTAAGAGCTTGAATCTAGCTCTATATAAAATCGTCTATATATATAAATCTGTTAGGTTGGTTCAACGGGACAGCAAAACTCTAAAACCCCCCATGAAACTTAACCAAAATTCCCATGCCCATAACACAACCCACAAGGTACAAACATATCTACCCAAAATGAAAAACAACACAACAACACACTCACAAAACGGCAAAACAACAAAACTCAAAAAAAACCCAACGAAACTTAACCAAAATTCCCATGCCCATAACACAACCCACAAGGTACAAACATATCTACTCAAAATGAAAAACAACACAACAACACACTCACAAAACGGCAAAACAACAAAACTCAAAAAAAAACCCAACGAAACTTAACCAAAATTCCCATGCCCATAACACAACCCACAAGGTACAAACATATCTACTCAAAATGACAAACAACACAACACCACGCTCCATCACTCCCCCGCTGCCGCACACACACACGCAACCCCACGATCCATCACTCCCCCCACCGCCGCACACACACACGCAACCCCACTCCCCCCGCTGCCGCACACACACGCAACCCCACGCTCCATCACTCCCCCCGCCGCCACACACACACACGCAACCCCACGCTCCATCACTCCCCCGGCCGCCGCACACACACACGCAACCCCACGCTCCATCACTCCCCCTCCCACACACACACACGCAACCCCCCCCCCCGCCACACACACACACGCAACCCCACGCTCCATCACTCTCCCCCCACCGCACACACACACGCAAACCCACGCTCCATCACTCCCCCTGCCACCACACACACACACGCAAACCCACGCTCCATCACTTCCCCCGCCGCCGCACACACACACGCAACCCCACCCCCCCCCGCACACACACACGCAACCCCACGCTCCATCACTCCCCCCGCCCGCACACACACACGCAACCCCGCTCCATCACCCCCCTGCCGCCGCACACACACATGCAAACCCCACGCTCCATCACTTCCCCCGCCGCCGCACACACACAGCAACCCCACCTCCCACCCCCGCCGCACACACACACAGCAACCCACGCTCCATCACTCCCCCCGCCGCCGCACACACACACACAACCCCACGCTCAATCACTCCCCTGCCCCAATCTTACCTCCTTTTACTTCACGCCACCTCCAAACCCCACCCCGCCCCTTCCCGCCCTGTCAAAATCCAGGAAAGACAGGAAGGAAGGAAAGAAGGAAGAAAGAGAAAGGGAGGTAAAGAAAAAGGGGGAAGGAAGGAAAGTTAGAGAAAGAAGGAAGAAGAAAAGGAAAGAAAAGGAAAGTTGGAAGGAAAGGAAAGAGAGACAGCAGAAGAGAAAGAAAAAGGGGGAAGGAAGGAAAGAGGTAGAGAAGGAAGAAATAAGAGACAGAGGGAGGGAAAGAAAAAGGGGGAAGGAAGGAAGGAGAGAAGGAAAGAAAAAAGGGAATGAAGGAAGGAAAGAGGGAGTGAAGGAAGGGGGAAGATGTAGAGAAAGAGGGAGGGAAGGAAAGAAGGAAAGAGAGAAGGAAGAAAAGAGACAGAAGAGAAAGAAAAAGGGGGAAGGAAGGAAAGAGATAGAGAAGGAAGAGGAGAAGGAAAGATAGGAGGGAAGGAAGGAGGGGAAAGAAGGAGAGAAAGAGGGAAGGTTGGCCACAGCAACGCGTGGCGGGTAAAGGTTGTTATTTCTATTATTATTATGCTATTATTCCTATTAGACCCTTTTAGGGGGAATGGGAGAGGTGTCAGGTCCCAGAGGCAATGCATTGCATTATTGTTATTGTTATGATGGTGGTGAAATAAAAGGAAATAAAAAGTGAAAGAAGGAAGCAAACAGGGAGGGAAGAAAGGCAAAGGAAGAAAGGGGGAGGGAATGAAGGAAAGAGAGAAGGATGAAATCAAGTAGTGAAAGAAGGAAAGAAAGAAAGAGGTAGAGAAGGAAGAAAGGAGAGAAAGGGGGAGGAAAAGGGGGAAGGAATAGGTAGGTACCTCTCTTTCATAATAGTCCAGATATCTACCTCAACTTTGATAAGTTTTACTATAGGCCACAGCAACGCGTGGCAGGGCACAGCTAGTAGTATATATGTATGTATGTTGTTTGGTTGGTTTGTACCACAAAGGCTCCTCCATGGCTTGATGGATTGGGACCCAACTTGGTACACTAACCTGTGGCTCAGGGCTATAAAATCTGTAGCACCGACACATCCCGTGGACAAATCCAGTTCTCATTCTGACTCTATGTCATCCACAGCAGCCTTTTAAAGGTCCCGCCAAAGTCCATAACATTACACAAACACAGAGTGCGCCTCCAGGCAACAGTGCCCAGGCGACCTCTATGCGGATATCCTCACTGATTGACATTGCAAACTTCTTCGCTGCTCAAATGCTAATTCAAGCTTGCTAATTACAACATTCACACTTGCTTCAAACAGATAAGAGTTTTTTCTCCCACCCTGGACATACCACAGGGATGTGTGTGTGTATATGTGTGTGTATATATATATATAGTAAAGGTAAAAGTTTTCCTCTGACATTATCTAGTTATGACCGGGGGTTGGTGCTCATCTCCATTTCTGGGGGTTGGTGCTCATCTCCATTTCTAAGCTGAAGAGCCAGCGTTGTCCGTATACACCTCCAAGGTCATGTGTCCGGCATGACTGCATGGAGTGCTGTTACCTTACCACAGAAGTGGTACCTATTGATCTACTCACATTTGCACATTTTCAAACTGCTAGGTTGGCAGAAGCTGGGACTAATGGCAGGAGGTCACCCCACTCCCTGGATTTGAACCAGTGACCTTTCGGTCAGCAAGTTCAGCAGCTGAGCAGTTTAATCCTCTACACCATCAGGAGCTCATATATATATGCTCATATATATATATGCTAGCCATCCCCTGCCACACGTTGCTGTGACCCAGTCTATGTATATGTGTTTTGTGTGTATATATGTGTTTATGTGTGTTTATATATTTGTGTATATGTGTATGGAAGTGTATTTGCATGTATACATACACACACACACACACATGTATATATGTGCATATGTGTGTATATGCATATATATGTATTTATACGTGTGTATATATTTTTATTTCTGTGTTTATATGTATATATTAGGCTTGTTTGATAAAAAAAATGGTTCAAAACTCGTTTCAGATGTAGGTGGTTCGAATCTAAAGTCAATTCCGATTTCCACAGAAAAAAAAGTTCAAAATTTTTCAAAACTTCCGAGACTTCCAAATCCTTTGTTAATGGTTTCAAAGTGTTATTTCCTGTTTCATTGGGTGGTCTTTACTTTGAAAGTAGTTGTTTTATTTCAGAAGTGGGGGGGGGGGGGGGGAGAGAAAAGGGAAGAAATCGCGGGAGAGAAAGGAAACAAAGGGAATCCATGCAAACTGTGTTAAACTGCATCTCTCACCCAAGGCTGATCAGGAGGGAATGGCAAACAAAGGGAATCCATCCGCACTGGTTTGAAAAGCTGAATAATTTCAGACTCATTTACTGATTCGTAAGAGAAATGGCGGAAAAAGCTTCGGAAGGGCAAAGGGACTTCCGGTTTCCTTAAAAACTTCGAAATCGCTTCAAAAAGGAAATCTTTCCAAATTTATTCCGAATTCTGAAGATTCTGACCGAACCTAACCATGCCTAGTGTATATGTATATTGTGTATATGTGCATATGTGCTTGTTTATGTGCATATATGTGTGTATGTGTAAATGTGTATATTTGTGTGTGCTTGTGTATATGCATATATGTGTGCATATATGTGTGTGTATGTATGTGTATATGTATGTGTATGTCTGTGTACATGTGTATATGTATATATGTGTATGTGTTCATGTGTGTGTGTGTGTGTATATATATATATTTGTGTGTGCTTGTGTATATGCATATATGTGTATATATGTGTATGTATACATGGATATGTGTGTATGTATGCATGTATATATGTATGTGTATATTTGTGTGCGCTTTGTGTCCCCCTAGGGGTGAGAAAAGCAGTATATAAATGCTGTAAATAAATAAATAATAAATATATGTGTGTATGTGTATGCATGTGTGCATGTGTGTATGAATATGAGTGTATGTGTATATGTTTAATTTTTGGAGTTTTAAGTTTGTTCTGCTGGGTTTTTTGTGTGTTTTCAGGGATGATGGTCACTCATTGGACTGTTAGGTATGTTGCGTCAAATTTTTGGGTCAATTCACCCAGTGCTTTTTGAGTTATGTTTCTCCCACAAACGAACATTACATTTAGATAGATAGATAGATAGATAGATAGATAGATAGATAGATAGATAGATATACACATACATATACTCCACTTTCCTCACTTCCAACAGACCTCTGAAGATGCCGATCACAGATGCAGGCAAAATGTCAGGAGAGAATGCTGCTGAAACATGACCATACAGCCCGAAAAACTCACTGTGAATTTCCTTTTCCTTGTAGAACGAAAAACACTGCAACAAAGTGGTGCTCTTTGGGATGATGTTTACTTGAAGTAATGTGCTGTTAATGCTCATGTCCGCAGGCATTTCCTCTTGGCCTTGACCCCTTGTAGAGTTTTCTATATTTTTGAAATGCGAAATAATGTTTTCAAGACATTCTCTTGTCTTCCTTCTCCCTCTTCCAGATTCTGGGATTGTGAACGAGATCAAGCAGGAACATTTCCCCCATGAAATCTTGGTGCCAAAAGAAGAGCACCATGGACATCAAGAAAATATTTCTTTCCCAAGGAAGGACGGGGATCAAAGTGAGTACCAGTTCGTGGGACAACAAAGAGGAGTATTATAGGAAAACAATGGTCATGAGGCAGAAACTAACTGAAGTTGGTTGGCGAAATCTATGCGGATATAACTTTTGGGGATTTGAGGTTTATATATCCCTCACTTATCTGGAGAACAAGCCCTATGAGGAGCGGCTTAAGGAGTTGGGCATGTTTAGCCTGAAGAAGAGAAGGCTGAGAGGAGATATGATAGCCATGTATAAATATGTTAGAGGGAGCCACAGGGAGGAGGGAGCAAGCTTGTTTACTGCTTCCCTGGAGACTAGGACGCAATGGAACAATGGCTTCAAACTACAAGAGAGGAGATTCCATCTGAACATGAGGAAGAACTTCCTGACTGTGAGAGCCGTTCAGCAATGGAACTCTCTGTCCCGGAGTGTGGTGGAGGCTCCTTCTTTGGAAGCTTTTAAACAGAGGCTGGATGGCCATCTGTCAGGGGTGATTTGAATGCAATATTCCTGCTTCTTCGCAGGGGGTTGGACTGGATGGCCCATGAGGTCTCTTCCAACTCTATGATTCTATGATTCTATAGTCCCCGCGATAACTGTATATAAACCTCCCTTGTCTAGTTTCCAACATACCTCACAACCTCTGAGGATGCCTGCCATAGATGCAGGCAAAATGTCAGGAGAGAATGCTTCTGGAACATGGCCAGACAGCCCAGAAAACTCACAGCAACCCAGAGTAAGATTTGAGTTTCATATCCCTCTCATCTCTCCCTTTTCCCTAGCAGCAGCATCCAGCTTTCCCTCTTTGGGAAGTGCACAGTCTGGGACCAAGTGGAGCGGAAGTCTTCCTTCTCATCCGACAACTCACACCGGGAAGAAACCATACCAGTGTCCAGACTGCGGAAAGGGCTTTTCCTTCCGGTCCCATTTTGCTTCCCACCAGAGAACACACACAGGGGAAACACCGTATAAATGCCTGGATTGCGGACGGGGCTTCAAGCGCCGCGACACTCTCACTCTCCATCGGAGAATTCACACAGGAGAGAAGCCATACAAGTGCTTGGAGTGCAGCATGGACTTTATCAGGAAGACGACGTTCAACTTGCACCAGACCGTACACACTGGGGAGAAACTGTACAAATGTTTGGAGTGCGGCAAGAGCTTCAGCCGACACTACACCTTAACTCTGCACCAAAGAACCCACACAGGGGAGAAGCCATACAAGTGCCTGGAGTGCGGGAAAAGCTTCCGGCAAAGCGATTCCCTCACTTTGCACCAAACCGCTCACACCGGAGAGACTCCCTACAAATGTATGAAATGCGGGAAGAGCTTCAGCTGCAACCGGACCCTTGTCGCCCACCAGATCATCCACACCGTAGGAAAACAGCACAAGTGCCCCGAGTGCGGAAAGACCTTCCTCCATAGCAAAAGCTTGGTTCTGCATCAAAAGAAGCACACCGGGGAGAAACCGTACAAATGCTCAGAGTGCGGGAAGAGCTTTTTTGACAACGGGACCTTAACGTCGCACCAGAGGAGCCACACAGGGGAGAAGCCGTACAAATGCTCCGAGTGCGGGATGACGTTCCCTTACACGGGGTCCCTTGCTTTGCACCGGAGGATCCACACCGGAGAAAAACCCTACCAGTGTTCGGAGTGCGGGAAGAGCTTTTCGCAGCATGGGTCCCTCGTTTCCCATCAAAGGATCCACACCGGAGAGAAACCGTATAAATGCTCGGAGTGCGGAAAAAGCTTCCGGGACTGTACCTACCTGGCGTCGCACCTCAAAATACATACTGGGGAGAAGCCGTATAAATGCTCCGAGTGCGGAAAGAGCTTCGTGGAGAGCCGTTACCTGATAAGACACCAAAAGATTCATATGAAGAAGGAGCGCTATAAATGCTTACCTTGAGAGGCAACGTTTATTTTTGGACTTCCATTTCTCAGTTCAGTCAGGGTTCATTTGGCTCTGTTTTGCTAGTAAAACTGAATTACTGTGTCGTGAAATGGCGCAGGCCGAAATGGCATTTGCTTTCCTTGTTATATAAATACAAGTTTGTGCATCCATCCAGTGTAGGTTGAGACCAGGAAGGCTTAAACAACAACAATAACAAAGAACTGGTGGGATCACAAGCCTGAAAAAAGTTACAGAAAATGAATGCATCGAATTACTCTGGGACTTCTGAATTTAGACTGACAGAGTTTTGGAACACAAGATTCCTGATCTCACAATCGTTTAAAAAACAAAGTATGGATTATTGATGTTGCAACCCCAGGTGACAGCAGGATCGAAGAGAAACAACTGGAAAAGCTGACATGATATGAGGGTTTAAAGATCAGCCTGTAAAGACTCTGGCACAAGCCAGTCAAGGTGGTCCCAGTGGTGATGGGCAGACTGGGTGCAGTGCCTAAAGACCTTGGCCTGCACTTAAACACAATCGGCACTGACAAAATTACCATCTGCCAGCTGCAGAAAGCCACCTTACTGGGATCTGCACACATTATTTACCGATACATCACACACTTGGGAAGTGTCTGACATGTGATCCAATACAACAGCCAGCATAGTGACTTTGTTTGCTGTGTATTAATCTTGTTGTGTTTCTAATAATAATAATAATAATAATAATAATAATAATAATAATAATAATACACTTCATTTATATTCCACTCTACCTTTCTGGTGAAATAATTATCACACAAACAAAGTTGGAAGGCTTTAATTCAAAAGCATGCATTAAGGAACGCAACAAAATTCCAACTGACTGTTTATTTCCCTCAAGCCTCCTATCCTTCATGCTGGCCCCTCCCCTTCATTGCTCCCATTTCCATTACAATCCTCGTCCTTGTTTCAAATATACACAGGCCAGATCTAAGGCATGGCCTAATTTCCTGGCTTCTCACTAAACCAGGAAATAAGGTCATGACAATACACATATATAGGCAGACATTCAATGCCTTTCAGACAATGAACAACAATGACATATAATACACAAACAAAGGCAAAGGTTTCCCTTTCCATCTCTGACATCTGAAGGCGGTGCTCAACTCTTCTTACATTTCCATGCTGAGGAGTCTTTTGTCCTGGTCGTTTTGCTGGCATATCTACATGGGCGCCTTTTATCTTCTCGCCGAGGCAGTACCTATCGATCTACTCACATGCCATGTTTTTGAACTGCTAGGTGGGCAGAAGCTAGGGCTAACAGTGGGAGCTCACCCTGACCTGCGGTTTCGAACTGCCAACCTGGTCAGCAAGTTTCCTGAAGCTATCCTGCTGTGTGCTACCATGGCAAATGAATTCAAGTATTATTTATTTATATGTTTGTTTACAGTATTTATATTCTGCCCTTCTCACCCCGCAGGGGACTCAGGGCAGATCACAATGCACATATACATGGCAAACATTCAATGCCATAGACTCACAACATATATAGACAGACACACAGGGGCTATTTAACTTTCCAGCTTCATGAGGGTATGCTTCAAATTCTGCCCACAGGGGGAGCTGTCGCTTCACCATCTACTTTTGACACCAATGGAGTACTTCCTCATTCTTTTGCACGACGCTGGAGATTTTTATGGTGTCATAAATTAGTTAAATTCGCCTCCCCGCATAAGCGGTACCTAAATTTCCTACTTGACAGATGCAACCGTCTTTCGTGCTGCAAAGGTCAACAGCAAGTTAGACAAATGGTCGAGAGCTTACTCTGACCCGGGCTGGCTTCAAACTCACCACCTTTCGGTCAATGGTGATTTGAATGCAGCTGACTCCCAACCAGTTGCGCTACAACCCAGTCCCAACCAGCTGCGCCACAACACTGTGCCACTGGCCCAAGTCTCCAGGTGTGAAACTATATTCACTCCACTGTGTTGGTGCACTAATGCCCTGTGAAACTACAACTCCCAGGATTCCATAGTACTGAGTCATGGCAGTTCAAGTAGTGCCAGCTTAGATGCACAGATTGCTTATAAAAATGACTTTTCTGGGACTTCTTCCAACCATAAGTTTTCATTCATTTGGGATGCTGCTGCCACAATGGAGCTTTCCAACTTGGGATCTTTGGCAAGCCATCCTGCAAATGCTCCTCTGCTTTGAATCCTTCAGGGTTAAAACAAAGAAGATCTCATATTCCTAGAGCAGATAGGAAGAGAGAGAGAGATTGGTGTCCTATTTGCTCCTCCTTCTCCAGGAAAATGCAAAGCTCCCTTTGCTTTGCAGCTGGCTGGACAGAAGGAGCTGACAGGTAAATAATAATAATAATAATAATAATAATAATAATAATAATAATAATAATAATTGCAATCCCTGGTGACAGCCGGATTGAAGAGAAACAACTGGAAAAGATGACACGATATGAGGATTTAAAGACTGAACTGCAAAGACTCTGGCACAAGCCAGTCAAGGTGGTCCCAGTGGTGATCGGCACACTGGGTGCAGTGCCTAAAGACCTTGGCCTGCACTTAAACACAATTGGAGCTGACAAAATTACCATCTGCCAGCTGCAGAAGGCCACCTTACTGGGATCTGCACGCATTATTCGCCGATACATCATACAGTCCTAGACACTTGAGAAGTGTCCGATGTGTGATCCAAGACAACAGCCAGCAGAGTGTCTGCTGTGGACTCATCTTGTGTTTCTAATAATAATAATAATAATAATACTAATAATAATAATGTCTCCCTTTGGACAAGTGGTTTGGAAAGGATCACTGCAGGAATCCCTGGACCCTAGATTTTTAGACTTGACTATAACTCCCACCCTCCCTGGTTTATGGGGAGGATGGGAGTTGTAGTCCCTTAACATCTCAGAGTGCATCGACAAGGTTGCATTAATATAGTTTTGACAACATTTGAGCTGCCATAGATCAATACTATGAAATTATTTTATTGATTTATTTATTTGCCGTATTTATATACTGCCTTTCTCAAGGTGGTTTACAGTCGGCACAATTTGGTGCCCCCAACAATATATAATACAATTAAAAACCTTAGCATATAAAATACAAAACTGTACAAGTCAATAAAAACATGAATACCCGATACACCCAAATTTTAATACTGGTGTGGTTGCGGGCATTGATTTTATTTATTTATTTGACTTGTATACCGCTACTTCCAATTTGGCTTGGAGTGGTTTACAGCAGTAGATTAAAACAATACAATTAACTTTAAAATACAATAAAACGAGAACAGACATAGTCCCGAGTTATTCACCCATTGAAAGCTTGTCGGAAGAGAAAGGTTTTACAGACTTTCCGAAAAGCAAGTAGGTCTCGGATAGATCGGGTTTCCACTGGCAAGGCATTCCATAAAGAAGGGGCCACAATCAAGAAGGCTCTCTGCCTAGTAGAGGACAGATGATAAGTCCGGATGTTGGGCAATTTTTGGTCTTCGGATCAAAGTAATCTCTGGGGTTGGTAGGGGGATAAGCAGGCCCTCAGGTATTTTGTCATTTGGGAGTTGTAGTTGCTGGGATTTATAGTTAACCTACAGTCAAAGAGCATTCTGAACTCCACCAATGATGGAATTGAACCAAACTTGGCATACAGAGCTGCCATGACCAACAGAAAATACTGGAAGGGTTTGGTGGACATTGACCTTGAGTTTGGGAGTTGTAGTTTAACTACATCCAGAGAGCACTGTTTGGTGTAGATCCTTCATTGTTTGAGTCCAAAGTGCTGATATAATAATAAGTTATCTGGCAACCATGGGATATTGTTGTTGATGTGATATTGTTGTTGTTGTTTGTTATTGTTGTTATTATTACAGTAGACTCCCATTAGATCAGTAGATGACAGGTAAATATAGTTTCCAGTTGCTAATACTGTACTCCATAAACTCTGTATTGACAGGATAGTAGTACTGAAATACAGCAATTAAAGAGACAAATAAATACAACTTAATGTACCATGGCTTTATAGTTTCACTATATCAGAAAAATAGCTTTTTAAATTTTTTATAGTATTATTTTTTCAATTTGGTTGCTTGAGTGTTCCGGTTAACTGAGAGTATACTTCATATATATTTCTAATTATTTTATTAAAAATTTTGTTAAATATTTTAAAAATATAGTATTAAATATAGTATTAAATATTTTTAAAATATTAAATATTTTATTAAATATTTTAAAAAATATTCTATTAAATATTTAAAAAATATTCTATTAAATATTTTATTAAATATTAAAACGCTCACCTTTTCATGTTTCACAGATAGTGAAATGGCCCAGTGTAGATGTCGAAGGCCATTGGCTCTTCGCTCCGGAGTAGAAACAGCTGTCAAATGGCCAGCGCAGGTGAGATTAATAGCAAATCGGGTGTGAATATTAATTTTTCTCTTTTGTATGGTTATTAGTTAGAAGTTTAACTAAACAAGGAAGTGATTGGTATTGTACTTACATTGTTGGTTTGGTACCATAGTGTGTGTGTATTGAATAAATAGATAAATAACAGCAGCAACAAAAATCATATTTGCAGAACCCAGTGACCTTTGAGGACGTGGCTGTGTATTTCACAGATGAGGAATGGGTCCTGCTGGGTCCCAGCCAAAAAACGCTTTATAGGAATGCGATGTTCGAGAATTACGAGACAGTGACTTCTCTGGGTAAGTGTCCGACTCTGGAAGTTGGTGCTCATCTCCATTTCGAAGCCGCAGAGCAGGCCTTGTCCATAGACACCTCCAAAGTCATGTGGCCAGCATGACTGCATGGAGCGTCATTACCTTCCCACCAGAGTGGTATTATTTATTCATTCATTTATTTACAGTATTTGTATTCCGCCCTTCTGACCCCGCAGGTGACTCAGGGCGGATCACAATGCACATATACATGGCAAACATTCAATTCCCTAGACACACAGCATACAGAGGCTATTTAACTTTCCAGCTTCATGAGGGTATACTCCAAATTCTGGCCACAAGGGGAGCTGTTGCTTCACCATCCACATGTGACACCAATGGAGTACTTCCTCATTCTTTTGCACGCTGCAGGAGAGTTTTATGGCATCGTAAATTAGTTAAATTCGTCTCCACGCATAAGCGGTACCTAAATTTTTTCATGCTTGGTAGGCTGTTAGGAATGGTGGGAGTTGGAGTCCAAAACACCTGGAGGGCCGATGTTTGCCCATGCCTGATCTACACTGTAGAATGACTGCAGTTTGACACAAGTCTTAGCTGCTCTTAACCTCTTTCAAAGTGTGCTGGTGCCTCACCAAATGTGTGTTCATTTCCAGAGCGACTGCTGAGCTTCAAGCCGGTTCTCATCTCCTGGCTGGAAGAAGACAGAGACCAAGAATGGCTTCTCCAGAGCTCAGCGGAAGAAGAGAGGTTTACAGGTAAGGCTTTGATGGCTATAAGTCCTTTCTTTCTCCAGAAGTTATGACTTCGTCCTAGTTGGAGATCATTCCCTTATTTGTTTCTGCCTGACTCAAAAGCACTAGGTTTAACATTCAGTTGGAATTTTTCCTTTTTTTTAATTAAGGTGATTATTTGGTAATATATTCTCTCCACTCTCTTTCTCACACACTTCTAAAGGTGATGCGTTGGCGAATAACATCAAATGGGAGGATTATTTTCATTTGGAAGAGGCCTTATTGGAAGAAGAAGAGGTGGAAGAGGAAAAGGACGAAATCGATGTCCTTCTACAGAAACACCAAGAGAATATTTCTCCCCAGAATGATTGCAATGAGAGTGAGTATTGGTTACTAATGCATCATGAAATGCAGATATATAGGATTTTTTTGCAACAGCCAATGCAATTTGAGGCTGCATCAATAGGAGTCTCATGTTTATGCCAGGCATGGGTAAACTTCGGCCATCTGGGTGTTTCGGACTTCGATTTCCACAATCCTAACAGCCTACCAGCTGTTGTAAATCAAGGTCAATACCCTTCAAAACTCTCCAATATTTTTTGTTGGTTGTGGGGGTTCTTTGTGCCAAATGTGGTCTTGGTGCATTGGTGGGGGGTCACAGCGCTCTGTCTTGATGCAGGGTGAACTACATTTTCCATCATGTTGAGTCAGTCCCCCAATTGCTGATTGACCCCACTCTGTTTGCTGTGTGCCACAGAAAAGAATAGGAAAGGGTTATGGGAGAGGCAGTGGACAAGGTCATGCAAATTCCATACCAATGGATAGAGTAAGGACCGAGTTGTGATGCAGTTGGCTAGGAGTCAGCTTTATTAAATCACCACTGATTGAAACGTAATAAGTTCGAAGCCAGCCTGGGTCGGAGTAAGCTCCCAACCATTTGTCTAGCTTGCTGTCGACCTTTGCAGCCTGAAAGACAGTTGCATCTGTCAAGTAAGAAATTTAGATACCACTTATGTGGTGAGGCTAATTTAACTAATTTACGATGCCATAAAACCTTCCAGCAGTGTGCAGAAGAATGAGGAAGTACTCCATCAAAGGACCCGGTGTTGTAAGTGGACGGTGAAGTGGCAGCTCCCCCTGTGGCTGGAACCAAGCATACCCTCATGAAGCCAGAAAAGCTGGAATGTTAAATTGCCTCTGTGTTTGTCTATATATGTTGTGGGTCTATGGCATTGAATGTTTATTTTTATTTATTTATTTACAGTTCTTATATTCCGCCCTTCTCACCCCGCAGGGGACTCAGGGCGGATTACAGTAAACACATATATGGCAAACATTCAATGCCAGTTCGACAAACAACATTTAACAGACAAAGGCTATTTAACTTTTTTCTGGCCGCCAGGGGAGCTGCTGCTTTTCATCGTCCATCAACGACACCGATGAACTTCTTCCGCATTCCACATTACCCGGAGTCCGCTTTCTTTATGGCCTCATAAATTAGTTAAATTTAGCCTCCCACACAAGGTGGTCCCTTATTTTCCTACTTGACAGATGCAACTGTCTTTCGGGTTGCAAAGGTAGACAACGGGCTACACAATGGCTGGACACCCACTCCAGCCCGGGCTGGCTTCGAACTCATGACCTTTTGGTCAGAGTGATCTTAATGCAGCTGACACTCAGCCAGCTGCGCCACAATCCCGGTGTTTGCCATGTATATGTGCACTGTAATCCGCCTTGAGTCCCGTGGGGTGAGAAAGGCAGAATATAAATACTGCAAATAAATAAATAAATAATAAGAAACCCTGGGATGTCTGTGGTGGAGGAAACACCGGCTGTTGGGAATTGTGGGAGTTAAAGTCCAAAACACCTAGAGGGCCAAAGTTTGCCCAGGCCTGGCCTGGACCAAGGAAATGATAGTATTATTCTGCAACCGAAATGGAATAATACTGTGTCCAGTTTTACTTTACTTACTTACTTCAGTGATCCCTCATTGTCTGAGTAGGATTGTCTTCCAAGATCAGTGTACTGGCGGTGGGTCCGTAGGTGACTGTGGAGCCCTATTCTTGACCTGCACGCTCTCCCGCAGTGAGGGCATTGGTTTCCAGGTGGAAGGCGGTCCCGGTCGGGGTTGGCTTGATGTGCCTTCCTCTTTAAAGATTTCAGCAGGGATCCCATCAGATCCGCTGGCTTTGTTATTTTTTTGTTGGCTGATGGCATTGCTGACTTCTTCCAAACTAGGCAGTGCTGCAAGCTCAGTTTTAGACAGCTAAATCAGGAAGGATATTGATAAGCTGGAAAGTGTCTGGAGAAGGGCAACCAAAATGGAAATATTGCTATCATTTCCCGTCTCAGCCTTTTTTCTCCAAGTGCAACATATCCAGCTCCTTGAGACAATTCTTATAGAAGTTGGCTTTTGGGCCTTTGACCATTTTAGTCATCCTTCTCTGGACTGAAAATAATCTTTTAAAGTCTGATAACAAGCTTTGGTTCCTTTTGTATTCTTTATCTCGAATGTTCTGTATATTTTACAACTCTTTGTCATGGCCCTTGTTAAGCATATTGATTGATAATCAAATTGTATTATTGTAAACAGTGGAAGAAGGCGGTTCTGAACTCCTTAAAGACCATTCCTGCAACCTGCAAAGCCTCTCCTTGCTCAAGATGGAGCCACACTCGCTTCTCCTCCTGCTGAAGGCCTACCTCCATGCTCTGCTCTCCGTGCTCCGTTCCATGCTTAGCCTCTGCAACGCCTATTGGTTGAGCATCAGCCGGCAGCAGAGACGGAGGAAACACATCTCACTGGCTTTCCAGGAACACTTTTTGCGCATTCACGCGGTGAGCCACGTGCTGCGTCGGAGGCGGACTAGAAACAGAGCGGCCCTGGTGGCACTGCTGGATAACCAGCCTCTGCCACGACGCTGGTGGGTCTCCCCCTCCACCAATCCCAACTGGTGGGAGGTCTTTGTGCGCGAAACCTACGACGATGCCAAGTGGATTGAGCATTTCCGCATGAGTCGGAGTACCCTCTTTGAAATCGCCGAGGTGCTGCGGCCCAAGCTGGAAAGACAGCGGACCATCATGAGAGAGGCCATCACCGTGGAGAAGCGCGTGGCAATTGCGGTGTGGTACCTTTCGAATCAGGAACGCTACCGGGAGGCCGCCATTCAGTTTGGAATCGGGAGGACTACCGTGGGAGAGATCGTTCTGGAGGTTTGCTTTGCCATCGAGCTGCTCCTCGTTCCCCACATGATCTACCTGAGGGATCACCAAAAGGTATGTCTGATGATTTCTTTTGAAAGTAGAGTCAGCCTTCCACATTTGCTTGGGACCCCAGTGAAAGAGATAAAACATAAATAAATTGCTCTTTTTCATACGAGATAATTCCTTCCTTGTGTCTGGATCTGTGGCTTTCTGACGAAGAAGTTACCTCACAAAACAATGTTAATTCAAAAGCATGCATTAGGGAACGCAACAAAATTCCAACTGACAGTTTATTTACCTCACGCATCATCCTGGCCCCTCCTTTGCATTGCTCCCGTTTCCATGGAAACTTTCTCCCAGATTTCAAATATACACAGGACAGGTCTAGGGCAAGGCCTAATTTCCTGGCTTCACACAATCAGGAAATAAGGTCATGACACCTTGGAAATTTTATGTCTTCCAGCACAAATCTGAGATTTAATTTTGTTGGAAGCTGATCATAGCTGATCCCCCTTTATTCTGCCTTGGTTAGACCACACATGGAATACTGTGTCCAATTCTGGGCACTGCAATTGAAGAGAGATGTTGACAAGCTGGAATGTGTCCAGAGGAGGGTGACTAAAAGGATCAAGGGTCTGGAGAACAAGCCTATGAGGAGCGGCTTAAAGAGCTGAGCATGTTTAGCCTGAAGAAGAGAAGGCTGAGAGGGGATATGATAGCCATGTATAAATATGTGGGATGAAGTCATAGGGAGGAGGGAGGAAGCCTGTTTTCTGCTGCCCTGGAGAATGGACGCGGAACAATGGCTTCAAGCTACAAGAAAGGAGATTCCAGCTGAACATTAGGAAGAACTTCCTGACTGTTCAGCAGTGGAACTCTCTGCCCCGGAATGTGGTGGAGGCTCCTTCTTTTGAAACTTTTAAACAGAGGCTGGATGGCCATCTGTTGGGGGTGATTTGAATGCAATTTTCCTGCTTCTTGGGTTGAATGGCTGATGAGGTCTCTTCCAACTCTATGATTCTATGATTCTATAGAATTGCACTTGAGGATGTAGTAATTCTGGAAAAGAATATTTTGATCAACCTTAATTAAAGTGGACAACCCACTGTACTCATAAGTGGTTTGCTATTGCTTCCCTCTGAAATACAGTTGTCACTTAACATTTGCGGTTTTGACTTTTGCAGATTTGATTATACTATGTGACAGGCCCCTGGTACTGCAGCAGGTTAAACTGCTGAGCTGCTGAACTTGCTGACTAAAATGTTGGCGATTCGAATCTAAGGAGTGGGGTGAGATCCTGCTCTTAGGTGCAGATCTTGCCAACCTAGCAGTTCGAAAACACACAAATTTGAGTACACCAAGGAAGGAAAGAAGGAAGGAAGGAAGGAAGGAAGGAAGGAAGGAAGGAAGGAAGGAAGGAAGGAAGGAAGGAAGGAGAAAGGGAAAGAAAAAGAGGGAAGGAAGAAGAGAAAGAAAGGAGAGAAAGAGGGAGGGAAGGTTGGCAACAGCAACACGTGGCGAGTACAGCTAGTAAACGTAATAAGAATAGAGTAAATTATAAATGTAGTAATAATAATAATAGAGTAAAATAAATGTAATAATAATAGAGTAAAATATTAACATAATAACAATAATAGAGTAAAATAATAAATGTAAGAACAATAATAGAGTAAAATAATAAATGTAATAATAATATATAGAGTAAAATAATAAATATAATAAAAATAATAATTGAGTAAAGTAATGTAAATGTAATATTAATAACAATAAATATAATAATATAATAAATGTAATAAAAATAATAACAACAAGCCCGTAAAATAATTTTGACTCGAGTAGAAGCCATGGGGAACTTTTTCACCCTTAAAAAAGGGCTGAAAAACCTGGCTTATACTTGAGTATATACGGCATATATTTATTGAAGGGTCAGCTCTCTAGGAATCTCAGGGTCCTCTGGCACAGATCACCCATAGAGTCATACTGGAAGACCTAGAAATTCCTAGAGGTAAAAGAAAGGCAAATTTCTTTGTTGCTGTCGTTCAGTTTCATGTGGGCCGTGTCTCATTTAGCCCCAGCGAATGTGGAGGGATCACTGCACTGCTTATTCCTCTAGTTAGGCAAATTCCAATGTTGGTCTTTTAAATTTACAGTTATTTTTTCCCTTTTTTCCCTTGAAGATTATGGAGGGTTTCCGTAGCATGGGCTTCCCTCATTGCATTGGCGCCATGGGCAGGATCCTTGTGCCGATTGTTGTTTTTACGAGCCATGCAGACAAGCCCGTCAGTCGCATGAAACTCCACACCTTCCTTCTCCAAGGAACCACAGACCACACTGGACGATTCATTAACGTTGAAGTGAAGAGGAACAGGAAGAATGTCTTCCGCAACTCTGCAATATGCCAGGCCATGGATAAGGGCGCTTTTGTCCCTGGTCACCCAACAATCACTATGGGGGACGTACAGATCCCGCCATTGATCTTAGCCGACGGCTCGTATCCTCTGCGGAAATGGCTGATGACCCCTTACGAGGACCAGACTGACCGGAAGCAGAGTGCCTACAATGCTACTTTCCGCGTCTGCCACGATGTCGTAGAACAGGCCATGTGCAGGTTGAGAAGACGGTGGCAGTGCCTCACTGGGAGGCTCCCGGTGTCGTTGGAGAACGCCGAAGTGATGATCACCGCCTGCGTCGCACTCCACAACATTTGTGAGAGCAAAGGACATGCGCTGCAGGAAGGACTTATCATTCCCTACAACGTCTTCTCACCCGAGATGGAGCCCTATCCGGACAACAAGAGGGACAAGGAAGAGGGAGAGGCGGTGCGCAACGCCATCGCAGATTTCCTGGCTGATCAAAGCAGCAGTTGATTTGGGGAGATAACGGGAATATACATTGGTTGGCTGGCTGGCTGCGATTCTTAACATAATTCTTATTTGTGTGTATATATAGGTGGGTTTTTTCCATTAAAACTTTGGGATGAAACCAACATGTTGTATTTGTTACATAATAATAATAATAATAATAATAATAATAATAACAACAACAACATAGTAGAGTCTCTCTCATCCAACCTCCGCTTATCCAACATTCCGTCTTATCCATCGCTCTTATCCGACACCCCATTTTCCTCCAGCATTTCCCCTTCAATTAAAGGAGCGCTCTCCAACTTTCTCTCCATTGCCAATAAGTGAAAAAGGCAAGGCGAGGAGGAGGAGGAGGAGGAGGAGGAGGAGGAGGAGGAAAGAAAGGGGGAAAAGAGGCAGGACCAGAAGCGGAAGCATCCTCCCTCCTTCCCTCTGTGATTTCCACGCACATCCGGGCACTTCCATTGGCTTTTATTGCCACCGCATGGTATTCCTGGCTCATGTTCACCTTCCTCCCCACGAGGACTCCAAGATCTTCTTCACACGTCCTGCTCTCGAGCCAGGCATCGTCCCCCATTCTGTCTCTTTGCATTTCATTTTTTTCTGCCTAAGTGGAGTATCTTGCATTTTTCCCTGTTGAACTTCATTTTGTTAGTTTTGTCCAATCATCTCTCTTAATTTGTTAAGATGGTTTTGAATTCTGCTCCTGTCTTCTGGAGTATTGGCTATCCCTCCCAATTTTGTGTAATCTATAAACTTGATGATCCTGCCTTCTAACCCCACATCTAAGTCATTAATGAAGATCCTGAGCAGGACTGGGCCCAGGAGGGAACCCTGCTGATGGCACTCCGCTCCTGACTTCTTTCCAAGATGAAGAGGAAGCCTTGGGGAGAATCACCCTCTGGGTTACTTTACGTAACCAATTACAGATCCACCTAATAGTAGTTTTGCCTAGGTCACATTGGACTAGTTTCCTTGCCAGAAGGTCATGGGGGACCTTGTCAAAGAAAGGCCTTCCTGAAATCCAGATATACTACATCTATGGCATTCCCTATATCTACCGACCTTGTAACTCTATCAAAAAAGAGATCAATTTGGTCTGGCATGACTTGCTTTTGATGAATCTGCATTGACTATTAACAATGACCACATTCATTTCTAAGTGTTTGCAGACCACTCCCTTAATGATCATTTCCAGAATCTTGCCTTATATTTGTTAGGGCATGTAAGAAATTAGTTGCCAAGTGCCTGGGGAGCTAGCTGAGCCTTGGAGTTTTGGCAACAGTTACATATTTTAGGCTTGAGCTGTGCAGGAGCAGAGAGAGAGAAACAGTTCTTGCTTCATGATCTGCTGGAAGGAGACATTCTACATGGACACTGAAAGGCCATTTAAATCTCTCTCAAAGGACATTGTGTGAGTTAATGCAGCCGTTCACATGATTGTATATACCGAATGGTGCTCTACATTACAAAGAGTAAACTACTTGTTCTTCACTGATCATCTGCATGGCATATAGGACCAGGCTGTGGCGCAGCTAGTTAGTATCCAGCTGCATTAAATCACTACTGACCAAGAGGACATGAGTTCGAAGCCAGCCCGGGTCAGAGTAAGCTCCTGACCATTAATAGTCTAGCTTGCTGTCGACCTATGCAGCCCGAAAGACAGTTGCCTCTGTCAAGTAGGAAATTTAGGTACCACTTTATGCGGGGAGGCTAATTTAACTAATTTGCGATGCCATAAAACCTTCCAGCAGCGTGCAGAAGAATGAGGAAGTACTCCATCAAAGGATCCATTGTCACGAGTGGACAGTGAAGTGGCAGCTCCCCCTGTGGCCGGAATCGAGCATACCCTCATGAAGCTGGAAAAGCTGGAATGTCAAATTGCCTCTATGTCTGTCTATATATGTTGTATGTCTAAATGGCATTGAATGTTTGCCGTGTATATGTGCATTGTAATCCGCCCTGAGTCCCGTGCACGGTGAGAAGGGCGGAATATAAATACGGTAAATAAATAAATAAATAAATTCACTCATTTAAAGTATTTATGTTCCGCCCTTCTCACCCCAAAGGGGACTCAGGGTGGAGCACAGCATATATATGGCAAACATTCAATGCCGGGACAAGAATTCATTATATGCATTCATAAACATTAAAAACATTTATCTCAATATTAAAATACACTGTTTAATAAATAAATATTATCTTTCTCTGGTAAGACAGTGTGTAGACTGGTAAAATGTGAACTACATGTGGTTTTCATTACACCACAGTATCGATGTGAGGCTGACCGGACGTGGGAGCTGACGTGCAAAACACCTGGAGGGCCAAAGTCTGCCCATGCCCATTTCCCAAAACTATTTCTCAAAGACGGAAATTAGCCACAGTGATCGCTTCGGCTTTACACAAGCTTTAATTACGTACGGTTACAGACTCAAAAGTAATTTTATTTTTTTCTTTTCTTACAATGGGAAATAATGAGCACTGGTAACAATCGCTTTACGCACATCCCAAACAGAGCAGCAAGGCGGGACAAATCCGACAGCATTTTGTCAAATCCCAAAAACAAAACAAATCATGTAAACAATGCCAAGAGATGGAATGCTTACTTCTAAAGAATTTCATATGTGACAGAAAATGGAAGTGAAGACAATGGTCCGTACAAATATCTCAAATTCCCAAGTTTCCTATGGATAATGAGAATTTTGGCAGAAAATAATTTAGGAGACGTTACACCCATCTTGAGTTGGAACTGAGAACCCGACAAGTTCAAAACAGATTCGAGACACTGCCGATAGAAATGTTGCTGGAGTGGCTTAGAGGACAAAAGCGGATGGGATGCCAGATCCTCAACCTGTGGGTCCCCAGGTGTTTTGGCCCACAACTCCCGGAAATCCCAGCAAGTTTACCAGCTGTTAGGACTTGAAGACCAAAACATCTGGGGACTCACAGGTTGAGAACCACTGTTGTAAGGGATTCCGAGGTAAAGTGGCCATTAGCATCCACCCAGAGATCCATACCAAAGTGGTCCTCCTTACAAAAGGCAAGAAATATTTGCAAAGAATCCTTTTCAGACAAAACAAAACAGGGCCTAGTTCTAGCACGTCTGCACGGGAGCGTTTCACAGCTTTATGGATTTCCACAGTCAAAAGCCAAAACAAAGCCACGGGACTTGGGCTGGGTTTATATCTAAACTAAGTCAACTGAAGCGAAGTTCCTCAGGTTTCGAGGGCGCTCTGGACACCAAACGCCAAAACAAACAACTAAAGGTCGAAGTTAACGCTCACATAACCAAACAACATCAATCCCCCCACCCAATTTTTGTTAGGGAACCCTATATTTGGGAATACAGCCACCCCTCCACGTTGGTGGATATGGAATTTGAAGTTTGGATGTTCTCGTACTTCAGTAATATGTTCTCCTTAGAAATGTTTATATCCTCCATTATGATTCTAGGGTGGGCATGGGCAAACTTGGACCCTCCAGGTGTTTTGGACTCCAACTCCCACAATTCCTAACAGCCTACCGGCTGTTAGGAATTGTGGGAGTTGGAATCCAACACACCTGGAGGGTCCAAGTTTGCCCATGCCTGTTCTAGGGTAATCTTGGCCACAGAGTTATGTGGATGACATTAGAGAACATTACTCTAGAGCAGTGGTTCTCAACCTGTGGATCTCCAAATGTTTTGGCCTCCAACTCCCAGAAATCCTAACAGCTGGGATTTCTGGGAGTTGTAGACCAAAATAACCGAGGACCCACAGGTTGAGAACCTCGCTCTAGATATTGGTAGGCTTATATGGCCAACTTCCAGTGGAAGTTGACAATTGAGCCTTGTAGGAGGTTGTATGGATTCCTAGAGGTGTTCTCTTGGGAAAAACTAGTATTGTTTTCATTTTCACTTTTCCCATTTTCATGGGGAACCTGTGCCCTTCATCCCAGTGGATTTGGAGGGCTTAATGATACATTCACAAGCTCACTTTGTGAAGTGATAAACCATACACAAAGAAACTAATCTTTTTTTTTTTTGTTTACCTGAGAGAACACCTCTTTAGGAATTTCTAGGTCTTCCAGTTGGACTCTTGTGATCAACCTCTGCTGTAGTGGTCCTCAACCTGTGGGTTCCCAGATGTTTTGGCCTTCAACACCTAGAAATCTTAACACCTGGTAAACTGGCTGGGATTTGTGGGGGTTGTAGGCCAAAACACTTGCAGACCTACAGGTTGAGAACCACTGCTCTGCTGGAAACTGATTATTGAATCACTTTGGAGGAAATTGGGGATTCCCAAACAGGTGTCCTCTCCAGAAACCTCTAGAGCAGTGGTCCTCAACCTGTGGGTCCCAGATGTTTGGATCTTCCAGAAATCCTAACAGCTGGTAAACTGGCTGGGATTTCTAGGAGTTGTAGGCCAAAACACCTAAGGACTCACAGGTTGAGAACCACTGCTCAAGACCTTCAACTATAACTAGAAGACGTTGACTGTGGAATCAAACTGGAGGAGCTAAAGTATTAGGAAAGAGAACATTATTCATAAAATCCACAAAATCTGCAGTTGTGGACGGATGACTGTATTACAATCTGTTCACCTAATGCATCATCTCAGGTATTACAAATACCTGTCAAAATAATTTTTGAAGGCAACACTACTGGATCTCTAGCCTTGATGATAATAATGTAATCTGGCCCTGTGGCCTTCACAGGCAGAGACTCTTTGGTGGTTGGAAAATGGCTCAATGTCAGGCATGGGCAAACTTTGGCCCTCCAGGTGTTTTGGACTTCAACTCCCACAATTCCTAACAGCCTACCGGCTGTTAGGAATTGTGGGAGTTGAAGTCCAAAACACCTGGAGGGTCAAAGTTTGCCCATGCCTGCTCTATATAATAAGGGCTAGGTGATTAATCTCTCCAAGCTATCATGACAGACAGGCTATGTCCTCAGTCAGGTATAAGCCTGAGACATTAGGCCAGCTGCTCTCCCATAGAGAAAAGGACTGGGTTGGTCGTTGGATCTCCTCCTCATGATTGGTAATGGGTCAGCATCCATAACCACATTGAAGGAAATAGGTAGAGGGTCTCAAGAAGAATCTTCCAGGCATTTTCTTGGCCCACGGTTGTGGTTGTGTTATAGCTGACGGCAAGGAGAAAGAGACCAGATTTGCCAGAACTAAGCAACCCATCTCCCCCAATATTATGTCTGCTTCCCATCATGGCTGCAGTCTGCATGATTTTCTCTCTTTCCCGTCGCCACTGACGAGGCCTCGTGTGCCAACAGGATTCCAGCCATTGCATGGCATACGCAATTCTCTCTCAAGAAAATAAAATTAAGGAATGGCCGGTGAGTTCAGGAGGAACAGCTGGGAAGTAAGTCTCACTCCTCCAGGTTTAGCTGCTCTTACACGGCAGTGGTCAAAATGATTGTACTGCAGTCCAAGCTCATCTGGAACAACAACAAGAAGAAGATCAAGATGAGGAAACATTCAATGGTAGAGTCCACCTTTCTGTTAGAACAGCATTTCTCAACCTGGGTGTCAGAGAGGTCACCAAAGACCACCAGGAAGCACAATATTTTCTGATGGTCATGGGGGTTCTGTGTGGGAAGTTTGGCCCACTTCCATCATTGGTGGGGTTCAGAATGCTCTTTCGTTGTAGGTGAACTATAAATCCCAGCAACTACAATCCCCAAATATCAAGGTCTATTTTCCCCAAACTCTACCACATTTGGGCATATAGTGTATTTGTGCCAAGTTTGGTCCAGATCAATCATTGTTTGAGTCCACAGTGCTCTCTGGATGTAAGTGAACTACAGCTCCCAAACTCAAGGTCACCAGACCCTTCCGGAATTTTCTGTTGGTCATGGGAGTTCAAGTGGAAGGTAAAAGGAAGAGGGGCCGACCAAGGGCAAGATGGATGGATGGCATCCTTAAAGTGACTGGATTGACCTTGAAGGAGCTGGGGGTGGTGACGGCCGACAGGGAGCTCTGGCGTGGGCTGGTCCGTGAGGTCACGGAGAGTCGGAGATGACTGAACGAATGAACAACAACATGGGAGTTCTGTGTGCCAAGTTTAGTTCAATTCCATCACTGGTGGAGTTCAAAATACTCTTTGACTGTAGGTGAATTATAAATCCCAGCAACTGCAACTCCCAAGTGACAAATTCAACCCTCCCCCCCAACCCCACAAATTTGGGCATATCACGTATTTGTGCCAAATATGGTCCAGTGAATGAATATACATCCTGCATATCAGATATTTACATTACAATTCATAACAGGAGCAAAATTACAGATATGAAGTAGCAACAAAAATAATTTTATGGTTGGGGGCCACCACAACATAAGAAACTGTATTATGGGGTTATGGCATTAGGAAGGTTGAGAATTACTGTGTTAAAAGAAGGTGTAAGTACTATTGGACTGAATGGGGATGAGGAACATCTTTCAGGTAAAAACTAGCCAGTTTTGGGATGTAGAAAGTGAATTGCGCTTGGACGGAGGATCAAAAAAAGGATTGGAAGCAAGGCATGTTGTGAGTGGACTGACTGGAGGTTTCTGAATACAGAATGTGCAGATTGGGTTTGGCTGTGAAAAAGAGACACAGCATAGCTGGGAATGCAGGAAGACATTTGCAGATTGTTGGGCAGTGATTGTTCATTTTCACGTGGTGGGTTGAAATGCATGTTTTTGAATGTCGTTTTGAATGGAAGCTATTCTGGAAAGCATACATGATAGGGCTGGGCAACCACGGAAAGATTTGTTTCTAAACTCGATTCGTTTTTTGGGGTTTTTTGCGTTTCGATATTTAAAAGAATTCCGAAATTTTTCTTTAAAAAAGTTCTATATTTACGAAATTTCGTAAAATTGCGAAACGAATACGAAATGAATACGAAACGAATACAAATTGATTCGTTAATGGCGGACGCGACCGCGCAATACGCTAAAAAACCTCCATATGGGACAGGGGGATCTTCTGAAGCTTCCCTCTCCCTCTGTTGTTGACTGTTGGTGTGATATTTATAATTTTTTTTCGCTGATTAAACAAACAACAGCTATAAAACTTGCCCCAGACATGCGGAAATAATAACAAAACGAATACGAAACGAATACGAAGCAATTACGAAACGAATTGAAAAATTTGTTTCGTTTTTTAGATGCTCCTGAATGGTTTGTTATCGCTTCGTAACCAAAATAATAATAATAATAATAACGAATTTTTAACGAATTACGAAATTACAAAACGAAACCGCCCAGCCCTAATACATGAATGCAAAGCCTAATATACAATGTATTCATTCATACATATTTTTTTTCAAGAAAATGTGTTTTAAAACATAAACAAATCTTAGTACAGTGTTCCCTCGTTACTTCAGTACTTTAATCTAAAATGCTACAGACGGGCCAATTAAGACAATTAAGAGGTCGTTTCTATTGGTAAGAAAAGAAATTCATCGGCGTCTTCCTTACCACAGCGGTGCTGATTTCTTCCACAGAGAGTTCTGAGAGTTCTGAAGCGACGGCAACAAAACCTAAAAGGCAGGACACAATCCTGGGTGAATTTTACTCACAACCCTAGTTGTAGGGACATGATAGGAGGTTTCTAACACTATGCACTAGGGTGGAAAAAGTGAGAGATGCTATTCTTTTTTGGATACAGATTTACAACCTACGTGTCTTCTAATGAAAGGCATGAGCATTAAATGATAGAAAACACTGTTTTCAAAAGAAGAAGCCTATTCTTAAAAAAATCATTATTATACCATTCCTGACAATCCTAAGCAGCAAAAAACCAAGTTAGATAAAATTACATTTTCAGGGCCGTGGTGGTGCAATGGGTTATTATTATTAAGAAGTGCAGTTATTTCTTATTATTATAAATAAACTTTTTGTGACTTTTTAAGACTGGACTCTGCATCCTGCCTGTCTAAGCTCTGAATTCTTTACAGCCACATCACACGGTACTTCATGCTCTGCTCGCTAATGAGTTAATGCTCAACTTTTTGGACCCTGTTTGGTTTTTGGATGTCTGCTATATTTTAGGGTAGTTTTCCCTAAGAAACTCACTCACCTGTGTGTGTCCTTTCGTGCTTTTCCAGCTGAGAACGCCGGCTGAAGCTTTCTGGGCACTCGGAGCACTGATAGCGCTTCCTCCCCGTGTGAATAGCACTGTGCGTGATCAGGGATTTCTTCCAGCGGAAGCTCTTCTCACACAGGGAGCATTTGTACGGCTTCTCTCCCGTATGCGTCCTCATGTGGACTATCAAGGCAACTTTCTGGTTAAAGCTCTTTCCGCAGTCAAAGCAGACGTGTGGCTTCTCCCCCGTATGGATGATCTCATGCCGAGCCAGGTGGTCCTTTTTATGAAAGCACTTCCCGCACTTGGGACAGGCATAAGGCTTCTCCCCAGTGTGAATCCGCATGTGGTTGATGAGGCCGCCTTTCCAGTTGAACCCTTTGCCACACTCGGAGCACTGGTGGGGCTTCTCCCCTGTGTGGGTCCTTCTGTGCGTCACAAGGCGGTATTTCTTACAGAAGGCTTTCCCACAGTCGGAGCATTCGTAGGGCTTTTCTCCAGTATGGGTCCTCATGTGCGCCATGAAATTGGCTTTCCCGCTGTAGCTCTTCCCGCACTCAGCGCATTCGTGCGGCTTTTCCCCCGTGTGGGTCCGCCTGTGTGCAAAGAGCGACGATTTGGCATGGAAACTTTTCCCACACTCGGGACAATCGTAGGGTTTTTCGCCCGTGTGGGTCCTTTCGTGCTGAATGAGGAGCCATTTCCCGCTGAAGGTCTTTCCGCACTGGGGACACGTATACGGTTTCTCCCCCGTGTGCGTCTTCATGTGGACATTCAAGGCCGACGACCAAGTGAAGGTTTTGCTGCAGAGGGTGCATTCATGGAGACGCTGCTCTCCAGTGTGTTTCCTCATGTGCATGTCGAGGGAACGCTTCCAATGAAAGCTCTGCCCACAGTCAGAGCAGGTATGTGTCCGCTCCCCGGTATGGGTTTTCTCGTGCCTCAAAAGGTAAGAGGAACACAAGAAGCCCTTCCCGCAGTGTGAGCACTGATAAGGCCTCTCTCCGGTGTGAATTCTCTTATGGACATCCAGATACGATTTCAGGATGAAGCCTTTACCACAGTCAGCGCATTCATACGGTTTCTCCCCCGTGTGAGTTCTTCGATGTGTAATAAGGCCCGAAATCTGCTTGAAGCTTTTCTCGCACTCCGAACACTCGTAGGGTTTCTCTCCCGTGTGGGTCCTCTTATGAGTGACAAGAGTTGCTCCGTGATTGAAGCTCTTCCCGCACACGGAGCACACGTAAGGCTTCTCTCCCGTGTGGATCCTCCGGTGCGTGATGAGGTAATCTTTGCGGCCAAAGCTCTTCCCGCAGTCGGGGCAGTCGTAGGATGCCAGGCCCGTCCCTTCTGCGTGAGTCTTCTTGTGCCGCCGAAAAGACGCCTTGTAGCAGAAACACTTCCCGCACTCGGAGCACTGGAACGGTTTCTCGGATGTATGGCTCTGCTTGTGGATGGTGAGACTCGCCTTCTCTCTGAAGTTCTTCCCACAATCCGAGCACTGGTAAGGCTTCTCTTCGGAATGAGTCCTCATGTGCACAGTGAGAGCGGACTTGACGGTGAAGTTCTTCCCACAGTCCGAGCACTGATAAGGCTTCTCTCCTGTGTGAATCCTCCTATGCACGGCAAGGTGCGGCTTCCGGTTGAAGCACTTCCCGCAGTCCAGGCACCTGTACAGCTTCTCTCCGGTGTGCATTCTCTCATGCAAAATGAGCGACCCTCGGCGAAAAAAGCTCTTCCCACACTCGGAACACACATAGGGCCTCTCCCCCGTGTGGACTCTCTTGTGTTGGATGACGTAGGCTTTCTCGCGGAAACTCTTCCCACAGTCCGAGCATGGGTACGGTTTCTCCCCTGCGTGGCTTTCCTCGTGGCTGAGAAGATCTGCATGGGAAGCAAAACACTGTCTGCACTCTTTGCAAGTGAACGGCTTCTCTCCGGCATGAGTCCTCTCGTGAATAACCAGCTGCGACCGCTTATGGAAACTTTGTCCACACTGCGCACATTTGTGTGGATTCTCCTTGGCTGATTTCCCCTGAACGGCTTCCTGGGATCCCTCGGCACCCTGAAGGGTTGTGGGCATCTCTTCCATCTTGGGAGCACAAAGAGGATGTCCTCCTACTTTTCTAAACATTGCTCCTTCTTCTGGCTCAGGGGTCTCCAGTCCAGTGTTGGCTTCTCTCTCCGGCATCCAGTCACTACCTTTTGGAAGAACAACAGAGAACGATAAGTGAAGGTCTATGGCAAATTAATACTACAGAGTATGGCATTCTCTTATCCTTCTCATCTCATTTTTCAACTCCCTACTGCAACTAGCATCCCATTGGCCTTGAATATGTTTTTTACTGAACTGTTTGTAGGACTCTGCCTCTACCTTTTGGTTTTTTTACATTTCGGTAACTTTGTGGCTTATTTATTTATTTATTTACAGTATTTATATTCCGCCTTTCTCCCCCCACAGGGGACTCAGGTCAAATCACAATGCACATATACATGGCAAACATTCAATGCCATAGACACACATCATATATAAACAGACATACAGAGGCTATTTAACTTTCCAGCTTCATGAGGGTATGCTTTGAATTCCAGCCATCGGGGGAGCTGTCGCTTCACCGTCCACTTGTGACATCGATGGAGTACTTCCTCATTCTTTTGCATGCTGCTGCAGTTTTATGGCATCATAAAGAAGTTAAATTTGCTCCCCCCGCATAAGCGGTATCTAAATTTCCTACTTGAAAGATGCAATTGTCTTTCCGGCTGCAAAGGTCAACAGCAAGCTAGACAAATGGTTGGGAGCTTACTCTGACCCAGGCTGGCTTCGAACTCATGACCTTTTGGTCAGTAGTGATTTTAATGTAGCTGACTCCTAACCAGCTGCACCACAACCCGGTCCTTTTTGGTTCTTTTAGACTGCCCAAAAGCAGTCCAAATGCACATGGTCGGTACTGTTTTGTGATAGCACACATAGAATCATAGAGTTGGAAGAGACCTCATGGACCATCCATCCAGTCCAACCCCTGCCAAGAAGCAGGAAAATTTCTGTAATTGTAAAAAATGCATCAGGTTGTGGGCAAACTAGAACTCATGTCATGCCGAAAAACTCCATCAATACTTAAAGTTTGTTATGTTTGACAAGTTTGCCTTAGATGCATTGTCAAAGGCTTTCATGGCCAGAATCTAAAATGCAGGTGAAATGTCAGGAGAGAATGCTTCTAGAACATGGCCATACAGCCCGAAAAAAAACTACAACAACCCACTTGCTCTAGATGCATCATGAGTGGGGTTCAGTGTGCTCTGTGGCTACAGGGTAAACTACAAATCCCACTATGGTGAGTCAATACCCTCAAACCCCTCCAGTAGGTTGAGTTAATCATGGGGATTATATGCCAAGTGTGGTACAGGTCCATCATTGGTGGAGGTCACAGTTTTTCTGGCTGTGGGTGAACTACAACTCCCAGAAAGGAAGGTCAGTTCCTCCCAAACACCTCCTGTAATCAAATTTTGGAATACCAGGTATGTGTGCCAAGTTTGGTCCAGATCCATTGGTGTTTGGATTCACAGTTATTTCAAGATGTAGGTGAACTACAATTCCCCCATATCAAGGTCAATTTTCCATCAAAGACCTCCAGTATTTTTGTTGGTCATGGGGGTTCTATGTGCCAAGTTAGTTCCAGGTCCATCATTGGTGGGCCTTTGGTGTCTCCTGAGTGGTGTTAGTTATTGCTGTTTGTAGAGGCAGGACCTTGTCTGTGTAAGCAGACACCCCAGCCACATGCACACATATAGTAGAGTCTCGCTTATCCAACATAAACGGGCCAGCAGAATATTGGATAAGCAAAAATGTTGGATAATAAGGAAGGATTAAGGAAATGCCTATTAAATGTCAAATTACATTATTTTACAAATTAAGCACCAAAACATCATGTTTTACAACAAATCTACAGAAAAAGCAGTTCAGTACACAGTAGTGCTGTCTAGTAATTACTGTATTTACGAATTTAGCACCAAAATATTGCAATGTATTGAAACAGCTGTGAATCCGGGTGGAAGGCAGACTGCGTTGGATAATACAGAATGTGGGTGAGCAAAGGTTGGATAAGCGAGACTCTACTGTATTTACAAATTTAGCACCAAAACATGATCTTGTACTGAAATAGCTGTGGATCTGGGTGAGAGGCAGACTACGTTGGATAATACAAAACGTTGGATGAGTGAAGGTTGGATAAGCGAGACTCTCCTGTATTTACGAATTTAGCACCAAAACATCATCTTGTACTGAAATAGCTGTGGATCCAGGCAAGAGGCAGACTACGTTGGATAATACAAAATGTTGGATGAGTGAAGGTTGGATAAACAAGACTCTACTGTATTTACGAATTTAGCACCCAAATATTGCAATGTATTGAAACAGCTATGGATCTGGGTGGAAGGCAGACTGCGTTTGATAATACAGAATGTGGGGTAAGCAAAGGTTGGATAAGTGAGGCACTAATGTATTTACGAATTTAGCATCAAAACATCGCAGTGTATTGAAACAGCTGTGGATCTGGGTGGGAGGCAGACTGCGTTGGATAATACCGAACATTGGATGAGCAAAGGTTGGATAACCAAGACTCTACTGTATTTACGAATTTAGCATCAAAACATTGCAATGTATTGAAAAAACTGCGAATCTGGGCGCTAGGCAGTCAATGCTGGATAATACAGAACGTTGGATGAACGAAGGTTGGATAAGTGAGACTGTGCTGAATTTATGAATTTAGCACAAAAACATCGCAATGTATTATAGAATCATAGTTGGAAGAGACCTCATGGGCCATCCAGTCCAACTCCCTGCCAAGAAGCAGGAATATTGCATTCAAAGCACCTCTGACAAATGGTCATCCAGCCTCTGTTTAAAAGCCTCCAAAGAAGGAGTCTCCACCACACTCTGGGGCAGAGAGTTCCACTGCTGAACGGCTCTCACAGTCAGGAAGTTCTTCCTCATGTTCAGATGGAATCTCCTTTCTTGTAGTTTGACGCCATTGTTCCGTGTCCTAGTCTCCAGGGAAGCAGAAAACAAGCTTGCTCCCTCATCCCTGTGGCTTCCTCTCACATATTTATACATGGCTATCATGTCTCCTCTCAGCCTTCTCTATTGAAACAGCTGTGGATCCGGGCGGGAGACAAACTGCATTGGATAATACAGAATGTTGGATGAACGATGGTTGGATAAGCGAGACTCTGCTGAATTTATGAATTTAGCACAAAAACATTGCAATGTATTGAAACAGCTGTGGATCTGGGCGGGAGGCAAACTGCGTTGGATAATGCAGAACGTTGGATGAACGAAGGTTGGATAAGTGAGACTCTGCTGAATTTATGAATTTATGAATTTAGCACAAAAACATTGCAATGTATTGAAACAGCTGTGGATCCGGGCGGGAGACAAACTGCGTTGGATAATGCAGAATGTTGGATGAACGATGGTTGGATAAGCGAGACTCTGCTGAATTTATGAATTTATGAATTTAGCACAAAAACATTGCAATGTATTGAAACAGCTGTGGATCTGGGCGGGAGGCAAATTGCGTTGGATAATGCAGAACGTTGGATGAACGAAGGTTGGATAAGGGAGACTCTACTGTATTTATGAATTTAACACCAAAATATCACACTGTATTGAAACAGCTGTAGATCCGGACAGGAGGCAGACTGCGTTGGATAATACAGAACGTTGGATGAGCAAAGGTTGGATAAGCAGGACTCCATTGTACATATTTTCACTTTTATTATGTGTATAGATATTCATTCTTTGTATATCCAAAAAATCTTGTAACCTTACTTTCCAGATAACCCTCATAATGTATAACCTAAAGAGCCACAGACCTAACATATGCCCACCTTTCTCTGCCCAAAGGGTTTTGTTTTGCTTGTTTTTTTGTCGTGTCAGGAGCGACCTATTTATTTATTTGTCGTGTCAGGGCAACCAGTCAATTATATTACATTTCTAACAGAAACAAAGCAAACAAACAGACAAAATACAAAATTTGTGAGTTTGGTAGTTGATTAAATGCCTTTTGACCAGTAGCTGGCCACTTGGAGTGCTTCTGGTGTTGCTGCAAGAAGGTCCTCCCTTGTGCATGTGGCAGGAGCGACCTGAGAAACTGCAAGTTGCTTCTGGTGTGAGAGAATTGGCCGTCTGCAAGGATGTTGCCCAGATGATTTTTGATGTTTTATCATCCTTGTGGGAGGCTTCTCTCATGTCCCCGCACAAGGAGCTGGAGCTGATAGAGGGAGCTCATCCGCCTCTCCCCGGATTTGAACCTGCGACCTGTCGGTCTTCAGTCCTGCCGGCACAGGGGTTTAACCCAGTGCGCCACCGGGGGTTTCATCCCAAAGGGGGTGAAATGTGCTGAGTGGGGATGCATGCCACTTTACGGCAGCGCGCATGTCACTTTACGGCAACCTTGGCACGGAACACACAGAAGAGATCTCATAGATGTTCCACGAAGTGTGTGGGCGGCGGAGTTTTCTCCCTTCCAAGTTCCAATACAAAACAGAACATACAGTGGGGGAGTGGAAGGAAACAGACACAATGGGGGTTTTCTGTATGAAAGTCACGCCATGTTTATTTTTCTTCTTCAACCAAATTTTCTTTCTCCTGGGAGCGCTGGTTGTCGGCTGCGGGGTATTCCTCTTGCTGGAGATAGATCCCTTCATCTCCTTAATGCACATCGCCACCCCTGCGATCAAGACGGTATCGTATGTCCTCATCGTAGTCGGGGGCATTACGTTGCTGAAGGGGTTCCTGGGCTGTGCAAGCACATTATGTGGGGTCCAGTGTTTTTTGGGCCTGTATGTCCTCGGCCTGATAGTCATCCTTGTGTCCCAGATTGCTGCCGGCGTCTATCTATATCAGCAGGAGTCAGGCCTCAAGGGTAAAATTGAAACGTCTTTCATGGAGATCCTGCAAGTGTATGAACCCAACAATGAAACAATTCAACCCCTGAACACTGCACTGGACTATGTCCAATACAACTTCTCTTGCTGCGGCTGGAAAGGACCAGAAGACTGGCAAGAAAACCCAACTCTTAATGACATGAAGTGGACGTTCTACCCTTGCTCCTGCAGGAATGAAACCGAGGCAGAATTTGGCTTTTGTGCCATGGGTAAGAAGGCAAAGCCTGGCAAAGTCACGGTGGATGACTGGCCCGTTAGAAAGATTGGCTGTAAGGACAATGTCTTTCGATGGCTGGAGGATAATTTTGACACCATTTTCGGAATCTCCGTAGGGTTGGCCGTGACGGAGATGCTGGGCTTGGCGCTAGCTTGTTGCGTCTGCCACAAGAAAGGGTGGCTATGCTAATGATGACACCCCACCCCAAAATAATACACTTTTTGAAATACAGAAACGCCGAGGTTGACTTGCAACAACACAAACAAAACTTATTGGTTCCTTGGATTCAGTTCTGTGTCTCATCCTTCTTATGAGTATCCAATCTTACTGTGGATTCATGGGACAGCTATATTCATGGGAATCAGGTCTAGCGATCGTTCCACCTACTTTCCAGCTCTTGATAGGAAGAAGCCCACTTCGGACTTCCTCGGTTTGCATGGTGCCTTGGCCGTTTGGTCACCATGTCCTCTTCATTGCCTCAATCTACGTCGGAACTTTTGTGACAAGACTGGAATGACTCAAGTTCTCGACTGTCATTGATTTGCACATACAATAAAACCTGCATTCTCTTTGATTTAGCACAGCATTTCTCAACCTGGGGGTCGGGACCCCTGGGGGGAGTCGTGTGGGGGTGTCAGAGGGGTCACCAAAGACCATCAGAAAACAATATTTTCTGTTGGTCATGGGGTTCTGTGTGGGACGTTTAGCCCAATTCTGTCGGTGGGATTCAGAGTGCTCTTTGATTGTAGGTAAACTATAAATCCCAGCAACTACAACTCCCAAATGTCAAGGTCTATTTCCCCCAAACTCCACCAGTGTTTACATTTGGGCATATTGAGTATTCGTGCCAAGTTTGGTCTAGATCTATCATTGTTTGAGTTCCTGCAATGCTTATTAATAGCTATTCTTCAGAAAATCTTTTCTGTGAAATTCAAGGTCAATGCCCACCAAACCCTTCCGAGTTTTCTGTTGGTCATGGGAGTTCTGTGTGCCAAGTTTGGTTCAATTCCATCATTGATGGAGTTCAGAATGCTCTTTGATTGTAGGTGAACTATAAATCCCAGCAACTACAACTCCCAAATATCAAGGTCTATTTTCCCCAAACTCCACCAGTGATTACATTTGGGCATACTGAGTATGCATGCCAAGTTTGGTCCAGATCCATCAGTGTTTGAGTCCACAGTGCTCTCTGGATGTAGGTGAACTACAACTCCCAAATTCAAGTTCAATGCTAACCAAACCCTTCCAGTATTTTCTGTTCGTCATGGGAGTTCTGTGTGCCAAGTTTGGTTCAATTCCATCATTGGTGGAGTTCAGAATGCTCTTTTATTGTAGGTGAACTATAAATCCCAGCAACTACAACTCCCAAATGTCAAGGTCTATTTTCCCCAAACTCCACCAGTGTTCACATTTGGGCATATTGAGTATTCATGCCAAGTTTGGTCCAGATCCATCACTGTTTGAGTCCACAGTGCTCTCTGGATGTAGGTGAACTACAACTCCCAAACTCAAGGTCAATGCCCACCAAACCTTTCCAATATTTTCTGTTGGTCCTGGGAGTTCTGTGTGCCAAGTTTGGTTCAATTCCATCGTTGGGGTAGTTCAGAATGCTCTTTGATTGTAGGTGAACTATAAATACCAGCAACTACAACTCCCAAATGACAAAATCATTACCCCCCCCCCCCCCCCCCCGTATTCAAATTTGGGCATATCGTGTATTTGTGCCAAATTTGGTCCAGTGAATGAAAATAGACCTGCATATGAGATATTTGCATGACGATTCATAACAGTAGCAAAATTACTTATGAAGTAGCAACGAAAGTAATGTTATGGTTGGGGGTCACCACAACATGAGGAACCGTCCATTAGGAAGGTTGAGAACCACTGATTTAGCAGAATCTCTTTGATTTAGCAGAATTCGATCACTGGATGCGGTTTGGCCTCTTTAGCTTTTTTTTAAAAGCACGCATACTGTACATACTTGAGTATAAGCCGACCCGAATATAAGCCGAGGCACCTAATTTTACCATAAAAAACTGGGAAAACGTACTGACGCGAGTATAAGCCGAGGGTGAGAAATACAGCAGTTACTGGTCAATTTCAAAATAAAATCAGATACCAATAAAATTACATTAATTGGGCCATCCGTAGGTTAAATGTTTTTGGAATATTTACCGTTTCAAAGAAAAACAGTAAATTAGCTCTGTAAGTGGAAAAGGAGGGTCAACAAAACCAATATGTTATCAATAATAATAATAAACTTCATTTGTATCACATGCTGTCAACAATAAATAATAATAATAATAATAATAATAATAATAATAATAATAATAATAATAATACTTCATTTATATCCCGCTCTATCTCTTCATGGGAACTCAGGCCAGCTTCCAACTTATACCAACAGGCAAACATTCAAAGCCTATATAAACAATGCAGAGCTAGATATAGATCTATGATTATATATATACAACTTTCACATATGCATTTCCCCCTGAAATGTTTGCAAATTCTCTCTCTGTGTATGTGTATTTTCTTCCTGCAATATTTGCAAGCCCTGTATATCTTTGTATCTATCTAGACATCTCTTTCTCTCTATGTGTGTGTGTGTGTGTGCATTTCCCCTGCAATATTTACAAGCTCTATAGATCTATATTCATATCTATGTAGACATTAAATATATATTGGTGTGTGCATTTTCCTCCTGTAATATTTGCAAGCCCTATAGATCTTTATTCATACATATCTATCTAGAGATCTCCCTTTCTTCCCTCCCTCCCTTTCTATTCTTTTTCTCGTTCCTTCCTCCTTCCCTTCTTTTTCTCCTTCTTTCTTCCCTCCCTCCTTCCTTTCTTCTCTTCCTCCCTCCATATCTCCCTCTATTTCTTTCTCTTTTTCTCATTCCTTTCTTCCCTCCCTCCCTCCTTCTATTCTTGTTAGCTTCGCTACTTCCCTTCTTTTTCTTCCCTTCTTTTTCTCTGCTTCTTTTCTTCCTTTCCTTCTTCCTTCTCATTTCTCCCTCTATTTCTTTCCCTTTTTCTCCTTCTTTCTTCCCTCCCTCCCTCCTTTCTTCTCTTCCTCCCCCCTCCATATCTCCCTCTATTTCTTTCTCTTTTTCTCATTCCTTTCTTCCCTCCCTCCCTCCCTTTCTATTCTTGTTGCTTCCTACTTCCCTTCTTTTTCTCCCTTCTTTTTCTCCTTCTTTCTTCCCTTCCTTCCTTCCTTCCTTCCTCTATATCTCCCTCTATTTCTTTCCCTTTTTCTCATTCCTTTCTTCCATCCCTCCCTCCCTTTCTATTCTTTTTCTCATTCCTTCCTCCTTCCCTTCTTTTTCTCCTTCTTTCTTTCCTCCCTCCTTTCTTCTCTTCCTCTCTGCCTCCATATCTCCCTCTATTTCTTTTCCTTTTTCTCATTCCTTTCTTCCTTCCCTCCCTTTCTATTCTTTTTCTTGTTCCTTCCTCCTTCCCTTCTTTTTCTCCTTCTTTCTTCCCCCCTCCCTCCTTTCTTCCCTCCCTCCCTCCCTCCATATCTCCCTCTATTTCTTTCCCCTTTTCTCATTCCTTTCTTCTCTCCCTCCCTTTCTATTCTTTTTCTCATTCCTTTCTCCTTCCCTTCTTTTTCTCCCCTTCTTTTTCTCCCTCTTTCTTCCCTCCCTACCTCCTTCCCTCTCTCCATATCTCCCTCTATTTCTTTCCCTTTTTTCTCATTCCTTTCTTCCCTCCCTCTCTTTCTATTCTTTTCCTCGTTCTTTCTTCCTTCCCTTCTTTTTCTCCCCTTCTTTTTCTCCTCCTTTCGTCCCTCCCTCCTTTCTTCCCTTCCTTCCTCCCTCCTTCCATATCTCCCTCTATTTCTTTCCCTTTTTCTCATTCCTTTCTTCCCTCCCTCCCTTCTTTTTCTCCTTTCTTCCCTCCCTCCTTCCCTTCCTTCATATCTCCCTCTATATCTTTCCCTTTTTCTGATTCCTTTCTTCCCTCCCTCCTTATTCTTTTTCTCATTCCTTCCTCCTTCCCTTCTTTTTCTCCTCCTTTCGTCCCTCCCTCCTTTCTTCCCTTCCTTCCTCCCTCCTTCCATATCTCCCTCTATTTCTTTCCCTTTTTCTCATTCCTTTCTTCCCTCCCTCCCTTCTTTTTCTCCTTCTTTCTTCCCTCCTCCTTCCCTTCCTTCATATCTCCCTCTATTTCTTTCCCCTTTTCTCATTCCTTTCTTCTCTCCCTCCCTTTCTATTCTTTTTCTCATTCCTTTCTCCTTCCCTTCTTTTTCTCCCCTTCTTTTTCTCCCTCTTTCTTCCCTCCCTACCTCCTTCCCTCTCTCCATATCTCCCTCTATTTCTTTCCCTTTTTTCTCATTCCTTTCTTCCCTCCCTCCTTGGAAAATGAGGAGCCTGTGTACAATGTTGGTCCATATCTATCAAGTCAAGGAACAAATCGACAAACCAACATATCTAGATACATGCATACATCATTGTATAATGGCAGTAACTACTATATATGTATTTCCGCTAGAAAGCCAGTGCCTGGGGCTTAAACTTCTGCCCCCGAGGTGTTTTAGACTACGATCGACTCATCACGATTCCTTATCTAGCCGGTAGGCTGTTATAGGTATTGTGGGAGTTGTAGTCCATAAACACCTGAATGGGCCGAAGTTTGCCCAGGCCTGCTCTAAACTTTACACAACACTATACTGGTTGTCTTAATGGGGCCAACAAAATAAATTGTTATTTTGCTCCTACGAAGAAAAGAAGGAAATAGACAAGAACCCAAGGAGATGAGAGAGAGGACACTCTACCTGCCCATTTCTCCCTTCTCTTTTCAGTCGCTTTGTTTCTCTCTGGAGTCTCTCTTCTTCCCAAATTTCCCGACCCTTCTTCGTCTCTTCCCACGCTTTTCCCTTCTTCCCATGACGTCTCATTGGGTTCCCCTTCGTCGTCGCTTTGCCACATGTTTGCTGCCGAAAGAACAAAACAAAGTTGTTGATATTGATGGACACAAGAGAAAAAGAGCTCCCAAATACATCTTCATTGCAGAATTAATTCAGTTTGATACCACTTGAACTGCCCTGGCTCAAGGCTATGGGATCCTGGGAGTTGTAGTTTGCTGAGGCACCAAACTACCTCTATCTATCTATCTATCTATCTATCTATCTATCTATCTATCTATCTATCTATTGAGGGAGTTTTAATGACTTTAATGACTTTAGGGCTTGCAATTTGCTTTGCAGGCCTTCACCTACGTGCATTCAAAGCCATAGGATAATATTTTAGCAAGAACTAAAAAGAAAATGTGTATAATACTGAGGTAACTTTGAGGTAAACATCAAATAAGCCCCACTTTCTGTCTGTGAGGTAAAACGTCATCACTGGCAGACAGGCTTCGGTTTCGCAAGCGGGCCCTCAGACACCCTCCTCTTTCCTTTCTCTTCCTTCCCACCCCTCACATCTTTTCCTTTTTTTCTTTGCTTCACTCCCTCCTTTTTTTATTCCTTCCCTTCTCCCTCCCTATCCCTCCCTTCTTTTTCTCCTTCCTTCCCTTCTCTCTTCCTTTCCTTTCTTTTTCTACTTTCTTTTTCCCATCTTCTTTTTTTCCTTCCTTCCTTCTCTCCTTCCCTTCTTTCCTTTCTCTTTTCCCTTCCTTCCTTCTCTCCCTCCCTTTTTTCCTTTCTTTTTCTCCTTCCTTCCTTCTCTCTCTTCCTTCCTTCCCCTCTTTTTCTCCTTCATTCTTTCCCTCCCTCCCTTCCCTTCCCTTCTCTTTCTCCTTCCTTCCCTTCCTTCCCCATCTTCTTTTCCTTCCTTCCTTCTCTCCTTCCCTTCTTTCCTTTCTTTTTCTCCTTCCCTCCTTCTCTTCCTTTCCCTTCTTTTTCTTTCTATTTCCCGTCTTTTTTTCCTCTCTTCCTTCTCTCCCTCCCTTCTTTCCTTTCTTTTTTTCCTTCCTTCCTTCTCTCCCTCCCTTCTTTCCTTTCTTTTTCTCCTTCCTTCCTTGTTTCCCTCCCTCCCTTTTTCCTCTTTTTCTCCTTCTTTTCTTCCCCTCCCTCCCTTCTTCCTTCTTCTCTCTCCTTCTCCCTCCTTTCCTTCCCCTTTTTCTTCTTCCTTCTTTCTCCTTTTCTTCTTCTTCCCTCCTCTTTCCTTCCCTTTCCTTTTCTCTTTCCTTTCTTCCCTCCCTCCCTCTTTCCCTTCTTTTTCTCATTCTTTCTTTCTTTCCTCCCTCCCTCCACCTCTCTCTCCATTTATTTCCCTTTTCTCCTTTCTTCCCTTTCTTTCTCTTCTTTTTCTCCTCCCTTCTTTCCAACCTCCATCCCTCCATTTCTTCCCCTTTTTCTTCTTCCTTCCTTCCCTTTCTCCTTCTTCTCCTTCCTTCCTTCCCTCCCTCCCTACCTCTTTCCCTTCTTGTTCTCATTCTTTCTTTCTTTCCTTCCTCCCTCCACCTCTCCCTCCATTTATTTCCATTTTCTCCTTCTGTTTTTTTCTCTTGTTTATCTCCTTTCTTCCTCCTCTCCCTTTCTTTCTCCTCTTTTCTCCTTCCCTTCTCCCTCCCTCCTTTTCCCTTCCTTTTTCTCCTTCCTTCCTTCCTACCTTCCTTCTCCCTCCCTCCCTTTCCCTTCTTTTTCTCCTTCGTTCCCATCCTTTTCCCCCTTCTTTTTGCCTTCCTTCCTTTTCTCTTCTTTTCCTTTCTTTTTCTACTTTCTTTTTCCCTTTCTTCCTTCTCTCCCTCCCTTCTTTCCTTTCTTTTTCTCCTTCCTTCATTCTCTCTCTTCCTTCCTTTCCCTTTTTCTCCTTCCTTCTTTCCCTCCCTCCTTTTCTTTCCCTTTTTTTCTCCTTCTTTCTTCACTTCTTCCCTTGCTTCCTCTCTCCATTTCTCCCTCCATTTCTTTCCCCTTTTTTTCTTCCTTCCCTTTCTCCCTTTTCTCCTTTTTCTCTCCTTCCTTCCTTCCTTCCTTCCTTCCTTCCTTCCCTCCCTCCCTCCCTCCCTCCCTCTCTTTTTCCCTTCTTTTCCTCATTCTTTCCTTCCTGCCTCCCTCCACCTCTCCATTTATTTCCCTTTTCTCCTTCCTTCCCTTTCTTTCTCTTCTTTTTCTCCTTCCTTCCTCCTCCCTTTCCCCCTTCTTTTTCTCTTCCCTTCTTTCCAACCTCCCTCCCTCCATTTCTTTCCCCCTTTCTCCTTCCTTCCTTCTCTCCCTTCCTTTTCTTTTTCTCCTTCTTTCCTCCTCTTTCCCTCCTTTCTTTCCCTTTTTCTCCTTCCTTTCTTCTCTCCCTCCCTATTATTTTTCCTCCCTTCCCTTCCCTTTTCCCCTTCTTTTCCTCCTTCCTTCCTTTCCCTTATACACATCACCTGCTTCACTCGCTTTCTTTCCTGGGTGAAAGGGCCACTTCACCCAGCCACAGCCAATCTGCTTTGTACCGGGTGTTACGAATTGTGGCAGTTGTAGTCCAAAACACTGGAGGGGCAAAGCTTGCCCATGCCTGCTCTAAACTTTACCCAACACTACATTGGTTGTCGTAATGGGGCCAACAAAATAACTTGCTCCTTTTTCCTGCTTTCCCTAACCAAATCCAAAATAGATACTCACTTTCCACAACCTCAATTACAGAGGAAATGTCTTCTGGGATAATTCCTTCTTCAGACGCAAGGACCTCCGTCTGAACGGTCTCTATCTGACTCACTGTTTCTATCACAGGGTCACTTTCTGCAGGAAAAAGTGGGGGAAACAAGGCAGGGGGAAGATTTTTTAAATGAAGGTTTTAATACATTTGATATTACGATTACGATTTACTTAATTTATATCCCGACTTTCTCCCCGTGAGAACTCAAGGCGGCTAACAATCTCACACTTTGTTCATAGTTTTGAAAGTACAATACACTTTTTTTAAAAAAAAAAAAGCATGGATTAAGGTTAAAAAAAAGATTAAAATAGAATACACTTAAAATAGCCTTTAAAATTTACCATATTTTAATGGTTTTAATGATGCAAAACTTTGATACACACATATTGTGTTCAATTCTGGGCACTACAATTGAAGGGAGATATTGACAAGCTGGAAGGTATCCAGAGGAGGGCGACTAAAATGATCAGGGGTCTGGAGAACAAGGAGCGGCTATGAGGAGCGGCTTAAAATAATAATAATAATAATAATAATAATAATAATAATAATAATAAATTATAACTATAATAATAATAATAATAATAACAAATTATTATTATACTAACATAACTCATAAACCACTGGATACATTCACACCAAATTTGGACACAATACACCTATCAGGTCAACAAGTGACCATCACTCATAAAAACACTGAAAAAAATGCGAAAGAGACTTTAAAAAGCCAACAAATAAAGAAATACATTACAATGCATGCGCAAAACCACATATATACACAAACACACATACATATATACATATACACAAATATATACACACACATATACACATATATACACAGACAAAACACATATACAAAGACTGGGCCACAGCAACACATGGCAGGGGATGGCTAGTACATAATAAATGTGAATATATGCATGCGTGTATGTGGCCAGGGTGCCCACTTTCACAGACAGTGCTGAGGAGCCACCAAAAGCCCTTCCTCTAATGACATTTCAGGTTATAGCGAGCACCGTGAACATGTAGCCCAACCTGCAAAACTTAAATAAAACACACACACACAATCAAATTACATACACACATTTTGAACAGATAGTTTTTTAAAAAAAAAAACCCACACATACACAATTGGGGGGAAAAAACATTGTCAAAGGCTTTCATGGCCAGAATCACTGGGTTGTTGTAGGTTTTTTCGGGATATATGGCCATGTTCTAGAGGCATTATCTCCTGATGTTTCGTCTGCATCTATGGTGTCCTCACTACCTCTAAGGATGCTTGCCATAGATGCAGGCAAAATGCCTCTAGAACATGGCCATATTGCCCGAAAAAACCTACAACAACCCCCAAAAATATAGCTTCTGGTCCTGTGGCTTCATTCCCAAATTGTGGTGACTCTAAGGCAAACCAATCACTGGGTTTTCTGAGGCTGAGAGGATGTGACTCGACCAAGGTCACCAAGTAGGATAGCATGGCCGAATAGGGAGATTTGTCCTAAGTACGGAGGAACAAGAAAGACTTACTCATTGCGTTGGCCACTCCAGGACCACTTCTGATGACTCCCATGAACACTGGGGAATGCAGAGCATTTGAAGAGCCCTCCTTTGACATGGAGATATTGGGAACTGCTTCTGCCAAGACCTGTTGCACCTGGAACAAGAGGAAAGGGCCAGAAGGATTAGGAAGGGAACTTTTGCAGGTTTTGGATGTCCTTGGACTATTTGGTCACTATTTGGAATCCAAGCCAAGGGAAAACACTCACCTCCTGCCCTTGCTGGCCCTTCAGGAAGTCCTCCGCCAGGGCCACAGCATGGTCACAATTCACCGGTGCCTTTCCCTTGACATAGCTTTGCATTTCCTGGGGCAGGATGGCCAAGAATTGCTCCAGGATCACCAACTCCAGCATCTGCAGCTTGGTGTTCTTTCCAGGCTTCAGCCACTGGTGGCAAAGTTCCCAAAGGCGGCTGCACACTGTGCGGGGACCCACAGCTTCTTGATAGCAGAAACGCCGGAAATTCTGGCGCTCGGCATCTGTGTTGAATACGGGTTCCGCTGGGATGTGTTGCTTTGATATTTCCGTGCATTCTCCCAAAGGCGGGATCTGTTGGAGAGGAGGGCTTTGGCTGGCTGTACTTGGGCCTTCTTCCTGGGTAACGTGAAGCTCTAGTCCTAAAAGGAGACAAATCACATGGATCAGTGTCATAGAATCATAGAATCATAGAGTTGGAAAAAACCTCATGGGCCATCCAGTCCAACCCCATTCTGCCAAGAAGCAGGAATATTGCATTCAAAGCACCCCTGACAGATGGCCATCCAGCCTCTGTTTAAAAGCTTCCAAAGGAGGAGCCTCCACCACACTCCGGGGCAGAGAGTTCCACTGCTGAACGGCTCTCACAGTCTGGAAGTTCTTCTTCATGTTCAGATGGAATCTCCTCTCTTGTAGTTTGAAGCCATTGTTCCGTGTCCTAGTCTCCAGGGAAGCAGAAAACAAGCTTGCTCCCTCTCACATCCTTTCACATATTTATACCTGGCTATCATGTCTCCTCTCAGCCTTCTCTTCTTCAGGCTAAACATGCCCAGCTCTTTAAGCCGCTCTTCATAGGGCTTGTTCTCCAGAACCTTGATCATTTTAGTCGCCCTCCTCTGGACACATTCCAGCTTGTCAATATCTCTCTTGAATTGTGGTGCCCAGAATTGGACACAATATTCAAAGTGTGGTCTAACCAGAGCAGAATAGAGGGGTAGCATGACTTCCCTAGATCTAGACACTATGCTCCTATTGATGCAGGCCAAAATCCCATTGGCTTTTTTTGCCGCCACATCACATTGTTGGCTCATGTTTAACTTGTTGTCCACGAGGACTCCAAGATCTTTTTCACACGTACTGCTCTCGAGCCAGGCATTGTCCCCCATTCTGTATCTTTGCATTTCGTTTTTCCTGCCAAAGTGGAGTATCTTGCATTTGTCACTGTTCAACTTCATTTTGATAATTTTGGCCCATCTCTCTAATCTATCATGATCGTTTTGAATCCTGCTCCTGTCCTCTGGAGTATTGGCTATCCCTCCCAATTTGGTGTCATTGTCTTATTTTTATTTATTTTAAATCCTGAATATTTGCCAAATTCATCAAATTTTTCTAGCCAATTCTTTATGTTTTCCAAAGGGTCCTCAACTATGCAAATAAGCTCATCGGCAAACGCCCTGAGCTTGTAATATTCTTTTTTCACTTTAGTCCCCATCAGATTTTCATCTTCCCTAATTGAACTTAATAGGATTTCTAACGCTAATATAAATAGAAAGGGGGAGAGTGGGCACCCTTGTCTTGTGCCTCTATTTATCATAATCTTTGCCTCTGTTTTGTTATATATTGATTTAATAGCATTAGATAATTAGAAATCCCATATCTAATTCTCTTATTAATAAAAGAAGGAAATCCCAATTCAGCCGGTCGAAGGCTTTTGCAGCATCTAAGGTAATAAGCACCAGTTCTTTTTGATTACAGTATATACTCGAGTATAAGTCGACCCAAATATAAGCCGAGATACCTAATTTTACCACAGAAAACGGGGAAAATGTATTGACTCGAGAATAAGCCAGGGGTGGGAAATGCAGCAGCTACTAGTAAATTTCAAAATAAAAATAGATACCAATAAAATTATATTAATTTAGGCATCAGTAGGTTAAATGTTTTTGAATATTTACATAAAACTGTAATTCAAGATAAGAGTGTCCAACTCTGATTAAACCATTATTCTGAGCTTCTTCAATGTAAATATGCTTACATGTCCTCCAATAATAATAAATAGAGTACAATAATAATAATAATAATAATAATAATAATAATAATAGAGTAAAATAATGGAATGTAATAACAGTAATAATAGAGTAAAATAATAAATGTAATAATAAAAATACAGTAAAATAATAAATGTAATAATAAAAATACAGTAAAATAATAAATGTAACCATAACAATAATAGGGTAAAATAATAAATGTAATAATAACAACAACTAAGTAAAATAAGAAATAACCTTGACTCGAGTATAAGCCGAGGGAGACTTTTTCAACCTAAAAAAAGGACTGAAAAACTAGGCTTATACTCGAGTATATACAGTATTTCTTTCATAGTATTCTATTATATTTAGGATCGTTCTTTTTTTTTTTTTTTTTTTTT